AGTATCTTCCAGGTGTATATTATTTGATATCTCTCTCGTCTTCTTTCTAGTGAGTACATTTGGAGGGCTTTGAGACGATCCCAATAATTTAGGTGCTTTATTGCGTCTATGCGTGCCGTATATGTTCTCTGTATTCCCTCTATTTCAGCAATCTCTCCTGCTCTGAAGGGGGAAGTGAATACTGAGCAGTACTCAAGACGGGACAACACAAGTGACTTGAAGAGTACAACCATTGTGATGGGATCCCTGGATTTGAAAGTTCTCGTAATCCATCCTATCATTTTTCTGGCTGTCGCAATATTTGCTTGGTTATGCTCCTTAAACGTTAGGTCGTCAGACAATATTATTCCCAAATCCTTTACATGCTGTTTTCCTACTATGGGTACATTTGATTGTGTTTTGTACTCTGTATTATGTTTAAGGTCCTCATTTTTACCGTACCTGAGTACCTGGAATTTATCACTGTTAAACATCATGTTATTTTCTGATGCCCAGTCGAAAACTTTATTAATATCAGCTTGAAGTTTTTCAATGTCTTCAGCCGAGATCATTTTCATACTGATTTTTGTGTCATCTGCAAAGGATGATACGAAGCTGTGACTTTTATTTTTGTCTATATCTGATATGAGAATAAGGAAAAGGAGCGGTGCAAGGACTGTACCCTGAGGTACAGAGCCTTTAACTGCACTTGGACTAGATTTTATATGGTTGACAGTTACTCGCCGAGTTCTGTTTGACAGAAAACTGAGTATCCAGCATCCTGCTTTACCGGTTATTCCCATTGACTTCATTTTGTGTGCTATCACGCCATGGTCACATTTATCGAAAGCCTTTGCGAAGTCCGTGTGTATCACATCAGCATTCTGTTTTTTCTTCTAATGCCTCAGTGACTTTGTCGTAGTGCTCAAGTAGCTGTGAGAGGCATGATCTTTCCGCTCGAAATCCATGTTGGCCTGGGTTGTGAAGGTCATTGGTCTCCATGAAATTGGTGACCTGACTCCTAATCACTCTCTCAAATACTTTTATGATATGCGATGTTAGTGCAACTGGTCTGTAATTCTTTGCCAATGCTTTGCTCCCTCCCTTGTGTAGAGGGGCAATGTCTGCTACTTTAAGTGCATCTGGTATCTCTCCCGTGTCCAAGCTCTTCCTCCACACTATACTGAGTGCCTGTGCTACCGGCACTTTGCATTTCTTTATAAATATTGAATTCCATGAGTCTGGACCTGGGGCCGAGTGCATGGGCATGTTTTCAATTTCTCTTTCAAAATTTAGTGTGCTCGTGTGCTGTTCGCTCGGCCGACCGGCTCCCTCACTTGGGTGGCTCTCACCGATGAGCCACCCAAGTACATTATCTCAAGTACATCCCACTTAATTGACCACCCGTACCCGGTACGAGTATTTCCTTACATTTTTCGACTCATTTGAGTTTCCAACTTCCACTAATGTCCTCTCATCCTACTTTCCTTCACTTCAACTCATCCTCAGACCAAGTCCATTCCATCCAGCAGTCGACCCCACAGACGCATTCATCAATTTTAACTTGCTGTTTAATAAAAAAAATAGTAATTTTCTCAATATAGCATCACTTTTGGGTCTTGTTTAGAGGACAGGCTGTTCACTTGGGTAGAACCTCAAAGGTCGAACTGAGGGGTTTCAGCTCGTTTTCTGAAATGTGGGAAATGACCCACATTTCAGAAGATGTGGGTCAAGTGTGGGGATAGCCTTTCGCGGCAGCATTCGTATGCTCATTTAAGGAAACACAAATATGGCTGGGAACCAAGCAAAACTTGACTGTCCTAAATCTGCTAGAGATAAGAAACGGCCGATATTGAATTTCGACGACCACAGGATTAAAGGACTTTAGAGCCATGAGGGCACTAGGAGTCAACTACAACAAGGGAAGAATGACGGCGACGAAGCAGTTGATGAGCATACAAAATTGCATAAGTTCTGCCGTGAAAATGCCCCCCCCCCCCTGAAGCTGAGGCAGCCTCAAATGGTTTTTCAGGTTTTGTTCCCCATTTATCAATCACCTGCTTGATGGGATTCTGGGAGTCATCCTGGTCCCGAAGTCCGGACCGAGGCTAGGCTTGACATGAGAGCTCGAGAGCAGTCACAATCCCTAAATTTTTTGTTGTTCTTCCGTCGTCCTTTTAACATCCGTTAAGAATATGCAAATTTTGTATTCTCCATCAGTGTACAAGTCTGATCCTTACAGAATGAGTCCACTTCAAGAATTACCATCATATATGAATGTATGAACTTTGAGGAGGGCAATGGGAATGTTCAGTTACGCCATATGGATCCCCAATTTTTCCAACATGATTCAAACTTTCCTTATTTGAAGTAAGTAATTATCAAAAAGAAGGCACCAAACCGGGCAGGTTATGTAGCACCATCAAATGTGCGGAATAATCAGAGGGTGCTAAATATCACCAAGGATGCCAATACGAGAACAGAAACGCATAAGGCGAACGATATCAAAAGTATCCGAGTCACCGAGAATACTATCGAGACAAGGGACCGCGGGGGACGATCGGAAAACTGACACACACGCTCGTCCTGGAAATCAGGACACTCGGCAAGGATATGTACGACCGTAAGAGGGACAATGCAATTAGGACAATAAGGAGCAGGGCGGCGCTCCATCAAGTGACCATGAGTTAAGCAAGTATGGCCAATACGCAACCTCGCCAGAGCCGTTTCCCATCGCCGGGTGGTAGGACGACGGCCATGAGGACACACTACTATTTACGCAGTTTGTTACCAGTAACAGAAGATCAACAATCCCGCCAACGGGTAAGGATGGAGGAATTAATAACTGGGTAAAGTCGGAATAAGGAATACCTTTATTGGAGATGGGACAAGAGCGGACAGCTTCTCTAGCGGCCGTATCCACACCCTCATTTAAAAGACACACCAATATGGCTGGGAACCCAGCAAAACTCAACTGACTTAAATTTACTGGAAATAAGAAACAGCCAATGCTGAATCTCGACAACCACTGGATGGACTGGATTAAAAGACCCGAGAGCCATGAGAGCACTACGAGAGTAAACGACAACTACAAAGGAAGATTAACAACGAGAAAGCAGGAGATGAAGAGCATAGAGAATAGCATTAAGTTCCGCTGTGAAGATGCTAGTCTCCTGAGGTAAGCGACACACAAGTGCTGTCAGGAAAAACAACAGTAGCCTACACCGTCCGCAGACTTAGACCCATCGGTGAAGATGGAAATGGAGTGGGAGTGCGAAGAAAAGGCGTTTCAGAACTGTAGGAGGGGTAAAAGCTTTAGTGTTGCAGGTTAGGGAAGTACAAAATTTGGGAAGTGAGACCCTCCACGGGGGCAATGATGGAACAATACGAGGAAACATTGGTAATATGAACCAAAAGAGAATCTTGTGAGACAAACGGACAAAAAGAGTTAGGTGGTGAAGAGGAACAGGAACCACAGGAGGGGTAAAAGTTAAAGCACGACAGAGACGAGAGGAAGGATGTTGCAAGGACTGCGCAAGATAGCAGACAGTAGCGATCATGGCGGTCCTGGAGAGATAGGAAGCCAGTGTCAACATACAAGCTGAGGACGGGAGTCGAATGCACCAGAGCTGAGGCACAACCCAGTATGGTGCAAAGCATCAAGACAGCAATGAGTAGGAGAAGCAGAAGAGTAAGCAGGGCAACCATAATCGAGTTTAGACAGGACAAGAGAGGAATGTAAAGCAAGGAGAGTGCGTTTTTCCGCTCCCCAAGAAGTATGGGACAAAACCTCAAGGTGGGTAAGGGCCTTAGAGCATTCAACTCGCAGGTAAGAGATATGAAGTGACCAAGACAAACAAGTGTCGAAGATTAACTCCAAAAGTTTAGGGGAATCCTTGTACACAAGGGGATGACCATACAGCGACGAAGAGGAACGAAGAACGACATCCTTCCAAGTAAAAGTCATAGCACAAGTGTTAGACGTAAGAGAACTTGAAGCCATGATCGGTGGCCAAAGACGACACGGCATCAATCACAAGTTGAAGGTGCCGTTGAAAGAGAGGCGAATCATCACCCCGACAGCAAGGGGTAAGAAACAGCACTTGTAAAGAACTTGTGAAAGCAACTCTCCTATCAGTTAACAAAGACCTGCAATTTGTGGTGTGAGGCCTCGAAGTTGCCATTTCAGCAATTTTGAACCAAAGTGGCCGTCCTGTTGTATCCATGTTCAGGATTTGGCAGAGCAGTAAACTACATAACCCAGCAGTAGAGAAAGAGGCTACTGCCATTATAGAAGATGTGAATAAATAGAGCCATTTCCTAGCCTGGGGTCATTTTGTGCTGTTCATTCAACACTACTTCGTAGCATTTGTGTTGGATAACAGAAGGAAAACTATAATAGACAAAATACAAGAATGGAGGTAGGAGCTAGCATTCTCCGTACCAACCCGTCCTCTTACAGAGAGGTCACCCAAAGCAGCAAGTTTTGGGTCATCTGGTAGGAGAGCAGCAAGTTCTCCTAAGGTTTCAAAACGTCATGAAAATCGTTAATTTAAATTGTCCTCTCCTAACCTAACAAAGCCAGACAACCCAAAACAGAAAATGGGACAGCACTTCACTTTTGTGAGTCAATTTCATTTTCTAGTATGGCAATTTTTAGCCTTGGTGCACATACAAACGAAAAGTGACGGTTTTAGTAAGCGGATGGGTTGTATGGTCGTCCTGGAAAAGAAAATGTGACTCCTGATACACTGACCAGAGCATCCTGCTGTTCAGTATCCCTAACAGCCCCTCTCGGGCGACCCCTCCAGAGGGCGGTCCGGTGACTCACAAGGCCCCTACGTTTGTATTCATTTGCACGTACAACTCCCAAAGAGGGACAGGAAAGGGGACGGAGGCAAGCCTCACCGGTCCCAGAGGTGTAAGTGAGCCCCCTGACCACAACTAGGAAACACAATGGAGGGGGTACATAGGTAAAGCCCAAATTATTTTAATAGGAAGTTATGAAATAAGAAACAAAATATATTCATGTCAATTATTTAACAATTAACCATTTGTTATGGTCATTTCTGATGGTGTGATGACATCAAAGGGAATATTTTTTATCAAAAACAAAACATGTACATAATGTACTTTTTACTTTGCTAAATTACTGTCGACATTTATATATATTTACAAAACTATTATAAGCTATACCAAGTGAATAAGAATCATTTACAAATTCTCCCTATAGATCACGATATGCAAAGATGATCATCTTGTTAGCACTCATGCCGTAGTCCAACTGATGACCACTTAAGAAAGGCATGATGAATATACAGTACCTGAGAGCTAGACAAGAAATTATAAACAAATTAAACCATCACATTCAGCAATTCACACTCAGAAGGCAATGTTTCACCGCTTGTGATCTCCATCTACGCCCCAGAGCACAATATTAACACGCCAGGGTACACAATCACACCACACCATTCATCCTCCCACATCACACACACTATGCACATCACAAATAGGCAATAAGAATTAATTTGTACAGCACATATCCATATGTTTCTTATGTGTTAGTGAATACAATACAGTATGAAACTGAAAGATATGATTAGTCACACTGAACACAATTCACACACTGACTAGCAAACACAAGTCATGCAGACAATTGCTAAATAATTGTGTATCCAGTTCTGACAATCACAAAGAAATTTTCAGTTTTGCAGTGCGTGTCAGCTATTGTGTCAGATCCTAAATGCACAGTACACAATTGTACTAGTGACAGGTCTTTTGAACTTTTCAAATAAAATAAAAGTCACTGAGTTTTGACTATTAATTAAATCACAGTCACCTCATCGGTATCACACCAACATGTTCAGTTTATCTAAGTATAAACATCCATAGGATAGCCCACACAAGTGTACTCCACCTCAACAGCAGACAAGTAACCAAACCAATCTCTGGAATGTGCTCAAAACTTGTCACTGAACCACTGGTGAAGAATATTAAAACCATAAAATATCTTTATTATCCAAGTTTCTGATTTCTTGGCAAACTAAAAAGCTGAACTTTGGATGAAAATGAAAGTGCACCAAAATGTTCATGCAAGATTGGCATTAGGATTTATAGGAAAAAACCACACTGGTGCGTGATGCTAGCAGGTCATTCCTGTCGAGGTGTTATGTGAACTAGGCGAGTCTGGAGAACTATCTTTTACAGAGGAACTAGAATAATTCATATGATTACATACATCTCCATCTATGTCAACTGTTGTACTGTCCACTTTGCTATCTGAATTTGGGCACGTTGTGGCTTTAGTAGCCTGAACGACCTCCGACATCACAGTCACTGAATGCGATTCTCCAAAGGGCAACACCACAAGTCCATCTCCCACTGTCTCCTGAGTAGGTAAGCCCTGCTGCAATGGCTTCACTGTTGTGCTATTGACTACAGCACTGCCACCAATGCTGCCACTTATAGTCTTGTTAACTGGTATTCCTGAACTATGAATACCATGTTTATTGGAATCTGTGTGTGGTTTACTCATAAATAAATTGGCCCTGGAGGTCTTCCTTATCCGTGTGCGGACTGGTCCTCCAGCCTGGCCCCCAGTTGCTCCTCTCGGCTCCTTCTCCTTTTCCTCTTGAGCACACTCTCTCTCCTTTTCCAGTGCTTGAGAGTTGTGGAACTGTGAGGTCACTGGCGACCTGCTGCAGGAACTTGTTAAACTTACGGATAAGGGAATGCCTTCAAAGCCTGGTGGTGGAGTCATCTTCCTGAATTCTTCCTTGAGCAACTGGAAGTTTTTCTGGAAATGACATACGAAAAATTTATTCAACAGTAGATTAAGAAATTTTCAATGAACAGAACAAAAAAATTTATCAAAGCTATATATTCCACATCTATCATTACCTATGCAAGATTTATAATTATTTTCCCCAGTGTATACTCAAAATATTAACAGCAGTTTAACCTGCTATATAAAAACAAGATACCTCTTCTCCGGTGACTTCTGATCTCAAAACTAAATAAATAACTTTTGCCTGCCACTCCAACACTTTTCTTGTTAATTATACACCCTGATGTAAAGTCCAATGGGACTTGACAATACAAATTAACATTTGAAGATAACTGCAAAAACCATAATCAAGAACATTATCCTTACCACTTTTGTGTGTTGGTAGCTGTGTCAAGCATTGCAACAATTACAACACAGGTGAGTGTGTGTGGTGGAAGCAGATGATGAATTCACTACTGAAGTTGGAATAACATTGCAGACAACAGATACATGGGCACTTTTTACAGATGGTATTTTTATTCTATTACTAACATAATGAGACGAGACATCTGTATGCGACTACACAAGGTTATATGGCGGGTTGCACAGTTTGATACTAAAATCCCAATCTTGCAGGATGGTTAGTTATGCATGAGTATATGAGCATGTGATCAGTAGCCTGAACTAGCAAATTATTCATGGATTATGAGGATATCCTCAAATAACACGTAAGTGGAGAAAAGTTCAAATAACTTACTTAATGCTGGGGATATTTTTCTGGAAGCAGAAGTGTTAGCAAAGTCAACACTATAAGTGGTCATTATAGTTTATACATAAACTACATTACAAAAATACATTACATATAAACATTATTGTTTATATATAATGGCCTGAATGAAGACATGTTCCCTGACACTGTAAATTATTACCTAGACCAATATATTAAAGGTTAATTCGGTTACTGCAACAATAATATAGGAAATCTATTTGATATATACTATACATACTGCAAGCTCTCACATAGTCTTAACAAAATACAACACATTTCCTGGTTGCACACATTACTTAAGAAGACTGTGGCAGTACAAATTTGTCACTGTCAAACTCCCCTTTCCACAAGTCATTCATGAGAAGCAAAGAAAGGTGTGTGAATTTGAGTGCATGCAGGGGATAGGAATACATAGGATGGATATGAATATTAGGGCAATAGAGCTGCCATTTGCTATAATGCATTAATAGGCAATACACACTACCTTATCTATGTCTATAACCCCAAAGCCAATCAAGAGAGCTGGTTGGTAGCAAACCAAGCACAACAGTGTCCCAAAATAAGAGTGGGATCAGGTTATCTTGTTGTCTCACAAATCAACACGATACTCTGGAACCCACAGAATTGGATTCTCTACACACCCAAGATTTAATGACAACAGAAGCCAAACCCATTGACAACATCAGTGCTCACCTTAAGCCCCACAGTATTATGGGCAATGTTTTTTCCCGTTCTCCTGTTTTCACTAAGAGCTTCCATGTTACTAATCCAGCCATCAACTTGTTCCAAGATCTCCTTGTGCTTCAGCCAGAAGTGACGTTCAATCACCTAGAAACAAAACACTGTCAGTCAATGTTGCATGTACTTGAGAATATAATGGCAATTAACACCCTAATACATTTTTATTGTTACCCAGATGGTAAATTATCCTCTATCATGATATATGTAGTTAAAACAAAGCTCTAAGATGGCAGCATGGCAACTTACAGTTATCAACTATACATTTCATTTTAAATTTATTTATATCTTTAGCACAATGTAGGAAAAGTAAGTTTAAAAACTTGTTAAATGTAATTAAATTCCTCTTTCTGTTAACGCACCGGTACCTACCTGTAGCTATCTTGCCGAGAGTGTTCCAATCTACAAGTCACATCAGTTGCCCAAGTTCATTTGGCCTACCAAGGGACCAGAACCTCCCTCACGAGACCCAGAAAGCAAATGACATTCCACCACTTCACTGGGAAAGCATCCAGAAAGTCAGCGAAGATTTATAGACAACTGTTTGGTTCAGAAGACTCAAACCACTAAATTGCCAAATAACTCTTCAAAACAAACCAAAAGAAAATACACAAAATTAGCTAAAACCTATTAGTACCAAATGCAGCCACCAGGTAGTCCAGAGATTAGTCCAGCATCAGCTATCATATCAGTTCAGAAACAGATAAACACTGCAATGAATCGAACATAGAAGTGAGGGAGGGAGACAAAGCTACCAGGGCAAGTCAGTTGGTACCCACCAAACACACACCAAAACTATGACGTTGGTACAACATTCGAACAAGTTTTAACACCTCCTAACCAGTTATAACAACCAATATAGCAAGTTGTAACAACGTTCAAATATGTCATAAACACATTAAGCCAAGATGTAGCAACTTTATTACAAGTTGTAACAAGCGGAAAATAGAGACAGTTATGGTTTGTGTTTCCAGGGTAGCTCCATCAAACCAGTTCCGTTAAGGGACTCGCTAGACCAAGAGATCTTGGCCCAACAGGCTGTCACTTAGAGTTTGCTTGGCCACATATCCACTACAGTCCAGTTGGTCCAGCACTTCTTGTAGAAAAGTGCCAAACTTTTTCTTGAAGACTTCCAATTTTGTTCCGGCAATATTTCTTATTTTTTTTGTTGGAATACTGAACAATCGTGAACCTCTGATGTTCAGTGTGTGTTCCGTCACTTCACCAAGAACGAAAACCTAGTGATCTGGAAAAGAACCAGCTCTTTGGCTAGCCGATACACTAAACTGGGAGCTGAAATTAGCCAGTTGTCAAGGTAGACCAAAATTTGAACCTCTTAGAGACGGACGTTCTTGCTAACCTGGTGAAAATATAGGGAGCCAGATTAAAGCCATAGGACAGATCCTGAAAGTGGTAAGTACGATGCCCCACCACACAAAACGTAACTAGCAATATCCTTTACTTGGAAAGAGAAAAAAAAAAGTATTAAAAGGTACAGAGCTGTATCACAAAAGGAAATTCTTACCTCTTTGAAACATGGAGATGGATTACGTAGCTGATTAAGCATAGCCCATCTGACTGTCGCAGCTCGTATATTTGCATCATATTCACGAGAATTTTGCATAGCAGTTGGCGTCCCTCTCGACCTCTCATACCCTGGCTCATTGAAGTAAGGTTCACTCACAAAGATCAAACTTTGAATTGACACTAGCACCTGTTGAAGCATTAAGAATGTTAATCATATTAGGAAGAATCTGAAGCCAATATACAATTTTAAATAAAAAAAGGACAAAATTGGTTCTCTCTCAATGTTCCTAAGCTAGCCGAATAACATTGGTTGCACACCAGAAGTTGGTGAACATAAGAACAGTATTTAAAAATCCAAACAATGAAGTTTTCAAGTGCAGTAGATTTACACTGCCTATAAGAGACCCATTATTGAAATATTGTATGCAAAATTGGAAAGAAATTAACACCATTCCATATAAATAACTATGCTTCATCAACATAAGTGGATCAGGACTTCTCTTACTGGTGAGTACAAACAAAATACTGTTGCATTTATGCTATGAACCTGTCGATTTTTCTCCTAGATTTTTTCTGACATTTCTCCATTTGTTTTTCCTACCGTTCTAGTTTATTTTTTTCTCAATTTCTGGTTTACGAACTTACACAATAACCGACAGGCCTCGCCCACAAGGGGTTCGTAAACAAAGTGGTCCTCTGTACCACATCTGCATTCTGTTTTTCTTCCAATACCTCTGGTTTTGTCATGGTGGTCAAGTAGCTGCGAGAGGCATGATCTTCCCACTCTAAAAATGCATGTTGGCCTGTGTTGTGAAGGTCATGGGTTTCCATGAAACTAGTGACCTGACTCCTGATCACTCTCTCACATACTTTTATTATGTGGGACGTTAGTGCAACTGGTTTAATTCTTTGCCATTGCTTAGCTCCCTCCCTTGTATAGAGGGTCTATGTCTGCTGATTTAAGCACATCTGATATCTCCCCAGAGTCCAAGCTCTTCCTCCACACTATACTGAATGCCTATGCTAGTGGCACTTTTCATTTTTTTATAAATATTGAATTCCATGAGTCTGGACCCGGGGCTGAGTACGTGGGCATGTTGTCAACTTCTCTTTCAAACTCTGCCATGCTCGTGCTGATTATTATTGACTGACTGATTATTATTAACAGTTATATTTACAGGGTTTGAATATCACGCATATTGAAGTTGTCTGAATCTTCCACTTTTATGCTGTTTATTGAAGTGCTAAACATGTCCTCATACAGTACTGCTTTTTTAGGATTTCACTAATTTCTTTGTCATCCTCAGCGTATGAACCTTCACTCGTACAAATAGGTCCAATACTGGCAGTGGTTTTTGCTTCTGATTTAGCATATGTGAAGAAATATTTTGGGTTTTTCTTTATTTCTTAAATTGCTTTGTTCTAGTTGCCTTTCTTCAATTTGATATGAATGCTTCAGTCTCTGCTCAATTTCTTTATTCTCCCTGATTAAATTATTCCTCCTTTGTATAGAAAATCATGTCTGCATTTCCGTGATTTTTTTTCCTTCTTTTGAAGTGTCGTGTGCATTCACTTTCTACATTGGACCTCTTTCTGGCTTTCCTCATGTTTCAGACAGAATTTATATGCTTCAGAAGTCAGTTTTTCTATTCCTTATGTAGGATTTGTATTAATTAGAACAGTGTCCCATTGAATGTTTGTAAGTTCCCAGTTTATTTTCTACCAGTCTAGCCTTTTATTATTAAAATTGAATTTACTGAATAACCCCTCTCGCTTGATCATTGTTTTAGGTCTATTCTGAGTATTGATGGTAGTTTTTTGCACTTCAATGAGCTTTTGGTATCTGAGATGATAATATCCCCGATTATGTCTTCATTGTAAGTAAAAACCAGATCTAGATTATTTTTGTTCCAAGTTGGCTCTGATATTTGCTGGCTGAATGAAAATTTGTCACAGAATCTAAGTAGTTCTCTAATCTGTGGTTGGTTATGTCCAAATAGATTTCTTGGTATAATATTAATGTTTACTATTCTCCATCTTAGACTAGGCAGGTTCAAGTCACCTAGCAAAATAATATCAGATATTGGGTTTGCAAAATTATCAAGGTTATTCTCTATTTTGTTAATCTGTTCTGTGAATTCCTCTGCCATTGCATCTAGAGGTTTGTATATTAGAATAACAGGTTTATGTTCTGTATTTTTTACTCCCAATACCTCTACCACCTCATTTGTAGTTAAGGAGCTCCAAGCAAACAAGGTCTTCCGTAATATACAGACCCACTCCTCCATGTGACCTATTTACCCTATCACACCAGTATAGATTATATCCTGGTATCCAGATCTTGCTATCCAAAAATTCCCCTACATGGGTTTCTGTGAAAGCTCTGAATGCTTCACTTGACTCAGTAAGGAGGCCATTTATGAACGGTATTTTTTTTTTTTTTCTCTTGATCTTAGTCCTTGTATGTTGGCAAAGATGAATGAGGCTACTCTATTTGGGGTAGTTTGACTGGGAGACTTTTCAGGCAGGTCCATTATGCGTGGGCAAATTGAGTGTGTTCTGACCAGTGCCGACTATTGTAGGGTTGCTGCCTGTCGTAGTTATAGCTCTTGTGGTGTGTAATTGTATCTGTGCTTCTGGTATGCAAGTGGGTCTTATCCAGTTCCATGCATTCTGTATGTTCCCCATTTTGAAATCTCTTTTGTCTTGGTATAAAAAATTATTTGAGTTTCCTCCAAATCCATTATCTTGCTTACTACTCTGTATATTGTGTTCTGTGCCTTTCACATGAAAGTATGGGCAGCTGAGGTCGTAGCATTTTCTGTCCTCGAGTGATGTTTTGCATGTCAGGACGGAAACATACATGTTGATCTAAATCGATACTTTCCTTTCCTAAGCATATTTAAATGTTTCCAGGGATGATGGTAGCTGCATTCTAATCCCTTTCTATTTCCAGAATGTCTATGTCTGCAAATGCCCTTTACCTAGAACCTCTCACACTGTGCAATAGTCTAGCCCATTTTTCCGAAATGACAAAGCATTCTACATACTGTACGTTTACTGAACAAACAGAAATATTTAGTATCAAGGTGGATTGAACTAAGTGGTTCCAGTTTGGCTGTTTGTTTTATAAAACTTGGTGTCAAAAATTCTCCCGTTCACTAGGTAATCAACACATGTTTCAAGTATGAACTTTCTTATACTGCTACTAAAAAAAAATAATCAGAAAAAGTATTTACAATCGATTGCACTTCAATTTTTAAATAAGCTTATTACATATATTCTGTACTAAGCCTGGCATGGTTGTTACATACTTGTAGAAGAGAAGAAGTCTGAGGATTCCACTTCTCCTCGGGCCTGCCATGCCACGTGTTGAGGATGCTCAGACACACCTTCCCATCCTGATACAGGTTGGGATTAAAGCGTACCTGCAACAAATACACAAACATTACACCTCTGCCTCTTGTTGCTTCCGGGAATCAATGTCCCGAATCAATGTCCCAGCAGCCCATTTCCTGACTATACTGCTGAAAAATGGAGAGGGAGCGAAAGAAAATATAATTGTTGTTAAATGACAACCATTTTGTACTTTACTAAGTCTGAAAGATCAGTGTGAAACCTTGTCTTTGCAGCCCATCCTCCTAAGGTTTCTTAATGTCAAGAAAATGTCATACTAAAATGCCCTTATCATAACTTGCCATACGACCCAAACCAGAATATGGGACAGTGTCAATTTTGCGTGCTTCTACCATTTTTTAGTACTACAATTTTTGGCCTTGTGTAAAGTATATGTCAAAATCCGAAGTGCTATTAGGAGCAGCATTATCGAACTGCTATTATCAAACCTGGCCTCAGGCCCGGCCTGAGGTCAGGATCTGATACCTGATACCTGGTACCTCGAGTGATCGAGCATGATCGAGTGGTAGTAGTAGTAATAGTGTATATACAAGTTTTCTGCCACAGAAAGATATATGTATGTATTTGTAGATTAGTTGACGGTTGTCCATGTACACGAAAGAAGACTGGTAAATGAATGTGGACAAATGTAAAGGAAGTCAATATAGGACTTCCTTTACATTTGAAATTAGTGTGTGAAATTAGTGTCTAGGGAAAAGTGTTAGAAGTAGTTGATCCCTTTAAACAGCTGGTAGGTGACTGACAAGAGGAGGTTTGTGTAAGCAAAAATGGGAGTCGAGGTAGACAGAAAAGGGGCTTTTACAAAGAAAACAACAGATTGGCACAAGAAAAAAGAGGTAGTGACAAATGTTTAAAAAGATTCAAAGAAAGAAGGTAGACAAGTTGCATATAGGTGCAAATAATATTTTAATTATTTAAACCATGTAATTATACATCAATAACACTTGCCCATTAAATTAAGTTCCCCACTGACGGAGGCTGAAAGCCTGCTAAGTTCATCGATGTCTCCAAGGCTAACAGTTGACCATTTCCCAGGACACAACCCACAATAGTCCACTAACTTTGGGTACCTACAGTATGCATTACCAAGTGAACAGAGCATCGAGTGCAAGCAAATGTTCAAAAAGCTTCGTCCTGCCCAACAATCTTATCCAGGACCAACTGGTTGTAATCCGACTGTACTTGACAGCGGCTTGTTTGAAATTATTTTAAACACAGTCATTACAAAAATAACCAAATCTAACATTTCTTTTGGATGGTCAATGTAAGAACGAAATAGTAGACTTACACGTCCCTCCCCAGTAGTCTGGAGGTTGATGTGGAGTGGAGAGGTTGGGTAGTCTACAGGGAAGTAGACATCAAATTCAAAGCAGCCATTGGCATAAGGGGTGTCCTCGGGCCCTGTGATAAGCACCTAGAAATAAAAAAAATATATATATATATATATATATAACTAAGCTTATTACATAAAGAAGTATTAATTACAAACCATATGCATCATAACCTCATAGATTCCTTGTAACACCCTGTTTGGGTGGTAGGCAAGTGGAATGCATTGAAAGAAATGGTTGTTGAAGCCAATTCTAGTCACAACTTAAAAAAAAAAAAAAATTATAAAATGTTAATATTAAATTAAGAGGGGGGTAATTAGTGCACCATGTATGAATGGGTAAAAGGCAGGGTATAAAGAGCTAGATCTAACTCCCCATAATTACTGATAGATAAGCACATCTTCTGTAATTAGCCCCCCCCCCCTTCAGCTATTACCACATACGCCTCTATTCACAATGAGTCCCCCTCGACTGTGGTCATACTGTATCTTCCTAAGCTGTTCGTTACGTTCTCTTAATGTTTTGTTTATTTTCCTTATATGAACATTACCCCCATAAATTAACATTTGACAACTCATTCATTAATATATACTGTATGTAACAGCTTTACCAAATATTCACGGCCCACACTCTTCACAAATGCAATGTACTAATCTTACAATAGCATTGCTTTCACTTTAATACACCTATCCAGGACTACTAATTCCACACTTTCATCACAAAGAGCTAAGAGATCCTTCAGTTTATTCTCCCTAGTAAACAATGCTCATCTGGTATTAAGAAGTTAACTTTTCTACCCAATTCAAAAGTAGTAAGGTTGATGATGTATGTGGATACCACACCAACCTTTATCCACACCTTGGTTTACTGAAGGATGTATTTCCTTCATCTAAGGAAGGTAAGTACTGTGGTAGCAAGTACTCCTACCACAGTACTTGCCAGCACCAAGTCGTCGTCATAACCATAACCTGGCTTATATCAAACACATTATGAAGCTTATCAAGTCTTCGCTGCAAGATCCTCATTCATCTTTGTATCTGATGCCTTTCTCTTACTGGCAGCTCCCTGAATTTACCTAAAGGCTACATGTACCTACCGGTCACAACAGGGACAAGAAGCCAATAACTTGTCAAAGGTTTTCTTTATAATTTTTTCCAACTGGTTGTTCAACTGCAGTAATATCTTGGCATACACAGCTTTGGTAGGTAGGCAATTTCATGTTTATACCCAATGAGTTAAAAAGCCAGGACAAAGCCTTGTGGAGCACTAGGTTCACAGGCAAACCTTCACATTCCAGTAAGTGGGTTCTCTACAAATTTCACTAATCCTCTGTGAACAGATCATCAATGTCTTCCATACAAGCCTATTGAAGTACACAATATTATCAAATGTTTTATTACCTCTAATTTAAGCATCAAGATGAAGCACTACACTGACAAATGTTACTGCATCCATGGATAACCAAAGAAAACCAAGCTGGTTTATTATTTACCTCTAATACACATACAGTATCTAATATTTTACTAATAAATAATTAAAAATATATCTTATGAAAAAGCAGATAACATTTATATCTAAAGAAACTATGAATTTTAGGAAGGGTTCCCACTTCATTTTGCCCATTATACCATATCCATTATAGACTTCACCTACCCACTCAACTCTTAAACAAATAGTGGAGTCTTCCTCTCCATCTATATGGAAACAAACAATAAAACACATTTCATATTTCAACGTATAAACCCGCAGACTTCAAACAAACCTTCATGATGTCTAATCTATCGAGATCTGTGCGGACAAACACTGAAGAAGAATACGACAAAGGGAGTGACGATGATAAGGTAACTGCTTCCTGGGCCAACCGCTTCATCCTGCGTGGTGTACACAGGTCTCCTGCTCCTCTTACTGAGCCTTCGTAGTGATGTGACACAACAAACCGAATACCTCGTTCACAATCTTCAACAACCATTTCATATGTATCTGAAAAGAAGTAGATTTTCAATTTTGTTAGTAAAAGCTAAAATCCACATACATAAGGCCTACAACTTGCCCAATTGTAAGCATGAACATACATCACGTTAATCTCAAATATGTACGTACTACACCAGCATATGAGGATAAGAAACAAAGTTATGGTATGTTAGGCACAAAAAAAAAAAAAATAATCTGCAGATTAAATTAAAGGTTAAGGAATAAAGCTGACAAGAGTATGTAATATTCTTAACCAAATCCAAATAGTGGAGGGAAAAAATTCCCGAGGAACATAATCAAGCAAGACGGTGGGAATCAAAGAATCTACTTTGGCCAAGGTACTTAACAAGAATTCCCTTGATCAATCAAAATTTGCAGAACTTTGTCACCCAAAATTAATAGTACCAATAACAACTGGGAATGGAATATACAAAGCACGAAGTGTTGCACCCATAGAGTCAATGTTTTGTACTGTTAATTTTGTACATGGCCCAAGAAAGCATCAATGAAACCTAACTTTTCCCTAGGCCTAATATAGAACACACATACAGTATATTTAATTAATTTTAAGACTGCATGTATTAGGCCTAAGATTACTTATTTAGGTCTAAGACATGTAACGTTTGGTTAATGGTTAGTCTCAATTTGTTATGCCCTTTAGAATTCCAACAGTACGAATCATTTACTTTTCTTTTGGCAACAGTTGTCCATATTTTGTACATTTCATCTACAGCAGCTATATGTATAATTTTTGGAGGATGGGCCGAAATATTCTTTAGACTCGGCAAATACTCGAGAGGCACCTAAATTTGCCAACAATAATGCAATACTCTATCAATAATGTAGAATGAAATAGTGAAGACCTCAGAGAGCATGCTAATATTTATGAATGATTAGTGAGAATGACTGACACCCTTGAAACTTTCCCATGGTCTTAAGTGTAGATATTTAAGAGTTACTTCATGATAATGTAGATGATTATAAACACTTGTACTGTACAATCAATCTTACCAAACTGCATTGGCTTAAGGCTGCTGAGGTACACTTCCATCAGCGACCGAGACGATACTGGCTGGGCTGAAGCTCCTCCATCGATGTGGTCCTCATTCTCCAGCTCCTGCTGCAATCGCTCTGTACACACCTAATACCCCATGCAGTACAATTTATGATCAGAAAATGGTAGTGTTATTCAAATCTGTTAAACTTTGTTTCTTAAATGTTGAGGTGGCTCTTCTATAAACGTTCTAACAGTTATTTTAAACATTTTACTGTGACAGGCAGAATCCCTACAAACTTTTAATACAGCCCAAATTTCCTGATGTTGAATAAATCTTCTCCATCCACCTTCAACTTTATCCCCCCACTTCTCTGCCTCCTACCACTTTTCTGTTCTCTTTCTCTATATATATATATGCCTTTTTACCAATTAATAGCTAATGAGATTACAGCAGAGTACTTACCTTAACAACTACAGCAGTATTCTGTATATCAGGAACAATTAAGGATAAACCTTCCTCCTGCTCTACTTCATCTGAGGAGATGTTGTTGCCTCCATTTCCATTGTTAACCCCTCCTGCTGCTTTAGACGACTTCCACCTAAGCTTTGCCATGTACGTATTTACGGTCGTCTTCATCTTTTCCAAAAGTGCAGGAATGCAGGGCAGGGGAGTGGCTTCAGTCCCTCCATAAGATGGCACAGAATTTTGCTGTGTCATCAAGAGCGGGGCGAGGCTGGAAGTGACTGACAAGCCACGTACCAGTGCCAGAAGAGCTCGATAGAGGGGCACATGACGAGACATATCCAGAACTGTCACGAAAATTATAATTGTTCAGTTTTGCAATGGTTTTTAATATATCAAATACGAAGTGAATCAACATATTAGTACAAGTTTTTCTTTCATCTAGTAATCTGCTATCTCTGACCACATACATACCAGAATCATTGCTAAGGTTGGAGGCGATAGTCGTTATAAGTCCAGAATTCTGGAAGAGATGAAGAAGAGCCGACGGAAGGGCAGGTGGAGCATGCGGAGACGACGACATCAGGGGAATGACGCAACTCTCACTATGAGAGTCTGATGATCCACCATCATTCTGCGAGTCAAAGCTGCCACCCGACACAGCTCCGTTTGTTTCTTGTTGTAGCTCAGCAGGCACAATATCCCCTGATTAATATAATTTTATGCTTAATGATTAATATAATTTTATGCTTAATAAGGAATCTTAGTATAGTCAACCTTTACTATCTACTAGGGATACACTGAAGGAAAATCTCAATACATACAAATTCACAAACATCAGGTGTACCCTGTTTGGCTGTCCTAAGCGATAAGGGTCAGTTGGTTGCTGGCAGAATTAAAGGCCGGCCAATGCAATAGTGCCAAAATTAGCAATTATGCTTCCTTCTATACATTTTCTTATATAATTAAGGTGTGTTATATTGAATGTAATATAATGCATATAAGACATTGCATACAAAACTATACTTTTTCTTCAAAATGTAAATGTTTTCAAATTATACTTGGAATATTATTATACAATAACTTGGAAAGTGCCAAGATGCAAAAATGTACTGAAATCCAAAAATAAAAGTGAAAACTTTCTTTCTGAACAAGAGACGCTGTCACACCAAAAAGGGTTCATTACAAATCTTCCAGTTCAAGTTTATTGTATTTGTCATTGTGTCCACTGCTTGTACTCATCTACACTGATATAATTAAGAAAACACTTGCTTGTACACACCTGGATTGATGTACTTGGCAAGGAGGCGCACAAGCCAAACTACGTGTTCCTCCTCCACCTTCTGTCTCACGAGAGCTTGCTCCACATCCCAGCTCTGGGTGGTGCTGCCCGTGCCAAAACCTGTGCCTTTGGCCCAATAGTGGCATCGGTCCCCTTCACCTCGGTGAATGCCGATGGAATCACGGGTGTCCACACACGTGGCTCTTGTTGTTGCCACAACAAGGCCAATGGGCACATTCTGCAATACGAAAGTTATCCGATTATGTCGACAGAATATATTTAATAACAAAGCACGAAAAGCTGATGTAACTGGCCAGTGTAGAGGTTTGTGGAAGAGATTCTCATAAATGAATTGAACTATATACCAGTGTGTGTGTGTAAATAGTGCTGCTTGAATTTAATTCCAGAAACACTAACAGTCATGAGTAATACTGTGATTAACCCTATAAATTATCCTTGGCTTTCCGACCAATGCAAAGTGGCTGCTGTATACTCAGCAGATACTAACCACAACTACTGTAATTCAAATTTTGGGATTCACAGTAGATGGGAATACAGGCAGGATAACTAAGATCGACAATGGGAAAATACAGGACAGAGTGGGTGACAAGTGAATCTATATCATATAAACATTGACTTAAAGAATAAAAATAGTTTTCAGAATGACAACAAAATCAAAACAGGATGTTGAAATTGCTTGGTCAACCCTAGATGAAACTTGATATGAAAGAAATTTAGACATGAAAATCAAAAAGGGATTATAAGAGAGAAGTGGCTCTATTTTGGAAACAAAATAATAGATTATAGTACAGTAGTTAAGAAAGCCACAATCTTCTAAAAACATAGAAAACCTGTATATCAAATTGAGATGTTTTGAATTCCTTTGTGTTATATTTTATTGTTTGATAACAGATTTTACAATAATTTATTATATCCGAGTTTGTTTTACAGCTTATTATATTTATGTATAGTTCTTTTAGCTTGGGTTTAGACAAGAGACCACATCCCAACATACCAATGTAGCAGCAGCTGAGGTGAACAAATATAATTTGTTTTAAATTATACTGGATAACTTAAACTGAATTTGCATATGTTTGGGGCTATAGCTGAATACATTGTAATGTGGCTTGCACTAATGAGGTCCCATTAACATCATTCACGATGCCAAGAAAGGGGAAACCAAAACATTATCAATTAGATAGCTGGGAAAAGTTTAACCCTGCATAACAAGGACCATCAAGTGCAGCAAGGCATAATACCTGGTGGTAGAGAGATGAGACGACCTCTGGTGTGTCCTGGTGTGACAGTGCTGCTAGACACGCCAGGATGAGATGTAGTGCTCCCGACTCTAGACACATGCGACGCAGCAGCACTCCGTCATCCGTCGTGAGAGGTGTGGCTTCCAGCAGGGACTCCAGCACTTGGAAGGGCATTGTTGCCAGCGAGCCACCCACACCTGGTCCTACAATATCCCCTGGAGATATGTAAGTGCATTATTCCCAATATAACAGACAATATCTCAAAAAATTTCACCATGCTGTACTTTAGAAAATTAAAATCTGACTTAGTTCTTGCATTTATCCTTATTTCTGGAATATGACTTAATAAAAATTACAAGATGTATATATAACATTTTTAAGAAAATATGAGTTTTGTAACCAAAACAGATTCATTGTAATCTTGCATTATGATTTCAATTTCATAAAGAATTTATAATTAGAGAAAATAGGTGAAAAGCACAGTCTCCAGAAAAATTACACTTACCGCCATCACCATCATCAGTAACTCCTAAGGCAAGGCGAAGAAGACAGCATGCTTTGTGGGTGTCTTTCAAAAGGGTCTCTGCATATCCCGGAAGGCGCAGGAAGAGTGTGAAGGCTCCCAAGGCATGTGGTGGAATGGAGGGTAGGGTGAGGAGGCTGACTGTGCCTCCACCAACTGGTCCTGGAGACCCACCGCTCCCTCCTCCCATCACCAGGTAGTCTAACATATTCGCTGACTGAATATAAAAAAACAGGGATACAATTAGATACATAAAACAAAATCCACTTACTGTATCTGCACATCACGTATATTATCTGAAAAAATTCTTTAATGTTTCAGGCAAAGGCTTCATGGTCAAATTAAAAAAAAATTTGCCATTTCAATAATTGCGAATCACACAAGATCCGGGAAGATAAGGACCCTATATACCAGGCTACTTGCCGTCACTGAAACATTACCATGAGAGGTAAAATGAGGATTTTCCATAAAAATCCTCAGGTGTACTATTAGAGACAATGTAAATGTATGTGCCTAGTAGAGTAGATATTGATTCTCTAACCACTGTGTCATGATTGCTTCTATATTTCCCTGCAATTGCTATAATGCAAACAGAATTGCATTTCTTAAATGTTAATGTATCATTGCTGGTCACACTTTGGACCTGCACCATTCTATATTGCACCTGTGCTATCACACTGTTGAGCCAATAGCATTCATTGATGAGTTTTTTTATATTTGACTTGATACTTACACAAAGTTCCTTCAATACTTTTGTTTGTGTGAGTGTGGACAGTCGTAAATAAAATATTGTTATTGAAGACATCAGTCTTTCTCCGAGACCTTAATGACCTTAGATATTAAATTTGTGGCACCTCTATTAACCATGTTCCACAAGTGATCACTTATAAGTACAAAGACAATTCTACTCCCTCATGTACACAGGTCGAGGACAAACCTGCAGTCGAAGGGCATCAATCCAGCAGTAGGACCCCTCAACAAAAATAGAGTTAATCATAAAGAGAGAAAGCTTCGTATCATGGACTGACTATTGGTCTAAATTTGTTTTTTTGAGAGTGCTTGTGAATACAGTCTGACCAAGGTAATATCTAGACTAAGGCCATAATAGTGTTTGGAGAGTGCAATAAGGAATGCAGTTTGTGTAACATGTGCATACTGCTGCTGCACTAAAGCAACAAGTTCCACAGATGCTCAGTCTTCCCTTCCTCAAGGTCTTTGGGATTCACATTAACCAAATTTGAATAGTTAATTTTTGTCACTGGCTTCCTGGATGATCAGTGCATTGCTCTGAATATAGAATGGCCAAAACTTCCAAAACCTGGACTGTTATATAGTAGCTCGAAGGATAACTAAACAAATGATCAACACTTGCACAATAGTGCTCTGTACTAATGTAACGAGAGCAGTACATAGTACATGAACATCATAACAGCATGAACAAGCCACGTGGAGGATGAACAAACCACGGGCGCCAGTCAGGCGGCAGCAGACAATGTAAAAGTTACACCTCTGTACAAGTTAGCCATAGAGTCAGGTCAACGGTCATCGAATCACGAAGAGGTCAGAGTTGATGCCGTCATGATAATCTTCAGGGATTAACCCCTAAACATCAAATGTAAAACCCTCATGTTCAGCTGAGGAGCAGCAGATCATGGGACAGTCAGTAGAGTGGGCGCAGCCCAGTAGGGAGGTGTGTGTGGACTCGGGGAAGGAACATCATCTCCAGAAAAACTGTGGAACAACGCACGAGTAAGTACGGCTCTCTTGTACTAAAGAACCTCATTCAGTACCCTTGGCCTCTAGTAGGGAATATAGTTAGGGAGTGTCTTATTTAATTATTTTAAATAAAGTCATATATTAATTGTTATTAAATGTGTATTAATGGTTCCTTGCCTTAGTGATATTGGGCCTACCGTCCCCTTTGCCCCAGTGACCTAGTGTTCTTAATTATCCAATACTCCTCCCCCCGTTCGTTTTCCGTGTTGAGGTATTAGTATTGGGTGTGTCCCGCCTTATTCTTGTGTACACCATAGTTCCCAAGTGGTCAGGATTATTCGAGTGTCAGGCCAGGATCCTTGTACCGTTCAATTGTCCCCTACACCTGTCCTGGTAGGTTATTCCATCTGCAAGACCTACGACTCTCACTCCGGTCCCCTGTCCGGTAACTCAGGGTGGTGGCAGCGTCACTCGGCAACTCATACGATAGGCTGTGACTACGATTATCTCTTCTTTCTTCTTTCTGAAGAAGAAGATTATCTTTCTGTCTCACTCTCCCTCGCCCTCTCTCGTTCTCCCTCCCTTGCTCTCGTTCTCGCTCTGCCTCACTCTTCCTCTCTCTCTCTCTCCTCGGTTTACTGGTTTACGTCTTCGTATGACGGCCCAAGTGTTAACATCTTACATGATCGATAGCATCTGTTATTACCATAGAAAGAGCGGAGATTGCATGGTTAGCTCAGTGGTAGTAGCGGGGTGCGCGGTCGAGAGAGATAAACAAGGCGGGTTATTACACTAAGGCCCATATATCCATGTATCCCAGCTGTTACACAGTACTACTATATGATAAAAGTTTAGTCAACCACAGGTATATCAGCGAGCACATGACCTGCCTTATTTTGCCACAGTGTACATACACACTTCTTAGCAATGCTCTGCTTGACATCTGAGTTCGGGGGGGTTTGGAAAGCCAACAGCATGCTTGCAGCCACAAGTGTGTTCAGTTGGGTCTTAATCTTAATCTTCAAGATTATCATCTGCACTTTTGGAGGAGGTTTTAGATAACCTGGTGAAGAATTTCCTGGGCCATTGGATGCTTCCTGCACCTGCAGCTTCTTCGAGCACCACTCTGCAGCAAAGTCATACCACTGTTTTATATTTTCAACTTTATTACTTCCACTCCTGTTTAGTGCTATTCAATTGGACCAAATCAGATTTTGCCTTAGGGAGCAATCAAGTGCACTACTCAGGAAAGCCCCTTTTCAAATTTAATCAAAGGCTTCCTTTTAATATAAAAAATATACTTTTTCATATTTTGGTGCCATATTATGGTTCAAAGAATAAATGATTTGTTTCAATGGAATTTTTCTGTTATTTTTTCTATTCCTGCCAATCTTCTGTCCAACTGGGCTTCCACTGTACAGTGGAAGCCCAGTTGGACAGAATACAATACAATAATACAGATGATTCTTAAATATAAATAAGGATACATTTCTTGCCCATGAATACATTCTGAGCTTTTAGAACTTTGTTAAGGCTCTTATGGGAAAATGGGATGCATTAAATGACCAATGATTTTACAACAGCACAATTATTAAAATGCTGTTCAGTACTGTATATTTTCTATTGTTAAATGTTAAAACATCCTCTAGGTGGATAACCACTATACAACGGGGTGAAAAATAACATTTTGTTCAGTAGAACCACCCCATAAAGCTCGGGAAATAAGAAACCATCAACAAACATTAAGGCTGTGCGACAGAATTAAATACACCACCAAATGGATCACAATGGACTAAAAGTATTTAAATGAGACATACTACTTAACTTACAAGGAGTTTGGATGGCACCACCTGGTACCACAGTCCAAGTTTTACAATTCAATTCCATCGTATACGTAGCCTCAATCGTCATTCAATGCTTCATCACGTTATTGTGAATTACATTGTGCATCATGTACCATATCTCCTTTAATGTTGCTCTAATCCATTTTTAGGGATTTTTATAGAAATGGCAATATTAGGAGATGGGGCCATGGAAAACCCTGAGTATATTGAACCAAAATTAAGTCAATTCTGAGTTAGATGCATGGACATACAAACATGCATAGATTGAAATACCGACCACAAATAATTTTAATGGGTCTCACTTTATTTCCCGAGCAGCTTCAGCCTATAAAGGTTTTTGACTACAAATTTAAAAGTTAACAATATGGTGTATACGTGAAAATAAGGCGAGTGACAGCCGGTCAATCTTGGCTCGTATTTATCCCGACGGGAAAACAAATGATGCTACAAAAGGTGGTACCACTGACCTCATAATCATTCATCTCAACACTGACCCAATCATTCTCCACCAGTATCTCTCCTTTGTCTCCGTTGCTGCCCCGCACACACGACGCAGTACTAGGTTGCTGAGAAGTAATTTAAAAATATTAAATAACAGACATTTACATAATATTGATACTAGTATAATGTTCCCCCCCCCCACCCCCTAAGTACACCAGAATGCAGAACCAGAAGCTAAATGATATCATTAAATTTGAGTCAAAGTGTTAAAGGTACTGTAATTAAATCATAAAAACTGATTGTGTGGTGTACCTGTTGGCCCATGTCAGGGTAGAGGAGTGACATGTGCTGGGCTAGAAGTGACAGGCCACCTTGGCTGGTGAAGACATGTAGGGTGGACGCCAGTGGCTCGGTACACAACAGTGCACCTTCCCGCCCACTTTCACCTTCTGAAAGCAAAGAAACACCCGACCGGGTCAATACAAAAACAGCACAATGTTATTTATTTTACTCGGTATTATTGTCTTGTCTCGGAGAGAATGGTTGCTGTTGCCCCTCGAGGGGTTCGGTGTGATGCTATACCGAATGATAATAGTTAATAAAGGTCGTGTGTAAATATCTTTAGCCTTTTCCTAAACTGATTCCATATTTTGTTCAGGTAACCATAACAGCAGTAATGATGGCATTACTTGACTTCATCAACACTTGCCATATGTGGTTCTAAATGTAGATCATTATATACTGAAAGACAAATCTTTAACATGAACTCTTATAGAATTATAAGTTCAAGTTCCTACTCTAATATTTTATTCAGATGGCCCTTGCTATCCATAAGTTCAGCTTACACAAAAATCACCATCCACAGGAGAAAGAGTATTCAAAACTTTACTAAACATGAGCCAAGTTTTGTACTCACAAAGTCGGCTTCAGTTTTTGTGCAATTTACTTTATGCATTTATTAATAGCTTATATTCTTGCATCATGGCAGCTTACCAACATTCTGCAATATCTGCTGCACCGAAATATGCCTCCATGAAAGACAATATTTACTCTTATATCATTGACTAGTGTCTAGATCTATTTTTTGTGTTGTATTTCTGGCTGGGAAGCCTTTAATTAATAATGACATTTAAGGTGGTGTAGTACAGAGAGTGGAAAAAGAAAAAAGTATTTTAGGAGGCCTCTGAAGTACTGTGCATCTACTTCTCCCATGTAACTTCAACTTAATATTTATGAATTTGAAGTACCAAGGTTTTCCAGGAATGCATTCCTTGTGGACAGCAAGGAGTCACTAATTTTAGGAATATACAAGTCTTATCATCCACAAATCATGCATTTACATCCATAACATTGCTTCACAGGGTATTCTTTGTACAGCGAAGGAAATGAAGTAAATTAATATTGCCTGTCGTTACAGCCAAGTTCATTCTTATCATGGTGGTAAAGACAAGCTTTTCCCCAATTTATATTTAGTTTTATGAATATTAGATGCTAACCTTAAACCAGTTTTATCAAGAGAAGCTTAAGACTTCATTATCTGCAACATTCTCTACCAACTAACCTACACTGCGCCACATTTTCTCACATACATAACTGCTATTCACTAAATGTATGAACACCCATTTGATGACCAAACCAGCCATCAGAAAATGAAGCAATGACAACATTTTGGTCCATCCTGGACCATTATCGAACTCATTATTATATCTTTAGCCACGTTATTGTGACTCATCGTCAACACCCACTTCTTTCAACACAGAGCCTGAATTTTGTTTATATCTTCCCCTCTACTATTTACTCTCATCATTCTCTCTTGCCATTTTTGTCCTCACACAATAAATTTCTTTCAATACCCAAGGAAGAAATTCAGAGATTAACTGCCTCACACCAACTTACTCCACTCACCACATCTATGTAAACAGTCTTTAATACTGGCAATGTTTACCATTGAAATGATCAGAAATACCGAACGACATTAAAAATCTGACAGAGTACAGAGCTGTGCGCTAAAGTGAAAACAGAATTCTTGAAAATTATAATTTTTTTTAATTAAGTACAACAAATGTCAAAATATACACTGACCCCTACTATGGTCCCTGCGGTTAGTGAGCGTGAGGGTGACGTGGGAGGCGGGTGGATGGCCCTGGTGACGGAGAGCGGCCATCACTTGGGCCACAGTCAGCGTGGATGGCAAGCCTGAGGAATTTCCCAAACTTTCGTGCACCAAGGCATATGACGAGGCACTTGACGTTCTTGTGGTTGCACACTTATTGAACTGTTTTTCAGCATCCTGATCCCCACCTGCAGGATAAAACTTAAGATTTAATAATACTGTTCGGTATTTTATGGAGAGCAAAGGCATTATTCTCCCCACTTCCTCCCCAAAAAAAGTAATGTGTAATTATAGTATAGTAAACGGTTACAGCTTTTAAATGATACAAACATTACAATTATCACTCATCTATTTACTACATCGTTACCAGGTACAGTGAAACCTCGAATAACGAATTTAATCCGTTCCGGTGCCGTGATCGTCATGTGAAACGGACATCATACAAAACGAATGTCCCCATTGACAATAATGGAAATTTAATTAATCCGTTCTACCACCGAAAAACATCAATATGATATTCGATGTTTTAAATAATGGAGCAGCCTACCTTACATACACTGAACAAACTTTTATGATATTTTTCTTTCTTCAAATTTGTTAAAAAAAAATTTTGCATTTGTCTTATAGCAAAAGGTTCGTTCGGTGTTCGGCAGGTAGGTTGCTCAATGTTTCTTTAAAAAAAAAAAAAATGGTTGAAACAATTTGAAAAATGGACAAATGCCATAAAGGTTCGTTCAGTGTTTGTCGGGTAGGCTGCTCCATTATAGCAATCTTTCTTTGTTTCAAATGTGTTGCCATTTGTTTTGTATTTTTCATTTACGTCTCAATAATGGAGCAGCCTACCCGGATAACCTCCCACTTCCCAGATAAGGTGGTATGGTGAATAAAATTTCATACTTGTATGTGTGTTGTAAGAAGAATTACCTCTTGGTCCTGCATGTTCACTTTTGGATATCTGGTGCAATACATAGAAGAAAATTGAGCGAAAGAGCAGTGAAGAAAGGACCAAAGGTGAATGAATAGAGCTCGAGAGTGAAAGCTTCTCGAGGCACCTGCAAAAACTATAAACAGCAGCTACTGAATAAAGACACTGTAAATAAACAAAGAGCTTTAAAAAAAATCATATATGGAAAGGAAGGAAGCACCTACAATCAATGAACCTGAATCACCAGACCAAAAATGAAAGACCTTTTTAGACTGAGGGCATGGATGAATCCCATATGACTGGCCAATGCATGACTACACCAGGCTGGACCTGGAACCAGCTATAGCTTGAAGACACAGCTCAAAACCAGGAAAAGGATAAGCTAGCAAAAGCCCAGACAAAAATCCTCGAGAGCTCAGGAGAAAGATTAGTGGCCTAAATGGACAAAAAACCTGAACAAACAAGGCTCAGCCAAAGCCAGTTGAAAAGTGAGTCCTTGAACAGTATGAGATGAACAGCAGAGTGGCAGAGGCCAATCTTAAAGAGAGGTGAAGCCTTGATGTATTTTGACCCATGAAAAATCCTGTTACCATTTTATAGTACGAATGTAGTTATCGTCATGAAGGTTACTAGGGAAATGTAGTCATCATCACATGACGATTTAAACTATTATTATCGGGGTTTTATATGTACAGTATAATGGAAATGTATACATAATAGCTCTCTGGACAAAAATAAAGAATATAAGTGATAAAACAATCAGTGAAACATCTGAGGATAAAACAGGAAGCATCAGCAAAGTCGGTAAGTATCAAACAGCCTCGCAGAGCGACTCCATCCAGTGAAACGAAAATGTTTCACTTATTTGTTTTCTTACACATTTCACATACAAATTAATAATTCTATAATGAAAAATTATTTTTTGGAATTTTTAATTTTTTTGCATAGGCGGGTATGATCATTTCTCCTTAGCCGCTGTCTAAAGGTTAGATGACATAAGTGGACTAAAGAACCGCATTAACACTCAATCCCACAGGACAGAAGAGGATGACAGGGTATGAAAGAAAACCTACTGAACTGGTGTTTCATTACACTCAAATACTCTATTTATATACTAACTTCCTGGAGGTTATGGCACTACACTGATATCACAGGGCCAACCCCTTCATAACAGCTTCATCCCACTATTGTGGCATACTGGCAACCAAGACCATAATCTGGTTCCCTCAAGGTAAGCCATTCTTTTGTTAACATTCCCTTGTCTGCTAGTTTGAGTTCATGGATTGGCTGCTGATAACACTTCATTTGTGCCTGGCATGCCCCCATATGTTCATTTGAATTACACAACTAGTTTATGTGCTTCTGGAAGGTTACCACAATACTCTGTTGAATCAGACACCATGGTTTTCCCAACCAAATTCAAAGCACATGGCCCATGTAGATGTGGATAAATAAAGGTACATCATAATTAAAAGGAAGGAGAGATGAACAGTGTTACATAGAGCAACAATGATTAAGGGAAGCGAATCTCATATTGCTAAGTGCCAAGAGATAAGCTTGGATCATCATCAAGCTTTACTTTGCAACATTTACGCACCTCTTCTAGGCATAGTCATGGACACCCTGTGAATAGTTGCATTTGCCTTGTTCTTACTCCTCTTGTCCTTTGCCGTCACTCCGGCAGCCACCGACAGCTTGTCCATCAGCTCCAAGTGACCAACTTCATTTGGCTCTCGGTGGTCGTTGCTGGTGAGATCTAGTTCGCCTGCACTGCTGTTCAACACTCCTCTCGACCAGTCTATGGCAAAAAATTATTAAAGAACTACCACTATGACTAAAAGTTGTTTGATTTCACGTGGTGTAATCTAATTAATGAGGAAAACAAAGACTTCACTACCCTGTTTCACACTGTCATTGGACTGGGAGGAATCAGCTAAGAAAAATTAAGCAGCAAATAATAAAAAATAAAACAAAAATACAAATTAAAATCCCTAACTATTTAATATATCTTAGAGACAATAGTACACACTGCAGCATCACATGGACACTGTCACACTCCAGCAAGGACCCCACAGCTTCATACAACTAATCTTGAGGCTATCTTGAGACGATTTCGGGGCTTTAGTGTCCCCGCGGCCCGGTCCTCGGCCAGGCCTCCGCCCCAGGGAAGCAGCCCGTGACAGCTGACTAACTCCCAGGTACCTATTTTACTGCTAGGTAACAGAGGCATAGGGTGAAAGAAACTCTGCCCATTGTTTCTCGCCGGCATCCGGGATCAAACCCTGGACCACAGGATCACAAGCCTAGTGTGCTGTCCGCTAGGCCGACCGGCTCCCCGAGTGGCTCTACACTAAGTGTAGAGTACTTTACCCAAGTTTTAGTGTAAACAAAGACAAACAAACAATAATAAGAATCATTAACTTTTTCAAACTGATCTCACGAAGCAATATTCAATACCGCTTATCCTGCACTGTTAACATTTCTTGTCTGTTTTATTATGCACTCTTCCACTCACCAAGTATGTTCTTCAAGGCCTTCCTCTTATCCTTACAGTTTCATTAGAATGTACTTGCTTAACCACTCTACCATCATCCACTAGTTATAAAACCCTTTTCTCAGTTTCAATATTTACACATTTTTCAAGCCACATTTTATGGTATTATCTCTCTAGCCCCCCCTAACACAACAAATACATGTCACTATAATGTTCTAACTATTTCTGAGTAATTCACATTAAGTCGTTTCACTAAAGTAAGATCCCTGAATTCTCTGGAGAAGGGCCATGATTGGTATGTGATATGTAGGATTCAGCATCTTGAGCAACTTTTCAGGTCCCTACAAAGTCATAAAAAGATGCTAAGGAGTCACTATGCAGCAGAAAATAAACATGCACGAGTAACTTTTGCACGAGTGCCAAATTAATCAAACTAATTCTTAAATGCATAAATACACTACAACAAAAACTACTGGTTTCTCTTCCGCAGTTACATTATACATCTAATAAAAAAAGAAACTTGGCGATACTGATTATACATGACTACTGTCAAGCAACAAAGTGCCAAAAAAATATTAAGTTTGGATTATTAGCAAATCATGACCAGAATACATAACTACAGTACCTATTAAGGGTATTGCTGGAGGATCAAGAGTGTCCCATTCTTATGCCACTAATTTCTTGTGTAGAATTTATAAATGTATGCATACGTTAATGTAATTTTGTGTGAATACCTATGTACACATACTAAAGGAATATGCCCGAATATTTTATATCAATGTACAGACATTTTGTTTTCTATTTCCATAGTGTGGGAAAGGATACAATCGCTGGAAGACTATTTTGCCCACAAGTGACAGAGCAATATTGTTAGATAAACTCCTCACAAGTATTGTAATTATAAAGAGATACATTCTAATAGTCAATTATAGTCAAACCAAGAGGTTGGTGCCAGAAACATAGGATTCCAGTAAAGAGTCTAAATGCGCTGAACCGGCACCCATTAGACGATACAACCAGACGAGACAAACAGCATACAGCCTACCGAGAAACAGTCTAAGGATACACTTCTAAATGAGGGAACGTTAATGCGAGTACAAAGGATGGAAATGAAGAATAATGAAGAGCACAGGGAAGTTGAAAGAACTTGTGGAGGAGGCAGTTGAAGCAAATTCAATCAACAGCTTCAAGAGTATAAACCATAGGAAATTTCAAGTCTTGTTTGCATCAGATACCCAAAAATTCAAGAGGTCTTCCTAACTGCTGCACATGCCATTAAGATGTAGATAAGAAAATGATAACTTGGATAAATTCATCACTTTTGGGATATATACATATCTTGGGCACTTTAAACCTTACACTGCTCCAATGGCTATTTACAATTTACTTCCTGTGCATAAACCACGACATGCGATATTTCCTAATTTGATTCGTTGCCCATTTTTGGTCAGGCATACCATGATGATGTACCTTTAAATTGCTGAGCAGTCCAAGGGTTAGCAAAGCTTAGTACTGTAGCAAAGCCTGTTACAGCAGTGTGCCAGTTGCCACCACCTAAACATTGTACCCATCCATTTATCACATGCATGTCCATGTGAAATGTACACAAATGACTTACATTTTAGTAAAGTAAACCTCAGATTATTTTACCTGTGACCATCTTGATAATTTCTGACATGGATGTCGTCGTTGGGAGACTGAGAAGTCTGGTCTTGTGTCCGGCTCCAAACTTAGGGTGTTGAGTGAGTGGTGGGAGGCTGCATCCAGTGGGTGATGAGAGGCTGCCCAGAGGACTGTTGATGTGCACCACCACACGCTCCGTCTCCAACAACAATTGCAATACTAGACGCCGAGTAAAACCCGAGAGTGAGTGTAGGTAGCTCACACCCCCTGCAACGTAAAGGACAATTTTTTACTTTACTTAACATTCAAGTACAGTTGTAATACTCTGTATGGGATGAGTACCCCCTATATACTCTATATGGGGGTGAATACCCCTGGTCAGTAGAGATGCATTTTGGGTACGTTTCTTGGTTTTATGGAGCATATTGGTTGTGTGTGTGTGTGTGTGTGTGTGTGTGTGTGTGTGTGTGTGTGTGTGTGTGTGTGTGTGTGTGTGTGTGTGTGTGTGTGTGTGTGTGTGTGTGTGTGTGTGTGTGTGTGTGTGTTGTGTGTGTGTGTGTGTGTGTGTGGGGGGGGGGGGGGCGTGGTTATGGTTCCCTGTGAAGCTGCCCCAGTCACCTTGGGAATGATCACCCTTTTCCCAAGGGTGTACCCTGCTTTCCTTAGGTGCATCCCACTTTTACATGAGTAATTTGAAAATACTGCAGCCATCTAATCTCAATGATTGAATACCTCACTGACCAATTCTCAGAAGTTACGTTTTACCTTACAATCATACTGATCTCTAATTACACAAATATCCATCATGCAAATACACACTGACCATTTCCTTCCCTTGTAAAACTGCTACCTCTCACTAAAACTTGTACCAGTTCTCATCCAATAAATTCGAGGTGGTAAATCCCAATTTCTTATTACCTGGAGGTGGAATATTTTGTCTCTGTATGAGGTGACACAAGGTCGAGGCCAACAGGTTCTGGTTGTGGGGGTGGTTATGGCAACACTGGCGCATGAGATGGATGGTAGCATCCTCCACACTGCTGTAGTCACTATCACTTCCACCAGAGGAACCACATCCACGCATCAGAGGCTCACTGCCGCGTACCAGAGGGTCACCTTCAAACAAACATTAACACTTCACAATGTAAGACTGAAAATTATACATTTAATGCATTTAATTATTCAAAATGAAGAATTAATTAAATAAAAAAATATTTACGATAGGCACGCGTGTGTGTGCACCACACTACTCTGAAAGATGGACTGCATTAAACATGCTAATAATTATTTTTATTTTTATGAAGGAATTTTATGCAATGTTTACATTTCCCATTTAATTTCTAATTTTATTTACCTCTATACCTAATTATACTGTAATACATATAGTGGAACTCTTACCTAAAACAGTCAGCAAAGGCAACCAAAACACCGATCCTTCTGCCGAACCCAGCCAGTCTCTCATGGGAGGTTCAGCACACAGCGCACCCAGCGTGTGCAGCGTGTGCGCCACGAGGGAAGTGCTCAGAGTGGGAACTATAGCTGCTGTGATCTGAGGAGGAGCCTGTGGCGTCGCTGATGATAGGGTGTCTTCTGCACTTCTTGACTTTTCAGCAACACTGGCTTTCTCCAAGTCAGTTGCACTCTCCCCGGCACTAGGGGATGTGCAGCTCTCCACCTGGTGTAACACTTCAGTTTTGCACCACTCTAATTAGGAAATAATAAGAAGAAAAACTTATTAATAAGAAATACAAACTTTCTTATCTGAAATAAGATGGATGAAATGCAATACAGTTGCACTGTCTAACTGAATATACCCACTACAGTACTTACAGACAAATTCCCCAACTACTAAACAGCTCCATTCATAACAAGCAATTATCGGCATTTTGTTTATAATAGTTGTGTGCATTGTTCATGACCTACCATTTGACTCTGCACCATTATTTCTATCTTCACTTATTCTCTTCCACATCGACAGCTCTCACTACCTCACACTTTGCTGATGATGTTAAACTGCTGAGATGGGGCAAGGACAGCAGAGGACTGCATAATACTAAAGGAGGGCCTAGACATGCTGCAGGAATGGAAGGCTGCATGGCTACTATATTTTACACCCAATAAATGTTCAAGTAATGGGATTTAGGAGAGGGGAGGAGCCCAGAGGAGCACTACAGTGTACGAGGCAAGCAGCTGCACGAGTCAAGACAAAAAGGGACTTGGGAGTGGATGTAACACCATCTTCAACACAAGACACACACATTACCTGAATAGCATTACTTGCAAATAAAACACATACAAATAAAAGATTACACACAAGAATGACATTTCAAGAATCTAACCAAAGAATCCTTCAGAAATATCATATACAGTACAGCATATGTTCGACCAGTCCTAGAGTATGCAGCTCCAGCATGGAACCCACACCAGGGAATAGGAAGAAACTGCATAAAGTCTAAAGATTTGCAAAAAGGCAATCACTAGAGATATAAACTATAAGTACTGTACATAAAAGGTGAATAATATCTATTAATTAATTAACAGCATAGATAATTTTGACCTTTTGTTTTTGTTTGCAGTGCTATCTTTACAGGAGGCTCTTGTCAAAGAAAGCCGAGTATACATGGAAAGCTCTTTTTTCAGCAAGACACTAGGTTGCTTTGGTTTATTTATTTATTTATTCTCAATCGACTTGAGAATGGTCCAGGACGGACCGAAACGTTGTCGTTCCTTCACCTTCTAGTGTGTGGTCTGGTCATCTTGCTTTGGTTCCTAACCAAAGATTGGCTAAAGTCTTGGCATCACCTGTGCTTTATAGGTAGTTCTTGTCAAGTGGAATGTAAGAAGAGTAGAATAAGGGTATCCTCCTTGATTTTGTGGGGCTGTGATCTGGTGATCAGATTAGCAACAGCATTCCTAGGAGGGCCCTTTTGATGCTAAGTAGTGCTTCAAAGGGTTCCAAGGTAAATAAGCAAGTCTTCTCTTGAGCATTTTGTGTTAGAACAAATATTGAACAAGGATGACCCAAAAGGGAAATTTAAAAGGAATTCCTGTTGTGCTGATGCAAAATGTCAACTTTCCCTGACTGTGCAGTCCCATCCATCAGCCCAGCTAGTGCCGAATGAGGACATGTTGCACTGTAAGAGTAAATAATATTCGGCATTAGAGGAAAATGCTGCTTTATTTACTTACCTAGAATACCATGGACAAGTAATAATGGAAATCCAGAGTCAAGCATGAGGTGAATGGCCTGAGGAGATTGTGCAACAGTAGCCAGAGTCTGTAGGTGTGCCGGGGTGAGCGAGATTATGCTTGGGTCCTGAAGAATTAGTCGCCCTTCTACTGCTCCTGAAGATCCCTCAACGCCCTCTTTCATGTCATCAGTTCTTGCTGCGCGGATTTCGGCTTCTCTATCTTTCCTGTTGGAGGAATTTGTCTGTGAAAGTCAAGTTTCAGCAATGTACAAAACATAAATAATCTGTAAATACTGATGCAACACCAAAAAAGGCTGGAGTATCTGTACCCTGTAGACAAACTTTTCATCATCATCAACACACAGCACCACCATTTTTATAGTCTAGCATTTTTCTAAGCTTCCCTAATACAAGATCCACTGTGTCCATTGGACAGGATCATGTACAGTCAGGAAGGAATGCATTTTGCACCAGAACTACAGTACTTTTCAAGCTGTCCCTGTAGGATTATGAAGTGTTATCAAGTCACTGGAGCACGTTTAATCCAGACAAGAATGACAAACACCAATTCATGAACCCAAAAACAGCTAGCAAGCTTAGATATCTATGCCAACCACCACCAGGTACCAGCAAAACATGTGCCTCCAGTTCCTTAATCTCAGAACACCCGGAATTTTCCTGATTGTCCCCGTTTATCTAAACCTCGGGAAAGAAAATTCTCAGTTCCCTCTCGGCACCTCTGTTGTTCTAGGGCCAGGTTGCTCACATTTACACCAAATGTATTTGGCAGACTTTTGTCAAAATTTAATTAAGATTGGAGTGAAAACTAATGTAAGAGTTGTCCCTACTGAAATAAAGGTTGTCAGCACAAGACCCTGAACTCTCATTATACAACAGCACAAATGCCTTGATAGACAATACCTAATTGTGAAGAAATTTAATAATCTTGACACAAGGCAGTGAGCAAATTACTCCAATACCTGTACTTTATTTCTTACATTTATATTTCTACATTTCAGTACCTCCTTTAAATGAAGCCAAATTATTTGCAATTTGGGCGATGAGTCACAGTAACGAGGCTAAAGTAATCGACTTGAGAATGGTCTAGGACGGACCGAAACGTTGTCGTCCCTTCACCTTCTAGTGTGTGTCTGGTCAACTATTTGCAATTCATTACTCATTAGCCAATTTCAGAGCAAAATTGGTATACAGTCTTATGCTTGGCAAATACAATGAAAACACAGCTGCCTTACCTGTCATCTGTTATTGACTGGTTGTTGTCAATTACTGTTAACACAGACATGTTCAGCAGTAACTGTGTGAAGAGCTGCGGCCGAATGTGACACATGGAACACATTATGTGGTCCAAGCCAACTTTTACTTCACCTTCGCTTCTTTCCGACCACTCGTACACCCGTCTGTAATAAAGAAACATCAGTGTTGACATATTATACTCGTAAATACTGTACATAAGAACATAATTAAGGAAACTATAGAAGGCCGTTTAGGCCAAATGAGGTAGCTCCTAATTATATCCACCCAAATAAGTGTAAATATTTGTTCTATTCTCAGCACTGTATATGTATACATATCATGAGTGCATACATATGTATGATAAAGATGCTGACCTGAAGAGATCATCAGTAATGAGGTTGGTGGTATCATGCGTCGTGTTCCAGAGCACAGCTGCGATGCAATGTAGCACTTCAGCACTAACTCCACTGTTGATACTTGCAGGTGAAGACTGAGGAGACTCCCGCTGCTGTGGTGCAGGCCCAAGATTGTGCCGGTAGTCATCGGTGGTCGGTGATGGAGATGATGGATACATTACCACGTGGTTTAGCCAGGAGAGCAGCACTGAAACCCCTTCCATGCTGCTGCTGCCAACACACAGCTCATACAGCAGGGCAATTGCTGCATCTAAACTATTTCCACCTGCAATGACACCAGCTCTAGTAAATGGTCAGCTACAAATGGCATCGAACAAAACAATACTTTAACCAACATTTTGACATTCATCTGTTCGTATTCACTCGACCTCAGATCACTACTTTCCTTCTAGGATCTTTGACACACGAGCAAATACTTACCATTACAGTATTAGTAAATTTACAGAAAACTATCATGCAAGCAATTTGTTTTTAATTAGTGTCAGTCTTAAGAAAGTTAGTGATGAATGAAGTTTTTAATAGATGGGTTTTAAGCGACACAAAACATTTTCTCAAAAATCCCACCCCACCTCTCACTGGCTAACCAGAGATCATGCAATGGAAACCCTGGGCCGAATACAACACACCAAGCATCTCTGACCATTTCACAGTTTACCAGTAGCATGTACCAACATCTTACCCCTCAAAGAAAAAGAGAAGGAGGAGGAGGAGGAGTTGTAAGACTCCATAGACTTGCAAAGTGCCACCAAAGTGCCTCAAATGGTGCCATAAAAAGTCAAAATACTCGGGAAAAATGTTTGGAATGAAATACAAAAACTATTATTAGCAGCAGATGGCAGCACTAGCCAAGCAGGAGTCTGGTGGCAGGAAGAGGTAGTAGCAAGGTTCTATTATGGGGATTTGGGATATTTTAGCATTTGGAATTTTCCCATACCAATAATTTTGCTATTAGCTTTTGTGATCACTTTTTAACTATTTAAGTAAGGTTTCTTCAGTGTGTGGAGTTATACAAGTCCATTGGCTCCCCATTTTCAAGATGTGCCAGGATTGAGACAGCTTCTCCTGGTAGGAAGCAGGAAGATAACTGAGGATGCTGGATTTGGCCCAGGCACCAGTCTGTAAGCTGTCAGAGCTACCTACAGCCTCCTTCCCAAGAGACATTTTTTAATACATAATGTTCGGGCTTTTTCTAATGGAAATCACAGTAATCTTCATCTAAGACTTACCTACATAATAAAATCCATACATTACCTACCGGTATATTAAACATTTTAAATGCTTATTAAACATGTTTTCCAAAAGTTAATAAAAATATAGTAGGCCTAAAGGTAATCGTGGCAATAAAGTGTACAAGATTAGTACAATACCTGCAGGTTGTCTGAGGAGTGGGTGGGTGAGTAGCGTCATGATCAGTGTGTGGAGCAGCTGAGGGGAGAGTGCCGCCAGGGCCAGGGTGGTGGCCTCCAGGGGAGCAGAGCCAAGGAGTGCCAGATGGAGGGGCCATGGAGGCGTCAGCAACAGAGTTACACAGGCCTCCATTACTCCAGATACAGAGGCTCCAGCCTCCACTCCAACACTCAGCCCTCCCTCTACACGACACATACACTGGTTGATCAGCCTCAGCCACCACATGCTGCGATGGTCAACACCAAGTACAGTACTATTGGTAGAATTATTTTATGTTGTGAACTGTCACAGCTGCAGCTTAGCTTACATTATGTTACTTAATTCCTTTACAATAATTATATTACAAATCTCTAGTACATCAAACATGAAAGCAGTAAACATTTAATCAGTTTTTTAGATTAATGTGAAAACGGTTTTTGACACGTACCTTGCTCGATGTGGAGCGTAATCGGTAATTGCAGTTTCATGTACACCTCTGGAAGCTCCTCTAAATGTGGTGGTGCCCAGCAACTTCAGTTGAGATAAACCAAGTGTCGATGAATCCCTTGGCCGATGAAGACGAACGACAACAATGGAAGCCACAACAGGGCGGGGAAGTACTAGACGAACACGGGAGAGTCCAGCAGTACTCAGTGGTCCACTCACTGGCATGAGGTACCCACCTTCAACCCCAACCTCCACACATACAGCTGATGGGCAAGCTGTAAGAAATACAAACAATTATCTTGCATTTATTGCCAAAAATACATTTGGAATATAAAAGTAGTGAAATTTTTGTGACCAAGTAACCAGTACACTGCTTTTGCTCAAACAGCACAATATATATTACTACATTTCCACACAACAGTCATTACATGCCAGAACTTCTGATTTTAACTATTAAATTGGGCACTAAAGGGCAATTGGGAGTCAGTCACAAGCAATTTACTCCAAATTCTGCAAAAGAATTGGAAGGTACAGATTGCTCTAAAGTTAAAAAAGCTCCCTGAAATATGTACACTATCTGCAACAGGTTACATAATACATAAGTTCTCTTTTAACCATGTAATTTTTTTTTACTTAACACTTTCGCCCAGGCATGACGCAGCATTGCGTCATCCGTTTACTGTCGGTAATGCCGGGGATGACGCAGCATTGCGTCATCCACTTTAAATAATCGCCAAAAATCAGGTTTTTATCCAATTTTTTTGGGACTGGTTTTAAAATGTGCGCCGATGTCTTCCCATTTTCTTTGTTGAGCCTCGTGGCCCTCAGGTGGCTTGGCACACGCCGTGGGCCCATTGTTTTTGCTCCACTGTTGTGACCAATGTCGCCTCCCCTCGCATCTCAAACGTGTGAACATTTCGGCTATTTTCCGTGGCTATATTTCTTACTGCGGCTTTAGAAACTATCTACGCTTACTCCACGATGGATAGTGATCATGAACAAGGCCCTTCCAGGAAGAAAATTGTGAACGAAAGGCTTGAAAAGGGCGGGAATTGGGAGTGTAGCTGGAAGGCGTCTGAGCGCTCACTCGCGGAAGACGCGTGGCCCGTCTTCAACTCGTCGGCGGTTGGAGCGTGACCAGGTTTTTTATTTTATATGCTAATGTTCCTCTACAGAATTCGATTGCGAACCCATTGAGACCAAAATGAAACACCTAGGACGAAAATTGAGGGGACCAGAGTGAAAATAGTGAAAACATTTTATTGCGTTTGCGCGCTCCTGGGTAACTCGTTCGCACTTTCTCTGTTTGCTGCGGGTAATTAGCCGGGTTTTTGGAGTTTATATGCATTTAGTGCTGTAGAGAATTCTATTGCGAACACAGTGATACCAAATTTAATCTCGTAGGACGAGAATTAAGGTGACAAAGTTGAAGAGAGTACACACTTTTCAGAATTTACGCGCTCTCCCGTGACACCCTGGGACCCAAATCGCACAGTTGAGGGGTGGCGCACGGGGTACGCCAAAGTGTTAAGTACCATAAAATAACAAAAATACTGGCACTAAACAAAAATTAAAGCTTTATCAATATCAGAAATTTGTGTTTTGAATATACTGTAAACAGTTCACAAAACAAATGGACCAATATCATAATAGAACAGCTTTATTAGCCTGCATATATTGTACTATTAATAAATACTATTATGTAAGCCTACTGATTTCTTTGGTCCCTTTGATGTAATATAACATTCCATAAATGTTTTGGGGGAAAACGTAACACATCTCGATAGGCCGCAATGATGAAATAACGGAAACCTTAAAATTGACCAAAGATTAGGCTACAGTGCAATATTTGAAACTTTGGAAACTTTCAAATGTGATTGGAATATCCAGAGCAGCTGGGATATAATACCCAATAACTTTAAATTTCCTTTAAAGTAATACAATTATTTTGCATTTAATGGCAAATATCAGAAAAATGGAGCACCGAGTGTAATGAACTATTTTCTAAGCAGTCCTTCAGTAGTTCCCAGGAGCGTAAGTGTTGGTGCCATAGAGCTACTCAAAACATACCAAGCCCTCTGGTACACCTCTCATACACCTTTCATTAGTCATCTACTTTCTCTCTTAGTCAATCTGTTATTTGCCATGGACTGTAGAAATATATGATTATAAACTTGCCAATCTTAGTTTTAGATATGCTAGTGCTATAATATAACCATTATGTAGATTACCTAATATCAATACATTTACTAATATATCACCGTCAGTGTGGGAGGAAAGTAGCAACGCTCATGCCCTTTTTTTTCTCTCTTGGTTGTTCCTTGAGCCACCACCTAGTGCTCAATATCATTGCCTTGTATAGGTCTTCCCTATGCAAGCATAAACATGTAACAATTGGAACAGCTTACAAACTCTTCAACCGCACTCCCTGGAGTGTTCGCAAGACAATACTTTACTCTTGGAAAATATTAGAGGGATTGGTTCCAAATCTGCACATTAAAATGATTCTTTATGAGATAGGAGACATGGCAGAAAGTGTAAAATACTTACAAACAAGAGAAACTGTGTGGGGAAAGAGATGCACTTCGTGCAGCAGGATTGCACACGGCAAAGTCAGGTTCAGGTCCACCCAACTCTCATCCGGGTAGAAGTGATAAGACCATGGAGCACTCTGAAAGAATAGATTAAGAATAAAATAAGAAATCATATATAAAATGTAAGATAAAAATCAAGCAATGAATTACTTCTTATTAAGCTGTGACTGAAAAGACTTCTCAGCACTCAGCCTATATGTATATTATATATACAAGAAACTCTTGAAGCACATACCTTTGTTCTTTGGAATAGCTGGTTGGAATCAACAAGGACATTGGCTGGTCTTGCTGTTGGGTTACTGGAAGTTACAACAGCCAAAGGAGCAAAGTTGTAGAGACCCTCTGTCTGCTCCAAGGGCTCACTTCGTTTGTTGGAAGGTGTGTTGTGAGTTGAGGGTGGGAGAGGCGGGGCCAGGTGGTTCATGACCGCAGTAACCAAGCCCCCACGCCCGCCACCCATCATTCCCACACTGCTCACAAGGTTTTCCCACAGCATCTGTCATAACGAAAGAAAACAATATTTAAACTTTCAAAAGCATTAATTATTTTATAGCAGGATAGAATATACAAAAGTCTTGTATCAAGGTGCACATCTAAAAATGTTTTACAAATCAAATGGTAAAAAACCACCTGTGTGATTGGAGCACAGATAGCGATTAGTCATGTTCACATCATGTAGGATACATAAGCATTAAATGCCAAAGTCTAATCACCGAGTACAGGTAGCACCTCAAATGTGCTCTCTCTTTATCTACCAAAGGTTAATGTCACCCAGCATCATCACCACCACCATCACTTTCTCCATCTTTACTTAACACACAGTATATCTACCAGCTCTCATATTTCCAGACTTTTCTCTGTCTATCAGCTAGTCCCCTGTTCTCTACATCCATTATTAATCCTTTGTTATTGTTGCTATTTTCTGTACTTTTTTACCTGCAGCTTCATAAATTAGTCAACTCCACTCAAATTACCACCACACCTTAAGTCACCACCTATCTATGGTCCACCACCTCAGTGGTGGCTGTATATTTTATTTACTTGTGGTGGAAGTGAAAAAGGAAGTGGTATCTTGTTATTTCAATGTACGGTACTTGTTATATTTTCACTTGCTTTTTGCCATTTTAAACTTTTTTTTTACTTTTATAATCTAGTTGATTAGCTTTATTTTTATTACACCTGTAGTGGCAGAGTAAGACTTGCACTAGGAACACTGACCCCAGGTGTGCTCTCCATGTCCTCGATATTCAGGCATTGAACAGTATATCACTGACAGGATCTTCCATGTCACTATCATTAACTTCTTGCAGTTTCTTATTTACTTCATCGTCTGTAAGTGGTGCTAGAGAGCAAGTCACATGGTGGGGCTGTGAGCTACTGCTGCATGCACTACTCATTGAGGCCCTCATGCCAAGGATTTGTTTCAATCAAGGATCAATCCAAGGATCAGGACTTTTTTCAAGATCTTATATGTGACCTAAATACTATTCACTTTGCAATGTGCATCACCGGTCAAACAACCCTGGTTGCAATGCACAGTTGATGAGGGATGGCTTCCAGAAAACCATCATGCAATCCCCCATTAACCTTACTTGAAAAAATACAGAAGCATTCTAAATCACCAAGAGACACTTAGTCTCTCGCAACAACACCACATTAAGTATCTTTATTAATCACATCCGCCACAATAATGCATTCATCATGAAGAGTAGAATACATGGGTGGGGGGATGATGCATTTAGTAGCTGTGAAGTCACAGAAGTAACAAAACAACAATTTGGTATGGCAGACTTCCATCATCAACTTGTGAACCTGCAAATCTCACGTCACACTACTAAAATAAGTTCTGGTCCAGATTAGTTTAGATAATCTAAAATCAAAATTAAGGAGACTAAGAGGGAAATAAGAGAAATAGAGACGGGTACTGGAATGCTCAGATTTCAAAAGGAATTTATAGACCTCTATACATTTTTCAATAACTGCTGAAATAGGAGATGACTCATACTGGAAAGTATATATTTTCTTGCATGCCACCTGAAAATAAGGATGGCACATTGACCAGTGTCTTTTTCATTTGTTAGCCAAATGTAAACTTTCATAAGTTTATATAAATTTTCATAATAAAATTTTGTTTTAAATCATTGAATATGTATGGCTAGAATGGGGTAACTGACCTTCATGCCTCCAAGTGCAGCAAACTTCTCCAGTATGGTGGGACAGTCCAGCACACGAGTGAAGAAACACAGGGCAGCTTCTGACAACAAGGGCGGGCTCCACCAACCACCTGCAAGGATTACACACAAGGATTAACAAGAGAAAGCACCAACCCATTGAGGGCTATATAGCACTTGCAAGGGATATGAGGATAAGGATTTAGGATAGGACAGAGGATAGGAATGGTGTCCAACCCCTTGGATGGCCAGGGCTTGAAGACAGCAAGAAGCAAGACTATCACTACTATCCAAGTGGTTCATCAATTTGGCTCAAAATAAAAGTAAACAAAATTATATTAAACAGAGCAAGGCAAAAACAACAGCTCTGACAATACCCCTCTAACCCCCTATCACCTCTGTGATAGCTGACCCTCTAGCCAGCTATAACAGTGTTGGTTGAACATTTTGGTATATGCATGCTAACTACCATATTTAGTATGAAAATCTATCTTAAATATCAATCTTTTTACCAGTATTTTAGATACTCAATCCCTTTGGATTGTCCAGGAAGCTTCAAAACTCTACATTGAACTACCAAACTAGTCCAAAAACATTATTTCCACTCTTCAGGTTCAGAGAATGCTGAAGTTACTTTGGCTGCACAAAATGCTCTTTAACTCTTGTCTCGAAAATTAATAGTATACTTCAAACTACAGAACTTCTTCCTCTCACTGAAGTCCCTAATCCAAGTCACAGCAAGAAATTTGTCTCGGCAGGTACTTTTATCGCACGACTAGTTTTTATCATTAGGCTCCCACTGAAGTGCTGCCTAGTTTCATATCTAACTGAGAATTGCATCAACATGCCAACTAACCTGGAGTGATGAAGGCAATGACAGGTCTGAGGATGAGCTCTGGTGCCGTAGCTTTGGTGTTGAGTGTGAGCAGGAGCTGATAGAGTGCATCGGTGAGGGTCTCCCCAAGGCACAGCTTCTCTGACACCTCTCCGCTCACCGTACCCAACAACATGGATACGCTGCTGCCTTCACACGCCGATACAGACTTCAGCAGCAGCTGCATCGTTTCTCTATTTTGTAATACTGAAGAAAAAAACCAAGCTCAGTATCCAGTATAATTACAGTATCAAATAACATTATGAACTAGAAACCAACAAACTTTTCACAAGGAGGATGGATAAAATATATGTTTAACAATCACCTCTACAAATACTAGATAATTTTGTTAAATAACAATAATGCAAATAAATGATATAGTAATACTGTTGAAATAAAACAGTTTCAAGGCATTTGTTAATTCAACACTAAGCAATTGACCTGTATCTGCCAGGCAGACCACACTGTTGGGTGCAGCATGAGAGCAGGTCTGTGGTGTGTGCATTGCTTTATGCTCATCAGTTTGGCTGGAGCTGGCATCGGATCGCTGTTGCTCTAGCTTGCTGGAATCCGTCAGGGACCCTCCACCATTTTCCTCAACTTCAAAGATTGCTCCTCCAGTGCGAGCCTATGGATTATCATTGTATTATGCAGTGTTTTGTCAAAATAATAAAGAACCAAGACTGCCGAGATAAACTCCCACTTCAAATGTAAACAGCTTCTTAGAAAATGCAATTCTTAGAAACAAAGAACTGACATGACAATCACAATATAAAAAAATGTACATTAAAATCACTGAATACTTTTTAAATACAATTTTATCCATATCTGTAATTATTAACAGAAAACCTCAATTGAGAACTGATGCATCACTAAAATATTTCACCGATAAAAAAGTCCAAAAGAGAACACGTACTGCAATTAAGTTTAACATTACAGATAGCATGGTAATAACATAATAAAGAAATAACACCATTTTCTGCTTATCCTAGAGACAGCTGCAGGTGTATGTTTATGTACATCTCCTCTCTCAAATTGAGCTCATACAGCAATTCCATGTATGCAGGGTTACCTGATAGCATGTTTTGTGCCAGTAATAACACTGTTTACTTGCCAGTCCTTACTCAGTTGGCCCAGTAGTCGTTTTCTTGTTGGGGTTAAGCAAGTTAGTACACTGCTGTCTATGGCACACCAGACATTTTTGTCACTTATTTTTGTCCTGTCCAGCCATTTGTTATACATTGATAACTTTATCTAGACTACTGCATGCTCGAGGATCACCTCATATGTAAAAATTGTATGAAATGATACAACACAAGTTCTACCCTACATTCAGAATGAAACACCACTTCAATCCTCACATCTGTAATATGATGCAAACTTCTTATGCATTTTATACCCATCTTATTTATAGTTCATGGCATTCAAAAACTGTATTTCTGGGATGAGCTGATCAGTAATTCCCAAAGTTTGTGTGTTGATACTCAAGGAGCAATACCATCTTACAAACCAAGCATCTAAGACTACCTCCTGCCCTACCAGTGCCAGAGACCAGATTCTGCCCGTATAACAGAGGGGCAGGGGAACTTTAGGGTGTCTTAAGACACCACACACTGTAAACAAAACAGTGCCAAATTGGCTGAAAGAGAAAGAAATGGTTAAAGTTATACCATTACAACTCTCAAAACTATCCGAGACAACCAAAATACCACCTCACTACTACTGCTACTACTCCTGCCAGCCATCAGCTGGACGTACTAGTAAACAATGGGTATGGAATCACCCAGTCCTTCATTTTCTTGCCTTTCTTACCTCAAAATCTCACCTAGTTTTGCTTGAGGCCTGTTTTGGTGATAACTAGTACAACATAGTGAGCTAAGTTACATGACTAAAAATATGCTTATAAACCCATAATAATAATAATCTAGTAATACTATAGACCACAAAGTCACACACTAACATTAAAAGGGATCATTTTTTTTATTTAAGCCTTTGACCAACTGGCATAGGATTGGTTGTAATGGCATTTCTAATTTGTTATTCCTACTCTATCAAAGCAAGACTAGTGCTGTACTCTCAAAAGATGGACAATAAAATCTTTAGATAATGCAGAGCAGTTTCAATCTTCCAAATTAGATTTTCCCAAGAATGAACTGGGAAGATTTAATGTCAGTAAATATTTTCTGAGAAAAGAAGGAACTACCTTTGGAGTGCATAACTTACCTGGGCTGGGCTGACAAGTGGTGTTTGAGACAACTTGCGGGAGAGATTAAGAAGAGAACAAAGCAGAGCAAGGCGAGATGGTGCAGGACCTTGACGACCATCTGAACCCAGAACAGAGGCAAACAAACCTCCCAACATATTTGCATTCTGGTTAGTTGCTCCATATGTGACTCCCTCACTTGACATAAGGTGCCCATGAACCAAGACCACTGAAATTATTAAAAATTAAATATATTTAGAAGAAGGTAGGCAGGCAAGAGAGGGGAGTGGACAGTTAACTAAGTACAGCAAGAGAAAATACACAGTGGAACCTCGGTACCCAAATTTAAATGGTTCTAAAAGACTGCTTTTCCCTATAAGGAATAATGAATATTGGATAAATCCATTCCAGACCACAAAAAATATGCGTATGAATAAATTAAATGCAAATATATTCTCCCTTTACCTGCACTTAGGAGAGTTAATGGCATATATGGAAGGTGGAGAGGAAGAAGAGAGATGTTATTGTTTAGCAGGGGAGTTCCCTACCATAAACACTTCTGGTAACTGTGCTTCTGGGGTTCTCTCTCTTTTCTGTCTTTATTTCAATCTTGAAACTCATTGGATGCTTTTCTTACAAGAAACTTGTCCTTTAGGCATACCAAACTCAGAAGCAAGAGCAGACATGCAGGCATTACTTTCATATTTTGCTACGAGTTCTTTTATCATCTCAATCATGATTCTAACTAATTTTCTTTTCGTTTTGCTCTTATCACTATCAGTTTTAGGTGCCATGTTGACTTATTTATGCTAAGAATATTAAATATATCCAAGAAAACACAAGAAAGTTTACAGATAAGTTTAGTGGGGGTTTGCACTGAATGACAGCTACTGGCAAACTGACTGTTACATGTTTACGTTTGAGTGCTGAGCAAATGGTCGACTACCAAGCATGAACACAGCTTTCAAGTACCAAATTGTTTGAGTTGGGAGTCGTTCGAGTACCGCAGTTCCTCTGTATACTGTGATGTTCTCTGCAGTATATTTCAGGTTTTATTCAAGATGCATTCCCACACACCTCAGGTTAAAATGATTAGCATAAAATGTAGTTAAGGATCTTGCAGAGAAAAATAAGATGCAGTTAGAAACTTAGACAAAAATATTAAATAAAGTACAGGGAGTCTACAACTTACAAATGCGACACATTCCAAGAAGGCATCCATAAGTTGACCACTTGTAACTTGGTACAAGATTTTCCACAAGTACAATGCTATAAAACGAAGAGACATTCCCAACCACCAAAAATAAACATGTACAAAAATTTGGGGGAAAATAATACACAGTGTAACCTGTATATGAGACCAACCCTGATTCATTGCAACTGCACATAGCATCTGGAAGGCATTTATGAGATGCAATTTAATAAAAAAAAAAAAAAAACGACTAATTTCTTCAGCCGTTTCTTTTTTTTCATGTTGCTTCAATCTACGAAAATCAATAAAACATTAATTGGAGCCATATTCAGCGAGTTACTATTCATACCCTAATATTTCCCACACTCTATGGGCTGATTTCACTTACTGCAATATTAATTTCAACCTAGCATAGACAGGACAACTACCAGAAGAACCTGTCTGTATAAAGATTTCATCCTATCCAGCATATTTTCCCAACACCCCAGCCTTGAATCTTCTTTTTCAAAGGAAGAAAGCCCATAGTTTAGTGAACGAAAAACACTGCAACTTGAAATAAAAAACAAACCATAGAATTTGGTTTTAAATACCCTCAATATCTTTCCCAAGACTCCAACTTTTTCTTGTGATGCTGTGCCCATCTGTGAAATTCATTAAAAATGTGACTGGAGCCATATTAATGAAGTTACCATTCATGCCCTAATATTTCCCATGCTCTATGGGCTATGCTCACTGAGCAAAATTTAAATGTTAGCCTAACATACGATGGGGAACTTTCTGGGACATGGGGGGGGGGGGGCAGAGATTGGTGGGCAACCCATAAGGGTCACTGGCTTCTTTTCTGCTAAAATGAATCTTGTTAATAGAGTGGCACACCTCCAAAACTCATTTTGTGCAATCCTACTTTTTCCCCATGAACTATAAACAACATTTACAGAATTAAATCTTACTTTACTTTAACCTTTTTACTTTAGTTTACTTTAACCCATAAAAAAATCCTGGTATTGTTTCCTGATTGCTTACTATGTAAGTGGCATTATCATCACAAATGTTACAATGCCATTGCGGTAATTTAGTACCGAATAAAATTTCATTATAGTTACAGATGTTTTCCGATCATGTTCTATACCGAGCCAATTGACGATTAGTTGACCATAATAATAACGGAACTGCAGAAGGCCTATTGGCTAACACGAGGCACCTCCTATCTATTTCCACCCAAACTCCTACATAAACTCATTCACATGAGTGAGTTTGGATAGATATAAATAGCAGCTGCCTTGTCTGCACCAACAGGACCCTTGTAATTTCCTTAGTTCTTATTTATATATCCACGGTACTGTACTTTCATTGTAAGCCTAAATACATTATCTTTATAGAAATGTACACAATCCACATGAACTAAAAACAGTGATGACACTATCGCAGAAACATCCAAGGTCATCTCCCACATGCTGCTGCCAGCAAGATGCACGATATGGTTGAGTGCACCACCCACCAACCTTCTACAGCTTGCCTAACCAGGAAATATGTAGATATTTACTTGATTTCCACTTTTCCTTACATTATGCACTTATCATTCTTAAAGGAGAAATATTTTGTTTAATCTTTGCACCTGGGGGGACGTGTGCGGATATCCAGTGCCACACACACGGGTTAAATTCAACTTGCCACACAATGGATATCTACCAGCAGAACATGACTGTGAATGAGATTTCATCACCACCATTTTCTCCCACACAGTAGCCTGCGAACATGTGCAATGAACATGTGCAAACTAAACTGTATTGGTTCATCATTTATTGTTTTGTTACTAGGGTAATGAGTCATCTCTTCCATGGTTGGGTGCATCGCCAACACTTTTTCTTATCTGCCATTATTAATAGTATTTTCCTCCATAAACATTTGGAATAACACAGAGAATGCACAGCGAGTCTAAACTGGACATGAGCATACTGCTGACTGATGTAGTGTGGGTCAGTTACGTGGCACTCTAGGCCATGTGGACATTGTTGTTGTGCACACAATAGCACCAGTGTTTGTATTATGGAGGATGACAGCTGGTTCCAATAACAGATCCAGATATAAAAAAATGAAAGGTCATTCATAAGATTAGATGTTCATAAGTTAGAGAACCCCCTGTATATAAAATACTGAACTGTAAAATTTATAGCTTTGACACATTGAAGAGAAAAGCAGACTGTGTGTGGTGGATAATGTTTTCCCGGAGAGGACTTAAATGGGAGAGGGGTGAGGTCAGGGCCATCTTGACAGCATTGTAGGCCCCTGGCTAAAGCAATGTACTGGAGCCTCTACCCCAGATGATGGGACCCGCCCATCTGTTCAAAAGCTGGATTACCATCAGTTACGCACAAATTATTTATATTATAAATATAACTTGAAAACGGATTTAAATCCCAGGCCTTTCCAGGGAGAACTTGAGTAGTAATCCACTGTGCCAAGAGATCGCTCAGGAACAATATGGCAGCGTGGGCTCCCATCGACAGACCCCTCACATCGAGGAGTAAGTCCTATACACTACCCATATACATTTTCAAAAGTCGAAAAACGGTTGATTGACAGTTGAGAGGCGGGACCAAAGAGTCGAAGCTCAACCCTCACAAGAACAACTAGATGAGTAGGGGTATGCTGATGGAGACCCCCAAGTTTGTCACTGGGGTGACAGCAATGATCATTTGTCTCATTACCTTCAGGTACACAAATTGGCATGCTGTGATTATGCTTTTTTGGCAGAGCCTTTTTTGTCAGATCTATTATCCCAAAACATCCCTCGCTACACAGAGAACCAAATTGTGGTCCTGGCTAATAGTAGGCAAGGGTAGTAGGGGTCTCGAACCATTCCATAATCTCGAGTTGTCGCAATTTACAAAAATTATATACTATACTGTCTGAACCTAATTTAACCGAGGACCCACAAATAGAAAGTGGGAGAGCCTGTCAATTTAGTTAGCTACTATGATTTACAGTACAGTACATGACATTTTGGCTGGTTGAGATTTATACTTCAAAATGTGATGTACTGTTCGAGAGGACAGATTGCTCAAAGCGGTCTGGAGTATTTTTCCATGGAATTGTTTGACCAGTGCTTAGCGTTGGGGAGCTACTGAGGGGGCAGATACAGAATGAAATAGAAAAAGAATGATTAATAGCCAAACTCAAGACAAACAAACAATAGGTGACCCATCTCCCCTATGAGACACGAGCAGCTTGGGCACACTTGAGAGCCACCTAGCTTGTGTACACCACTGTAAGAACTTTGCCAAATACTAGACCCGTACTGCACTTTTGAGTCATTACAGAAAACCCTAGTAAACGTTCAGAGCTTCAACCAAATATCTGCCCTTCAGGGATGCGACACATTCGGATAAAAGATGGTCAATTACTGTATGATTATACTCGTGCTTTTATCTGTAATGTAGACATAAATGTGGATTTTTTTTTTTTAAATAAAATGTCTATTCTAAACTTATATCACTGGATTTTGTCAAGAACATTGACTACAACTCCACTCACCTGTGGAGTTAATGATGGCTAATGGAACATGCATACGATCCATTCCATCGTAATGCATAGACAAGAGGGTCCCCAGCAGACAGCACTGTGCGTCCAGAGGTCCCATAGATAATGATATGGCTCCCTGACACTCCAGAAGACGTGCAACTAAACTAAGAAGAGCATATTTCAGAGTAGTTCCAGGCACGCTCGTCACACTCATCACATCACACCTCACACGAAGGCGAACCAATAGATCTTCCAAGAGTCCAGTTACTGTGCTGCCAACCTAAAACAACATTGAGTAAACACACAAATCATATATTACATTAATTATAGAAATTAGCACAAAGGGTACTGTATATTTCAACAACTTTCAGAAGCATGTGCTTTTTTGATTCTCAGCAATAAAATATTTGAACATTGCCGTTATAAAACAAGTACTTCAAAACAAAAAGCTTTTTTTACATACAACGTCGCTTCTCATGTCAGATCCTGTAGCGCAAGATCCAGTCAACAGCTTTTGTAATGTTGTGGTGAAGTTAACATCGGTTACAATAGTTATTGCCATCCCACTCTGAAAACACACGTGTATATTTATATATATTATCCTCTCCTTAGCTTTAGTATTTAATCAAACACCATTAGGCATTGATTGCAGACTCTCAAGGATAAGGATGTGATATTCCCACTGATGACAATGTGAGGTGTGGTTGTAGTGATGAGGCTGCAAGGTGCTTCATCATGAGAACATGAAGCATGTCCAGTGATGATATTAAGACTGTGGATGGGGGCTGTTCAAGGATGGGATGTTGCACATGCCAAACTTGCTAATATGTGGGAAATTGTCCCTTGGGTACAAAGGAGGATACTTAAGAGATTATAACCTCCCCCAAAATACATACAAATACGAGACAATAATATGAATGCCAATGGCAGAGACTGCTACTCAGAAAACTATTCCTTCATTAATCTAAGACTAACTTTTGTAACAAACTTTAAGGCAGACATTGTCATCACTTTCACCACTGAGTAAATCAATTTAGCCTGATCTTCTTGTTGGAAAAGTACTTGTGGCACTGGCACTCACCAAATCAATATGATCGTACTGTTCTGCAGTAGTGGGAGGTAGTGGGTCCTGGGGCGTGTGATTACAGCAGAGTGTGAGTGTCTGTAGCACCAGGCACCAGCACCGCATGCTCACACTACCACTTCTGTAACAATTGAAATTTGTTAAATACATAAGAATACAAAAATTATAATAAGGGTGATTTTCAAAAAATAGCTTTTTACTTCTTACTCATCCCCAAAAAATCTTCTCATCATACTAATGCAGATGATGAGTCAAAATAACGTTTCCGAAGATATGATGACAAAACTACACACCAGAAGATGAAGAGACAACGACATTTCAGTCAGTCGTGGAGTCGATGTCAAGTCGATTGTGATAATGGTCCAGGACGGACAGAAACATTGTTGTCTTTTCATCTTCTGGTGTGTGGTTTGGTCATCAACATACCTACAATGTCATTACTCAACACCCAGTAGTCATAAAAGTGCAGTGCCCCCCACACAAAATAATAGCTAACTAGTCAATTATAGCATCCATTAACTCTTACACTTTAACTACTTTCTACAGAGATTGTTACACAAGATATAAGAGCATTCTGCCAGTTACATATATGTTCATTGCTACTAGAGAAAGTCTTTCTCTAGTAGGTTTTTATCACCTAAGGTTTTTTATCACCTAATAAGACTATCTACTAGAGAGAGTCTTTCTCTAGTAGATAGCCTTATTTTATTTTGTCAGTCATTAAACAGATAAATTTGAAAAAGTATATGTTATAATTTATGAAACTTTTGTTAAAGTTCCTGCCAAAATAAGAATACTCATCATATTCACAAGGAAACAATCTTAGCATTAAGGAGAATTAACAACAATACCAGCACATTTCCTGACCTTGAGGACTAACTCATGACCTAACCCCAGTGGTCAAGTTGCATGCTACAGGCTTACCTGACGACCGCCGCCAGCAGTGCCGATATGGCCCTGGGCGTGAGGGGTACAGTGGGTGCGATGGAAGGCGTGTACTTCCCACCGGCCAACTCCAGGTTAATACTGAGCCACAGTCCCAGTACTGACTCCACGTGACTACCATCAAACTGCCAAATTTTACACATTTAAATAAATATAAATCAAGGAGATTTTGACCTATGCCAGTTACACGAAGTACAAATAGAGATTATTTCTCAAACTGTATTACAGTATACAGAAAGTTATACTGTAGTTAGAAATATTTATTTTCAAAGCATTTACTCATACACAAACACTAGTGTATGTGCATGTTTAGAAACTAGTCATGTACACCTTTATTCTATACACCTACATTTGCAGGCGATGAGTCACAATAACGTGGCTGAAGTATGTTGACCAGATCACACACTAGAAGTTGAAGGGACGACGACGTTTCAGTCCGTCCTGGACCATTCTCAAGTCGATTGTCGACTTGAGAATGGTCCAGGACGGACCGAAACGTCATTGTCCCTTCAACTTCTAGTGTGTGGTCTGGTCTACACCTTCATTATTGTATTATTTCCTATTTACATACTCCTTGTCCTACCTCCATAGAAAGGTGAAGCAAAATTTTCTGGAACACATCAGTGAGGAGTTGAACACTAGCAGAGAGGTCACCAGGACCACACACCTCAGTGTCAGCCCACATCCCACTGGAAACCTGTTGGCGAGATTCACCATAATTATTTCCATCTCTCTTACATTTGTTGATGAAATATCTCACTGATGGAAGGTACAGTTGCCAGTAATTGGCCACTTAAGAAAAAAAGTATTTATCTAAAAACTAACACCATAATCTTGTTTGTAAATTAAAAATAAATTGAGATACTAATTAAAATATTACATAAATAGGAATATAAGAATAAAGGGAATAACAATTAGTCCATGTATGGCAACTGTTATATGTATCCAGCTAAACTCTCACACAGTCTATGTTTAATCTATGCTTCAAACAATTCATCAAACCATATCTATTACCCTGAGGATTGTTTCATAAAGCTTCTGCCCTATTTGCAAACCAGCGATTAAATAATTATTTTCGTAATTATTAATGAGCAAAAGGTGTAAGAGAAAGCTTAAGTAAAGGTCAAGGAGAGTAATTATTAAGGACTGGATTACATGGCAGGACAACATTTTACACAAATCCCTCCTTCTCCGAGGAGATTGGAGGAAATTTGGCTGGACCCTGACCTCTTAGACAAATTAAACAAACTACTTCATATAAACATTTATGTAGCCAATTGTTGAGTGAAACTACCTTCAATGGGGCTGTGACTGCTAGACTGAGCCTGGAGGTGTGTACTGCTCCCATCATGTGCAATCTTAGCTCCGACAACAGTGACACTCCGGCCTCCAGTCTGGCATCGACCGCTGTGGAATGGTCCATGCCCGGGTGTGCACTGCTCAGCGGCCCGCTCACCAGGTCCCCAATACGGGAATCTTTTCCAGCACGAGAGGATGACTGATTGGGAAGTGGAGGCGGCGGGTATGGTGGAGGAAGGCTGTGACAAAATTAATACATGTTTAATTTCTCTGCCCCACCACTTCAAAGTGGAAAATAAGCTAACAATAATGTATGTACGGATTAACTTTTCTGAATGATCAGTCTTCAAACAATGCTGTAATGCCACAATATATATAAAAAAAAGTATGACTATTTTCTCTGAAAATATTTTAGGCTGAGCAACTATGTAACATTTTCTTCTGTAGCTAGATGACAGCTTCTACCTGCCCAAACTCCTGCCAAAGGATCTGGATAAATGTTGCAGAATGTAGAAACTATTTTTCAAAGAATTCAATAAAGCTTGCTTAACTAAGTGAAAAATTACCTTTGTCAAGGAAGAACTGCTATCGCAGCCAAAGGATTAAAAAAAAAATCTACAAAACTTACTTGGACATGGCAAGTTCTATTGATGTGTAGGGATGGTTGCCTGACCCAACAAAACAAGGCTGCATATCTGCAAGGTATTCTCCAATCATGTCTTCACTCTCAGAGCTATCTTCAAGATCCAGGAAGGAGTATTTGCCTGAGAAAAAGAGAAAGAGAGAGAGAGAGAGAGAGAGACTAATAATGGCTAAACAAATATATAATGCTGTTAACACACAATAGAACAAATTTTAATGTATAAATATGGTTTACATTTTGTACTTTTCTTAAGCACAACAGCCACCACCATCATAAGGTTCCCCACTTTAATGGGCTTCTCTGCCACCCAATTACACCAGAAGATGTGCAAGTAGGGATGAAGAGAAGCACACACGCCAATTTCAGATAAATAGATGAATGAATTGATTGGTTGTGGATGGATGACTACAGGTATGTGGAAGAATGAACAGATAGGCAGATTAGTGGATACCTAGGTAAGCAGAATATGGACAGAGAAGAGTGGATGATGCAACACATCGAAGGATAGATGGATAGTTGTGAAAGACTGAATTGATAGAGGGATGGATGGGCATGAATATATAGATGGGTGGGTGTATGGAAAAATAAATGACTGAAGACAAGAATACATGGGAGGATGGAATCAGGAATTAGAGAATAGTAAATGGATAGGATGGATAGATGTATAATTATCCAAGTTTAGTAACAGGATATCAAATATTTTTTGGGCACCTTTGTTTCCATAGCATGAATCTATGACCTCTTGTTCTTCAAGTTGTAGGTTTCAAAAATTCTTCTTTGTCAATTCCCATTACTATTTTGTATGGAGTGATCACATCACCTCTTTTTGTTCTATCTTCTAGCTTTGGCATATTTAACATCTCTAGCCTCTGCTTGTAGCTCTTGCTTTTCAGTTCCGGAAGCCATTTCGTAGCATGTGTCTGCACCTTTCCTAGTTTACTGATTTGAGCACCATACAACTGCTGCATATTCCAATTTTGGTCTCAAAATTTATGAACAGTTTTTCAGTCTTCCTCCCTTCCTTGTTTATCAGTTCGTTGGGGGTGTTTTACCTGCTCCAGAACCAAGATGTGAGCTGATGGAGGACCAAGCCTCAGGCATCCTGGTAGCCACATCCAGAACTAATAGATTCTAGCTAGTTTCATGTCGGTCAGGTCTTCCTGGCTCTTTAAACCTTAAACTACTACCATCACTCTCAAGTGATAGGCATAATTGCTACAAATGCCTGTTGGAGACCAGATGTGGGTTCTCTCTTTCGAAGTGCGGAAAGCCTCTGTTGCAGAAATAGGACGAAAAGCATCTTTTTCACAGCATGATGAGGTGTGCTAGGGGCTCGTTTGCCAAATATTATGTGCCTTGCAATATAAAGTCCACCATCCCACCAAATTTTATGTTGTCATCATTCAACACAGAGATTTCTTAGGATATTTTACTATATTGGAAAAAATCCTGAAAACCTTAGTTTCTGTCCTGGGCCTTAGCAAGATGGGTACCATGCCTGGTGCATCACCATCCACTGGCTTATGTCCATGCTAGAAACCCCTAAGGCAAATGCAAAATAACAAGGACTTGCATGGTATGGACCTGGAAGATCTTAGTGATGAGGAGGAATATATATTATAAATATTTAACATTAATGGCCCACTCACAGAAGTACAGTGAGCAGTTATTCTTAAGATCACCCTTACTGAAGAAACACACAAAGAACAAGAAACAAAAACAATTGCAAGGGTCATAGTGATGATATAAAACAGCAAATAACTGCAAACGATTCACCCACAAGTTAGGTTGAGACCCACTAGTTACAGCTGGCTATCACCAGATGGCAGTGTAACTGGAAGCTGTCAGTTTCTCATGTCAACTATCCTCAGTCCAGAGCCTAAACAAACAAACTGATGCACCTGCAAGAGAAGTATATATAATATATTATAGCTTGAAGAGTATGATGTCTTACTGAAGGCCAATGCTAGAAAAAGTTGTCAACCTTTCCCCTCAATGACTGTCAGTGGAAACAAGTCACTCTTCCTGTCAGACTCGGCAGCCTGAGTGTCCGCACTCCCACCCAAATTGCTGTCCCAGCCTTCCTGTCTTCCTCCTCAGCATCAGGTGACCTGGTCAAAGCAATTCTACCCGACGACCTGGGTGACTCAGCAGGGATACATGACCCCCACTACAGGGAATGCAACACAAAGTGGGGTTACCATGGCAGACACTGCACTCAGACCAGTCATGTTGAAAGCCAAGAAACAATCACCCTGGGACAGCCCCATTGTAGACAAAGAAGCCACAGCTTTGCTGGAGGCAGCAACAACCCCCCAGTGATCGTGCACGCCTCACAGCTGTGTAGGCCCCCATGCAGGGGACTTCCTTTTAGCAGTAGCTATGTCTGCAACAGGAACACGTCTTGATCCGAAGCAGCTCCGTACTACAATCGCTCTCAGCCTTGCTGCCCCTATTCACACTGTTCATAGATGTATTTGCAGCGAAGCAGATGCAGACAAATATGGTTTGCATGGCCTGCACTGTGGAAAATCAGGCGGTTGGCACTCACAACACGACAAAGTCAATGACATTTAGAGAAGCCTTGCCTCTACCCAGTATCCAGCAGAGAGAAAGCCTCGCAACTTATTGAACCGTAACTCTTGTTAGCTATGCTGGCCGACCAGATGGAATCATACTACACCTTTGGAAAAATAGCAGACAATTGGTGCGGGATTATACTTGCGTATCCACCCTGGCAGCCACATACATCAACCTCTCTGTCAGCCAAGCAGGAGCTGCAGCGACACACAGAAAGAGACAAGTCAACCAAGTACAGGGAAATAGATCACCAGTACAACTTCGTTCTAATAGGAGCCACTATTAGAACGATTGGACCAGACCAGACCAGACCATACTATGGACCAGACCCTTGGTCCATAGGGAGTGTGTGCAAGGAGGTTTCTTAAGGATCTTCGTTCCATGCTTATTGAAGCTACAAGGAAACAAACTTTCCTTAATTTCCTCTTAATGTCCACCTTAGAGCGGTGAGTTTAATAACTCTTCCACAAGTTTTTCTCTGAATGCCTCAGTAATTCAGACGGGTGCTAAATGCCCACTGCACACACACACACACAGGGATTCAAAAGGTGACACCCCTAGGGTCAACACTTGCAGCAGAGGAGCTCCAGCATATTTCAACAATCCTAAGTATTGTAGTACAGGTTGATGGTAGTGAGTGGTGTCCCACAGAACATAAAGGTATAGTGCTCTTGAAAAATAGGTGAGATAACAGGAAAGTGCTAAGGGAAGTGAAGAATCGGATGAGAAAAAGTTGCCCCTAGTGTTTACAGTGCAGAGAAGAACATTCAAGATGGCCACCGGCAAGGGGAAAAACAAAACAGAGCTTGATTTTGAGGGATTCAATGAAGAAAGCATTGATATTAGTAGTCTACATAACAAGTTGGTAAATTTAGATACTATAGTGAACTCTCATGTAGAAATAATTAGTAAATTGAAAGAAAGTAATGACCATTTGAATAGCAAAGTTTTATGTCTTGAGGGTTTAGTGAAAGACTTGCGCAAGGATAAGAATCAATTGGAAACAAATTGCAAAGCCATGGAAGAAGAAAATAAACTCTTAAAAATAGCTTTGGAAGAAGTTAAAGTAAATTTAAACATAAATGACTACAATAGGTTAGGCAAGGAAATTCAACAGGAGAAACAGCTTTTGTCAGCACAGATGGAGGAAGTTACACAGGGAATAGAACAGTGCAAGAAAGATATGCAACTCACTTATGCACAAGTGGCCAAGGAGAAGGAAAAAATAGAAGAAGCAGTAAAGGAAGTCAAACACTGCAGCAACCAAGATAAAACAAACATTAGGCTAGAAGTGAGGAAAGAATTGGCATCTAACCCGAAGTTGGTGCAAAACACAGTTGATCGGAGTAAGTCCCTGATCATTTTTGGCTGCAAAGAAAAGGCGATAACATCTAGGTCAGAAAGAGCTGTAGAAGAAGCTAAAGTAGTAGATAAAATTGTTGGCCTCGTGGAAGGTCTTACAAACAGAGAGAATGTGTGCGACTACAGGAGAATAGGCAGGTACGTAAAAGGGAAAGATCGACCTTTGAGGATCACCCTAAACGGTGCCAAACAGATGGAAGAAGTACTAAGGAATGCTAGAAAATTGCAAAGGGATGAGGATGGGAAAGGGTGGTCGTTAAGACGAGATCTTTCAAAAGAAGATAGAGAGAAGCTGAAACTGAACCTCGCCGAGGCAAAACATTTAAATGAGAGCAGGAATGAAGAAGAAATAAATTCTTTTTTCTACAAAGTGATAGGGGTAGGCAAACCAGTAAAGTGGTACATAAAGGCAAACCAACAAAATCAATAGAGAGAGGGGGAGTGAAGAATAAGGAGAGGGGGAACAAGTTCCTGAAGATTGCATACACCAACATAGATGGAGTGAGATCGAAGATACTGGAGTTAAGTGATGTAATACAGCTGCAGACACCAGACATTGTTGCACTCACGGAGACAAAACTTGAAGATGTAATTTTAAATGAGGTCATATTCCCAAGGGGCTACTCAATTTGGAGACGGGACAGAAAAATTAGGAAAGGCGGTGGCGTTGCTGTGCTGGTAAAAGAACACCTAAAGGTGAAGGAAATAATGACTGCCAATCCACAAGAAGTTGACATAATAGCACTAGAGATCTGCTATGAGGATGATAAACTAATGATGATAAATGCATATAGTCCACCGCCAAGCAGCACATGGTCAAAGGAGGAGCTAGATAGTAAACGTGAAGGTCTTATAACAATAATGAGAGAGATTATAGCGAGAGCGGATAACGATAGATCACGACTGTTGATAGTCGGTGACTTCAACTTGAAATCCATAGACTGGGAAGCATATGAAGCTAAAACAGAAGATTTTTGGACCTGTAAATTTGTAGACCTCATCCTGGAAACATTCTTGTATCAACATGTTAAACAAGCTACGAGGATGAGGGAAGGGGACGTTCCCTCCATGCTAGATTTGATATTTACCAGGAAGGAGGAAGAGATATTTGACATTCAGTACCTTCCTCCCTTGGGTAAAAGTGACCATGTCTTTTTGGGAATAAAGTATGCAATGCGTTATAAGCTGGAAGAAAATAAGGAGGTTGAAGCAGTTGAAAAACCAGACTTCAGGAGAGGACATTATGGTGACCTTAGAAATTTTTTTAGTGAGTATAATTGGACAGACTTGATGCTAGGCAAGGAAGTGAATGAGATGTATGGCAAGTTTTGTGAAATATATGATAAAGGCACAAAAAAATTTATACCAAAACAGAGATGCAGGACCAGAAAACAGGATTGGTTCGACAGAAATTGTGAGAGGGCAAGAGACCAAAAGACACAAAAATGGAATCAGTATAGGAAGAGGCCAAACCCCCAAACATACCAGCGATACAAAGATGCGAGAAACAATTATACAGCAGTAAGGAGAGAGGCAGAAAGAAATTTTGAAAAAGGGATAGCAGATAAATGTAAAACAGAACCGGGCCTATTCTACAAATTCATAAACAACAAATTGCAGGTAAAGGATAATATCCAGAGGTTGGAAATGGGAAACAGATTCACGGAAAATGAAAAGGAAATGTGTGAAACATTAAATGAAAAGTTCCAAAGTGTGTTTGTACAAAATGAAATCTTCAGAGAACCAGACACAATAAGAATTCCAGAGAACAACATAGAGCGGATAGAGGTGTCTAGAGATGAAGTGGAAAATATGCTAAAGGAGCTCGGGAGGAACAAAGCAGCTGGCCCAGATGGCGTTTCACCATGGGTTCTGAGAGAATGTGCATCTGAGCTCAGCATTCCACTTCACCTGATCTTTCAGGCATCCCTGTGTACAGGAATCGTAGCAGACGTGTGGAAACAGGCTAACATAGTTCCAATCTACAAAAGTGGCAGCAGGGAAGACCCCCTCAATTATAGACCTGTATCATTGACAAGTGTAATAGTGAAAGTATTGGAAAAGCTAATCAAAACTAAATGGGTAGAACACCTGGAGAGAAATGATATAATATCAGACAGACAGTATGGTTTTCGATCAGGAAGATCCTGTGTATCGAATTTACTCAGTTTCTATGATCGGGCCACAGAGATATTACAGGAAAGAGATGGCTGGGTTGACTGCATCTATCTGGACCTAAAAAAGGCTTTCGACAGAGTTCCACATAAGAGGTTGTTCTGGAAACTGGAAAATATTGGAGGGGTGACAGGTAAGCTTCTATCATGGATGAAAAATTTTCTGACTGATAGAAAAATGAGGGCAGTAATCAGAGGCAATGTATCGGAATGGAGAAATGTCACAAGTGGAGTACCACAGGGTTCAGTTCTTGCACCAGTGATGTTTATTGTGTACATAAATGATCTACCAGTTGGTATACAGAATTATATGAACATGTTTGCTGATGATGCTAAGATAATAGGAAGGATAAGAAATTTAGATGATTGTCATGCCCTTCAAGAAGACCTGGACAAAATAAGTATATGGAGCACCACTTGGCAAATGGAATTTAATGTTAATAAATGTCATGTTATGGAATGTGGAATAGGAGAACATAGACCCCACACAACCTATATATTATGTGAGAAATCTTTAAAGAATTCTGATAAAGAAAGAGATCTAGGAGTGGTTCTAGATAGAAAACTATCACCTGAGGACCACATTAAGAATATTGTGCAAGGAGCCTATGCAATGCTTTCTAACTTCAGAATTGCATTTAAATACATGGATGGCGATATACTAAAGAAATTGTTCATGACTTTTGTTAGGCCAAAGCTAGAATATGCAGCTGTTGTGTGGTGCCCATATCTTAAGAAGCACATCAACAAACTGGAAAAGGTGCAAAGACATGCTACTAAGTGGCTCCCAGAACTGAAGGGCAAGAGCTACGAGGAGAGGTTAGAAGCATTAAATATGCCAAAACTAGAAGACAGAAGAAAAAGAGGTGATATGATCACTACGTACAAAATAGTAACAGGAATTGATAAAATCGACAGGGAAGACTTCCTGAGACCTGGAACTTCAAGAACAAGAGGCCATAGATTTAAACTAGCTAAACACAGATGCCGAAGAAATATAAGAAAATTCACCTTCGCAAATAGAGTGGTAGACGGTTGGAACAAGTTAAGTGAGAAGGTGGTGGAGGCCAAGACCGTCAGTAGTTTCAAAGCGTTATATGACAAAGAGTGCTGGGAAGACGGGACACCACGAGCGTAGCTCTCATCCTGTAACTACACTTAGGTAATTACACTTAGGTAATTACACACTACAGTACATGGAAATTATTATTATGATTGAAAGTATTTTGTTTGCCTTTTTTTGTAAACGAGACTAATGTAATTTAATCATTTAATTAAAATCATTAAAGTAAAAGGATGAAGAACTGCCTCCCTGGCTGCCTATTCCAAAATTTCATAATACAAATTTTATTACAAAATTCCTAAATTATAATGTCAACTTTTTTGTTCAAATTGATAGGTACATATATGGAAGCAATTAAAAATGTTCACTTTCATTACTTCCCTGTAATTGAGCTGTTTAAGTGACTGACACATCACTAAGCAACAGCATATATCCAGCATAAGTCAATTGACAAGTTATTTTGACCCTTCAACTAAGAACCTCATTTATACAGTACGCCTATATGACATAACAGACATATCTGCATACCAATTTGAAATAATTCTCCTAATCCAGTCTCAAGACATTTCTCTCTTCCAAAAATGCAAAAAATTTACTCTAGAAAATAACTTTTGTTACATCTCCATGACCCCGAAGCCTTCCTTGCTCCCAGGAGCTCCTATTATAAGGTGTGTGGCTATAGCAGAAGTTTCTTAAGGAGGCTGCATCATCCCACTCTTCGCTTTCAAGACACTGGCTGTATCATATGATCCCTTTATTTCAACTCTGTTCACCCTTTTTGCTAAATGATTCTCAGGCATTCTACTAACATGCCCATACCACCACATGTGTTGTACGTCACCCACTCCACAATTCTACATTTGAATCCCTCCCCACTTTCACTCATACTACATATTTCTTACATAATTCATCATCATAACAAGCCACGTACTTTCACCAGCTGCTTTTCTAAACAAAATTCAATGAGAAAATATTTGAAGCAGGGCAACAGAATCTAGCCCTGTGACAAACATTTTCTCAGATACCTAACACAAACAAAAATGGGTTATAGAACTTGTAACCAGTGGGCAAACACTGCCTCAGTTTATGAAGCACTTTTATGAACATACACAAACACTTGACATTTTAAGTTAATACAAAGAAGACCTCCCACGATATCACAAGGAACCCAGTATACAAACATAATAAATAAATTTCACAAAGACACATCACGAAGAACTTGGTTACCAGGGAAACCTTAAAAAGTTCAATAAAGTTTTGAATCCAAGCAAACCAATTATGCAATACAAAATTCATTACCTTCAAGAATATCTTGCAATAAGCAGGTAAGAGCATGGAGAGCCCAGGGAGCGCCCCAGGTGGTGTCTAATGTAAGAGCATGGCGTAGCAGAGCCCCCAGCTGAGAACGCGTTACAATCTCTGCCACGGATGGACTTGGTCTGATCACGCTCACCAGCCCTCCGATAACCTGTTGTTTGGAGAATAAAGCGAGAATAAAAATTATCTTAAATTTCTACTTTGCAGCTCACCCCTTAACTATCCACTATTTAGGAACACAAGCTCAACTAAATTGTTACCAAATCTTCTAATTCTAATTCAGTAGAATGAATGTTTCTGATACAGTATGCGGATAATTTAGCACAGTTTGAGCTACCTTTATCAATGAATAATCACAAACTGAAGCCTTCACTTGAGTAACTAGATGGAGAAAGAGGAGAATAAAGATGAGGAGGAGACAGAGAAGCAAAGGGAGCCGGTCGGCCGAGCGGACAGCACACTGGACTTGTGATCCTGTGGTCCCGGGTTCGATCCCGGGCGCCGGCGAGAAACAATGGGCAGAGTTTCTTTCACCCTATGCTCCTGTCACCTAGCAGTAAAATAGGTACCTGGGTGTTAGTCAGCTGTCACGGGTTGCTTCCTGGGGGTGGAGGCCTGGTCGAGGACCGGGCCGCGGGGACACTAAAGCCCCGAAATCATCTCAAGATAACCTCAAGAAAATAGTAAAGATGCACCAACAAAGTAGCAGACTGGAGATCAGCAAGAGATAATGCCATAAAGAGAAAAGCAAGAGACTGAGCAAGACAATAATGTGGTCAAGGTGACATACATTAATAATGACAAAATCTGAACAACAATATTGACTAGAGTACATGGCGATCTCACTTGAATGACCCTTCGCTCTCTCCAAATCAATCTACATCTGAACATGTTTATGTTTAATTCAAATTGTTCAATAAACCTAAAAGCATCAAATGAGAACTGATATCTTAGCCAAAGTAGATATATCCTTTCCCAAAAGATGAAAAAAGATAATAAAAATGCCCCTGGCCAATGCACAGTGGGACTCCGATTACCCAGATCCATCTTTTCTGGGTTCTAGGGGTTAACCCAAGGTAGAAACATCCGCTTTTCTATTTCCACCCCATTAACTAAAGCATATATGGTTAATGAACAGTCTGCCTCCATTAACCGAGAAGTCTCCGCATCTCCCAGGCCAAAAAATAAAAATGTAAAAAATATACGCATCTAACCTAACCAAATAAGCCTATTCCAGCTATATCATTGTATATGTAGTGAAATAGCATATTATATATGTTTATCAGAGGACACTCCCATTTATGTCCAACCACACCCACAGTCCAACCTACAAATTAAACAGACCAGAGACCATGCATATTGGGTTATCCAATAATCTTTTCCATAAAATAACTACATATTTAAACCAGTATTTATCCAGGTCTTTTCTAAATCTAGAACTACACAGAAAAGTTGTATATGACTGCAAAAGTGGCAAATTGTCACTGAAATTGCTGAGGTTAGCTAGCGGCAGTGGTGTTTGTGCATATGCAATTGTAAAACAAGGTCTGCCATGTAGTCTTCATAATTTTCTGGGCTAAATAAATCAATCCATATTCTCTCATGTTAAATAAAATGAAAGGCTGAGGAAATAGAATGCATATTTACACGAAAATTGACAATGAAAACCTAGCAAAGCTACGCATTGTTGTCATGGAGAGATGCCAGTAGGTCCATCATAGCCAGTTTTGCATAGCCTCAATTGCTTCATACAGTATCTCCTTTAATTATCCAGTCACTCGGAGATAACAATGAATCCAAATATTTGGGGTCATATTGTAGTCCATTTGAGCAAGGCCACACTAAATAAAAATGTCAGCCACTAAAATTATTTAGATACAATATATGCTTGTCTTACTTTGCAAGTCAGTAGGAAGGAATCAACACAGCAGGGAGAGCTCGTGTTCATTAAGAGCTTGATGAGTCCATGAGCCACTGACAATGCTGTGGTACGGTCTAAGGGCACAAACACTTCTCCAGAGGAGTCACTATCATCTTTGCGTGCTCCTCCACTTGATGATGCAGAAGTTGTACGGGTATATCGTCTCACAATTGATCTCCGAATTGTGTCAAGTTTCTGGTAGATCTCGCCACTTAAACCAGCAAGAACCTGCTGTATTAAAAAAAAAAAGAAATATTAACATAACACTAAATACACCTGGGTTGTATCACAAGTGATCAAAGAAAAAACTGTATTCCTAGACTCACTTGCTAGCATGCTGCATATTAAAATCAATATGAAATACATATACATAATACTATATCACTTTTTGTAATTTCATGGGGGAAGATAGTATCAGCCAGGAAAAAAAAAAAAAGGCAAATTGTTCAAATTCATTTTTGTTATATATATTAAACTGTAAAACTTAAAAAATACAAGTACATTCATTATAACAAATGCAATATAGATAAACACCATGGATATGGATAGCACCACAGATAAACGAACACAACCACATTCCAGCCATATGCAGGCGATGAGTCACAATAACATGGCTAAAGTATGTTGACCAGACCACACACTAGAAGGTGAAGGGACGACGACGTTTCGGTCCGTCCTGGACCATTCTCAAGTCGATTGAGAATGGTGTGGTCTGGTCAACATTCCAGCCATCATACCTAGCCGGATCCCACACCTTAATACTAGCTGTCATGTATTCCACACAAATTTTTATATGCATACAAATACATTTACACTCTTCATACAATCTGCTTTCACCCAACCTTCCTCATTATTATATTCAATGTTGTCTACATACACTCATGTGCACACACTTATCATGTACACCTACATTCTTCACAATCTAGCCCTCTCCATTTACCATCAAATTTATTTCAATAAATTCTCTTTGATAGTCTACTAACATCCATTCGTTCAACATTCTCACACCAACCTGGGGCCAGATTCACGAAGCAGTTACGCAAGTACTTAAGAACCTGTACATCTTTACTCAAACTTTGGTGGCTTTGTTTACAATTATTAAACAGTTAATGAGCTCCAAAGCACCAGGAGGCTGTTTATAACAATAACAACAGTTGATTGGGAAGTTTTCATATTTGTAAATTGTTTAATAAATGTAACAAAAGCCGTTAAAGATTAAGGAAAGATGTACATGTTCGTAAGTGCTTGCGTAACTGCTTCGTGAATCTGGCCCCAGGTGTGCTCTCCTCAATCTAGTAATTTACTGACATTTACACTCTACCTTCCTTACTGTATTTTCCCAATACCACCCCATATGCTTCTCAGCTTATGAACCCCCTTAAAGAAGGACAGTTTACGTAAGAATCCTGATAGAGTAGCATATTCTAAAATACTGTACCGGGCTGATATTTTCAACAATGAAGTGTAAGTGCTCGATTGTGTATATGGGTCTGAGAGAATAATAATGAACTAACTTCAGGTATTATTTGCTTTTGCTTTCAATTTTCCGCCACAAACGGCAATCCACCCAGGTATTATGGGAAGGGGGCTACTGTTATATGCTAACACCAGGAGAGAAACTTACTGTCACACAAGTATCAGAATAGGCAGAATACCATAATGCTAATATGAAACAAAGAAGGTTACTATAGCACTATTATCAAGGAAGGAGGCTACCATCACACACAACAAGCCAAGATAACTTATCTTGTTCCAACAGACGAGGCTAAAGAATTGGTTCAATTATGACTGGCAATGCTTATTTCATATTATAACTGATAATAACTGTCACTTTGCTTAGTGATGTCAGGTCACCCACTGATATCCTTTAAGATCATTAAATGATTGTTTGCATATCTGAGTCATGACAGATCCGATCCAGTCATTGTCACTCATCTTCATAATGAAACCATATGAATATAACAAAACAAATTTTAAAGCACCCCGGTACACAATTCTGGCACTAAAATTCCAGTACTCTGTATTAGCAGAATTTCACCTGCGAAATAATTTTCTTACTAGTCACAATCGTTCTACATAAGGGTTTAAATATTAAGCATCCATACAATAATAAAATAGCTCAAGAGCAAACATTTATAGAGTTAAGCAAAACATGAATTAAATGATTGAGATATATGAACAGTGCATATAAAAATATTTACCCCAGAACCAACCTCTCCCAAGGATTTTGTTGCAGTTTCCAGATTTACCAACTGCTGCTTCTGATGGTGCACCAGGCGCTTTCTGAGACGTTCTCGAGAAGCCCGCGGTGCACTCCGGCTTGCTTCTGAACCCCTTCTCTGGAGACACGTCTCTGCTGTCAGCCATGTCCACCGCCCACCTGTCACATCACCAAAACTATTATTTTAATTTTACCTGTATTTTGCACACATTGACCATTTTATGAAAGAATATTGTATGTAAAAGGCAAAGTCCACTAAGGGCTCACCATACCCCGTGCTACTTGTAACTTTGTTCTGAGAAGCTGAATGTAAAACAACAAACACTCCCTGAATACTTCATCAATCAAAGTCATATGCTTTTCTAAATCCACCAAGGCTAAGTGCAGTAAAACACTTTCCTCTGTGCTAGAAACTTTCATTAACAAATAAAATTTAAGTGGACATTACAGCTTTATTGGATCCTATCTCCCTGATTTAGTTTTATACAGACCTCAGTCTCATGACACTATCAGTTAACTCCCAGCAATTTTTACAGGTATGCACAGCATGCAATACAGCAACAAATGAAACCTTACCATTTTCTTTATTCTTCTCTGTGTCATTCTTCCGTGTTGGAGTGAGAGCATCCAGACAGAGCGAGAGGTAGAGCAGGAGCCACGAGACAAGATGTGTGTCAACCTGAGAGCCAATGTTATGCCAAGGTAACCACATTGAATTTATGTCCATGGAAGTAGGTGTAGGGCTGTGAACAGTCAGGTTTCCAGTGCTATGTAGTTGGGCGGAGAGAACTCGCAGTATGGCATCAATGACCTGACTCCCTCGTCCACTGCCAACACTTTTTTGCCCAAGGAAGGTAAGCAGGGCAAAAACTCTGTGAAGAGAAGTGCCTATTTATTAGTCTGTTAATCACATGGGAGGTGGGAAATCTTGAATCTTGATTCGTACAATTACATTGCCACTTTATATCGGCATTGCACTATACTGCGTGCACTACATCATTTATATTTGAACTTCAGAACTCCTGGGTAATAAATACATAATGCTGACCAGCATTACTTACTCTTGCACATTTCACATCCTATAAACTTCAAAGGAATTAATAACTTATCCCTATAATATAATTTCTTGCTTTCTCACTGCCAACACATCAAAATACATCTGTGTCCAGAGCCTCAAGATTTACGCCTTTCTAACGACACACTACAACCTCCATCTGAGTGTGTAATTAAAACGCCTTATAATTCTAACACATTCAACATTTAATTCAGCTAAGCTCAGCAGCTAGAACATGCAAGTAATGCCTTTCTCTCCTCGTGCCTAACTGTCACGGGGTCCTGCCTAATATCACGAAGCACCCCCTTGCCTATGGGGAGCACCCATCATCGCTATCCTTCCACCTTACCAACACAACCACACAGCTGCTCACCCATAATGCTATACTATAATCACATCATTGTTTACCATTTAATCTTACCGTTACATGACTGATGATTTACACTGTGTAAATGTGTGTCTGCTTTCATGAATGCTGCGTTACATGGTGTTTTATGTATGTACATTCACAATTCTAATACTCTGTTTTTTCAACAATATTCGTCTCTGAATTATATTACCATATTATGCCATATTAATATATATATATATTACTATAATATATATAATTATATATATTATATCACAAAAATTACCTGGTGGCAGGAAAGTGCAGAGTATTGGTGGAGGAGAAAAGTGTGGTCATGGTGTTGGCCAAAAAGTCTCCCCACCAGGGTTGGCCAGCACACAGTCGAGCCAGGAGCGACGCCACACCCACCTGTGCTCCCTTGGGCCCCCTCACGCACACCTGTTCCACCAGTACCTTGGCTTGCTCAGGCCCACACCACTCCATCAGATTGTGTGGTACCTGGAAATATTCCTTTGATCATTATCTTTATTAATTTCTTTATTTATTTATATTCATTATTTCGTACATTATCCATAGGGTACAGAAGGGTCAGACGAAAATAAAAAATGTAAATACAATGAAAGGTTATATCTATTTAAAAATTAAAATACCACTTTTATTCATAATATCATTTACAGTGCAGTAGACTGATATAGCATCACAGACATCAAAGCACTACCACCCTCCACCAGTACCTAAAGCAGTACCCACCACTTCAAAAAGACAAGGTGAACAGTTATCTTGGCCTTACATAAAATTTTATCTTGGCTCTTAATATGAAAACACACACACACACACAAAAAAAAAAAAAAACTAGAAACCATATTTTTGCAGATCAGTCAGAATACCCCGTAATCTTACCGACATCCCGGGTATAGGCAGGGACAATGTAAGTAGGCAGTTTAAGAGGTATTGCATAAGTGTAGCCAGTTTGTCTGACGACGAACTGACTGCCGAGAAGAAATGCTTGTTGTGGTTGGTACTGGCTGAAGTCGGCGAGTAAGGCGTAGAGGAACTCTCCGCACCTCCCACACACTGTAGTCTACGCATCACAGACACCACCAGGTTCAGGTGCTGCTGCTCCAACATGCACTCCTAGAAACAGTCAGAAACATTTGTATTTAAGTATGAGAAAGCAAATGATCATGAAAAAATCCTGGAATAATTTATATACATCGTATTTACTGCGCACACTAAATCATCAGTTAATTGATAAGAATGTACTTATTTGCCTTATCCTGAATACTTCCACTTACCACCAAACATGACCTATTTATTATCAAGGTTAATTTCCAAATTCATCAGTCTTTAATCAATATTTTAAGTGTCCATAAGAACTTTGTGCATCTTACAGGCATAACAGAATTATCACTATGGAAGCCCAACACTTTCCTATCTGCACAAAACAGACACCAGAGAGAAATGAGGTAATAAATATTCAGTGTAAACTAACACTAATAACGATGAAAGAGAGAATAGGAAGAGGTGACATGATCACAACATACAAGATGCTGAGGAGGAATAGACAAAGTGGATAGACAAAGTCCTTTCCAGGCAATGGACAATAGAATGAAATGGCACAAGTGATATTATGCTGGAAACAAGCTGAACACAAGAATGTTGAGAAACTTAGAAGCACTTATTATGGAAATACCTTGCTTAGGCAAGGAGATTCTGCCTATTTCTTTACCGCCTATTCAACAACACATCTGCATACTCTAGTGTAAGAAATTAACATCAAAAACAACAATACATACTCAGAAGCCGTGTCTAGACAGACACCACCATTACCCTCCCCCCCTCAAGTACCCGACACACCTGGACACCTGCTGTCTGGCGGCCCAGCTACACTTCCTGGTCAACAAGCCTGCTGCTCGTTTGAGACTGCCGGCTGGCAATTACCTGCACTTCAGCGCCACCTACACAGGCTCGGCCGTATATATATAAGTAGCTCACCACCAGCTAGACCTCAGAATACTCTTCAATGCTTCTACTGCAACATCTACTCTCGCTCTCCTGAGTGTCGGTAGTCTCTTGCAGCTATTGTACATATTTATTGTGCACCTTTTCTTTAATATTAACGTAACTGTCACATGTTTCTCTTGCATTTTTGTTTTGTGTAACGTCAAGTATCATAGGGGATTTGTTTTATTTGTTAGTCATTTTTAGTAAGTATTTAAAGTTTTTCATTCTTTGTACTTTATCCCGCAGCTCTCACACAGTAAAGAGGTCAGAAGCAGTTTTATTTACTTTGTTTTATTTTTTTATTTAATGTTACCGGCATTCCACCAGCCAGAATAGCCAGTGCTCTATTCATCCACTTTTCCGTAACACGGAAATTCAAATACTTAGGTGGGGCCCAAGGAGCCATATATCATTCACCAGTGACACCGGTGCTCACCAGTGATTGGTCAGCACCAGCTTATTTCAAATCCAGCCTTTCTTGCCAATAACATATTGTTTTACTAATATTTCTTAGTTCTTGTTCTTGGTTTACTTGCAGGGAAATTAAAACTATCAGTTTTTAAAATGATATAAAATAATAAAATTAATAATTTCTCATTTACCTTATTAAGTCTACTGATTCTTTTTCATAAATTAATTATACCATACAGTATTTCTAAAAAAAAAATCCTTAAATTAACAAACCTGATAAGCATGTGTAATTTTCCGCTCAAGATCTGCATCCCGAGACCCAACAGAAGACATTTCTGAATAACCGAAAGAGGTGTGAGGACCCGTAGGAGCCGTTGGGCTCATAAGGAGAGGGTTGAGGAGAGATCGCAATTTACTGCAAGCTAGGCTGTAACGACACCCTATGTCCTCCACCACACTTCCCAACACTGTTAACTGGGTCTGAAAAATAAATATTAAAACAATGGAACTCAAGAGAAAGTCATCAATTACAAACATTTTGTAATACCATGAAGTCAGTTAAACATTTTGACTAAGTGCATAGCAAGTCAAGAATAGTAAAATACCTGGGCAGAGACTTTGTTCATGAGCGTCGGATGCGGCTGGCCCGGCTGTAGCTGCCAGGGAAGAATCAGGGTATGTCCATAAAATGCACCAACTGGTATTCTGCACTGGGACGACGTATTCATTCCGTATCTCCCGAGAGTTGTTACCTATAATGTACAGTATTTGGTGGAAAAACTATGTTTATTTTTCACAATACAAACAAGAAGGATTAGGGTATATTTGAAGCTCAGAATTCACAATCATTCTAACAAATATAGAGCATAAACACAATAGCTTAACGTTCATAAAACAAACAAAACATCCTACTTTTCTCAATATTGATTCCTTAATCATTTGCTTTTCTACTTCTTTGTTTTTATTAAGAAGATCAGTTCTCTTCATATTTATGATTAATCATCATAAAGGTCAATGGTTGCTAGTCTTGAACAGAACCTAACTATTACTGAAGGATATGTCTACCGCATCGGCAAACATTTTACTCTACCACCGCCAAACATCTGCATCTTTCAATTACAAACTCCTGTTCTGAAGGCCAGATGCTTAAATGATCATTTCAGGATGTTCAAGCAATTTTTTAATGCATTCATCAAAGCTCATATTTTTCAGGAGTTACGTTTATTTCACTATTCAACTACTGCATAGCTGAGTTACCTTGAGGTTATCTTGAGATGATTTCAGGGCTTTTAGTGTCCTCACGGCCCGGTCCTCAACCAGGCCTCCACCCCTAGGAAGCAGCCCGTGACAGCTGACCAACTCCCAGGTACCTATTTACTGCTAGGTAACAGGGGCATCATAGTGAAAGAAACTCTGCCCAATGTTTCTCGCCGGCGCCCGGGATCGAACCCGGGACCACAGGATCACATGTCCAGTGTTCTGTCCGCTCAACCACCGGTTCCCAAAATATGGGTATAGCAGCAATAGGGTTGATTTAAGATTTTCTGATGAAAGCCATCTTGATAAGCTCCTCTGAGCCATAGAATTGGGTTAGTATCCAGAAACATTAAGACGAGCAATCTTGCAAATTGTCTAGTACCACGAGAACTAAACCACACACCAGAAGATGAGACGACGACGACATTTCGATCCGTCCTGCACCATTATCAAGTAGATTGTCCAGGTCCAGGTACTGGTCCAGGATGGACCAAAATGTTATCGTCTCATCTTCTGGTTTGTGGTTTAGTTCTCACATCTTCAAGCCATGTTAATGCGACTCATCGTCTGCGTCTAGTACCATATTCCTGGGGGTCAAGAGCAGTGGAGAGTATTACCTCAGTCTGCCAACAAGAATAACCCACTTGTTATGACACCAAATATATCAAACCATTCACCACCCCCTACATTGACTACAGCCAGGTGGCAGCACTGGATAGTATTACTGGCTTTGGGGAAGTGGCTACCTCACTTTGTGCCCTACATCCACAACATTCATGTACACATCTCTGCAGGCACAAATTAAAGTTTGACTAGTAAATTCTTAAGACTGAAGGCCATTAGTGCTAATGTAGAGTACCCTCTTTTTCCAGCTTGAGTTTGATTCCTCTCCAAGGCCTCCATGAGTGGGCTTTATTGTCCTTCAAGAGGGGGGACACCATTATAATACTTTGCAGATGTGTCGGCTCTACCTGACCTATCTGGTGTCAAAGTGATTATTTTCAGCTTGTCTCAGCGAGTGCTGAGACAAGTCGCCCCGCATATGGCATATGATGGACCAGTGGTCTGATGGACCCAGTGCTATAGCTTGGGACATACCAAGATACCACTCGGAAACAGATGTCACATCCCACTTGTCACTACATAAATCTGTAAACAGTGTAAAGAAAATCAAAAGCTTTTATTCAGACACAAAAAACAGAAATTACATAGCTTTATATAACCTCACCTTCAGATATCTACACAAGGGAGGAGGTTGAAGGTCAGCCAGAATCAACGGCCGCATACCGATGTCAGAAGCCACCACTAGCCTCTCTCCATCCATGTCCTCTCCTGTCATCCAGATGTCTATGCTCAGAGAGACTAGGTCACTGCAAGCCGGAATAACCACATCTGACAATGAAAAATAAAACATGTCATTCACCTGCTCTCGTCCTTCCAGCTACTGTAGGTTACAGTTTCCCAGCACTCGATCACTGAAAAAATTCCCAGGCGAGCCATGGTAATTCATCAAAGGTACCACAGTATACATATAAATGACTATACCATAATTGAAGATTTCGTGCGGACAATCAGTTTTAAGGAAGATAATTTGTTTATAAAACCCAATGCAAACCTAATTCAGTTTTGCAAAATGGTAGAAGGGCCATGACTTCTTCAAATGAAATGTTGCGAGTCCCTCAACTCAAAAATATTGGGAAGCATTAAACTAATCCAAGTAACTTTCAATAGAGGAGTTCAGAAATATTTGTCAAAAGAAAGCACCAAGCCGGGGAAACAACTTGGCAGCAAATGACTATGTTTGGACTGCACCCGAGGTGAAGGACCATTTTGTGTGTGTTGACCTGTCAGATATGAGCAATGTACTATTTCTCGATAACAGCCCATCACATCCACAAGATGATGAGCTAGTTAATGGCAGCTGTATGTTTGCTACATTCTTGTTCCCCAACACAACTTCTTTGATCGAATCACTGGATTAAGGAATAATTTCTAACCTAAAATTCCACTCCAGAAATTAGTTTGCCATACACCTATATGCACAGAATTATATTATTTAAGACCGAAGGATTTGATGGTAGTGCTACGTCAAAAATCGACTATGATTTCTGTCATTAAATTTTGAATATGCATAATTTTCAGCAGGTTGATTTTCTCTAAGAACGTGAGGTCACATTTCATGGTGCACAGATGAAAAAACCATGGCCATATTCTGTGAATGTCTGCCTCCCGCTGTGAAAATCGTAACCAGCATTGTGACCCTTGTACATAATCTTCATTAGCCAGGAATCTTCTATGACATTATCAACACTAAATAATCATAGTTATTTATTTATTTCATCCATATTAAGTGATGCTGTGAGCACAAGCTGCAAAGTAGTGCTGTGAGCTGCTGCAGCATACACTACCTATTGATATATACAAGACTTCTTATATTCTTGTACAGCCACTAGTACGCGTAGCATTTCGGGCAGTACCTATGGTCATCCTCACAATTTTCTACTAAGATGGCATCTGTTTACTGGAGACCCAAGGAAGCAAATGTGAGCCCCATATATGCCTGGGACTTTTAAATTGTACGCAGTATTCAATATCATTCCTGTTTGACTCGTGTGGTGTGGTCAGATATGCCACGATCATCCCTGTTTGACATACTCAACTGAAGGATTAATTAGCATATGTAATTGTGGAATATTTGGAGATGCCCTGGTTTTTTAAGGAGATAATTTTATAAAAAACTGAAAAGACAAGGTTTTTATGTGCCATGTTCGATGATAATGGGTGACCTCACCCTGTTAAATTTCAGGGTAAACCCAAATCCTTTATGTCTTTCTCACAAGCAGAAAGCAATGTTTACAGCACTTTACTGGCATTCTCAACATGCTCTTGGATATTTCCAGGTAATGATTCCTATGTAAATATCAGACATGCAAATGAATGTAAAGTAAATGGTAAATATATTGCCAGTGTTCAACATGAGGCAGCCATATGTATATGGAAAAACAGTGTACACCATACAGAACTGACAATCTTTAACTTCAAGCTGACACACCAAACTTCCAAAACATAAATAAATGAAGATAACAAACCTGTTAGTAAAACTGGAGCGCCGAAATCGAGCACAACAAAACGTCGCGCTCCAGAGTGCATCCTCTCAATAACGAGCATTTGCTGAGGTGGCAGAGATAGCAGCTGCTGCCAAGGTGCCCCAAGACTCCCCTGCATGGCAGATGTAACTTTCTTCCCATGTGTTCCATCTTTTGTTGGAGGGTGACCTGCTGAAGGAGTAGAAGCCTTGCTCTCTAGTGAACTGACATCTTCATCACTCTTCCTCTTGGTATACGAATTCTGCTGGACAACATGTTTGGAACTATCCACTTCTTCTTCAACTGATGAAAGGCCAAAGTCAATCTTGGCTGAAACAACTAAGTCAACATCACCATTACCCATATACTGCACTGATGGATGAGCGACATCTTCAGCCTCAGTCAAGAGGATGGCGTTCAGTCCATCGTCAGGGGTGGCATCAGAGCTGCTTGATGAAATTGTGCTAGTTTCTTCTTTTATGTCCATTTCTTTGTTTTCTCCATCTAAAGGTAGTAACGTATCGACTGACTGAGAGCCAGAGTTTTCTGCAGCCACAACTTTGGCTAGAGTTTGTGTTCGTTGTTTAGCCTGAAAAGTTGACAAAACATTCATGTTAAAATACTCATGAATTGGCAGAGACGAAAGATTGCAGCAGAGACTGCTCAATCTTCACTCTGCAATCAACGACCACATATATCTGAAAAACTACATTGAATTTAACACAATGCACTCCATCTGAATTTCAAAAAACGGATCTAACATGTACCTTTTGAAGGCAATGTTTCATTGAAGCTAACTGGTCACTGAGAGTCTGCAGCTTCTCTAGGTAAGTTTTAGTAGCCTTCTTGGCAAGTAGTAGCTCTACAGCCTGATTCTTAACAGCCATGTCCTCAACTGCCTTGTGTAACTGCAAAATAGGTAAGTGTCCAATTGTCACTAGCTAACCATGAAATTTGTGTCTGCTTCTGTGCAGTGTTACATTTCAATGTTCCAGAGCTACATTGCTATTCTAAATGTATGAGAAAAACCTACTTGCAACAATCACATGATAAAATGTGGAAGTTGATTACAGGATATCAGACAATATATGCAGAAAACTTCAGTTTTTTCCAGCAACCAAAAGCTTAAAACAACTAATTTCTACATAATACTTTCAAGAAGTTACAAACTTAGAGGACTATGTAATTACAATCTGCACTAGCTTGTAATCAAATTGAAACAAAGATTTATCTTCAATTGCACATGCACAAGGGCAGGAGTTCATTTTTCATTAAGTGACATTTGCAGTCTCACCATTGTGACAGATGCATCAACTGCTTTTGCTGTTCCACTGCTACTCGAAGCCTCAACTTGGGTCAGGGTGCTGGTGTCTAATCCCCCTGGGATAGTAAATGGCTGCATCATAAACGGACTACCAGGATGACCGGAACCTGTCAAATTGAAAATAAACAACGATGTGTAACAGCCTCACTGAAAAGGGGCCTTTACATAAAAATTGGAGCATCACAAACATGGGTAATATGATCGAGAAATTAGAATGAATCAATGTGTGTAGGGGGGTGCACGGAGCAGTGGTACTCTGCTAGTAACACTCCTCCTGATACATTGCCCCTGACAATGATGGTAGTGATGGTGGTGGCTATGGTGATGAAAATGATGGTGGTGGTGATGACAATGATAACGATTGTGGTGATAATGACAATCATGATGGTGATGATGACAACAGTAATAAAATAGTGCATTAGTTACCAAACATACAGTTCCCCACAAATATTACAGTACTGCATAGCATAGGAAGTTACACACAATATAACCATGCATAGAAAGAACAATTTATTGAACATGAGGGATATTTGCTTAGTATGCTTATACTGTATATACTTTAAGTATGAGCTTCTCAAACAAATAATGGCTAGAAAATAGTAACTACCACCTGTAGCACACCTGGAGAGAATTCTGGGCGTTTTCCTACTCTCCAAGCCTGACCTGAGGCCAGACTCGACTTGTGATAATTTGGTCCAACAGGCTGCTGCTTGGAGTGGCCCGCAGGCCCACGACCGAGTGAGTCACTTTACTCAGCAGAGCAAATAATACACAGTACATATTGTCAAGTGTTGTAAAGACTTTATACCACAAGAATTACTAAGCAACTTAAACGATGTACCGCTGAATCCAAATCACGCAACCAGCAGTCATTTGTCCTTTCAATGCCACCTACAATTAAACAACAGATATTTAATATACAATAACAAAAACTAGAGTCTAACCTGTTGATGCTCTTTCCATCTTGGTACCATCACTAGCCATGTGGAGTGTAAAATGAAGCGGCTCCACCTCCAACAATCCACACAGAGCACTGGTATGTGTCAAGCCTAGGAAGGCACCAACTTGTGACCCCCGCCCCAGGAGTGCCCCGATGTCACTGTCATCACGTCCCATTACAATGTACGGATAGCCAATAGTAGTACCGGGGCCCCCAGTTTTGCCGTTCATGGTGGTGTGAGTGCCGCCTCCTGGCCCAGTCTGCATGCTCCCGGATATGCCACTGCCACCGAAACTGATGTTATTATTGTTGTTGTTATTATTGTTATTGCCGGTGTTGTGGCTCGAGTTTGAATGACCAGTAGTAGTACCGCTAATCTGTGGGTGATGAAAGTGCAATGTTAAAAAAAAATCTTAGAGGTAACCAAGGCAAACTATATAGAAATAAAAGTGGCATTACTCTTTATATGCAAAAGTTTAACACGACAAAGACAAGCAATGAATGTCTGTGAATCCTCCAGCCAAGAGCTATACATGATGTAATTCCTTATTAATGGTATCTCTAGTACCAATGTCCTCATAAAACTGTATACCAGCCACTCTGAAGTGTCAATACTTCTAAGCATCTTTGTATAGAATCTATTATAAATTCACAACAAGCAATAATGCCTTGTACTCAGTACAAAGAGGGAGAGCATTATGAAACAGAGATAATAGGAACCTGGATGGCTATGTGTAAGTCAGGTCAGGATGGTATCCCTTAGGTAAGAAAGGCTTTGTTGTGCTCATGCATGTTCAATAGGAACAGATTTACACCTGCATGTGTAAGGTATGCATAAGTTAGAGTCGAGTATGTTGAGTTTGCATAGTTTATGAGTTAGTTTAAAATCTAAAAGGGCAGGGTGGGGGGAAAGGGATAGGTTAATAGGTGCTGTTAGTCCTGGAATGCTATATTTATGTCAGAATGTGGAATGTTGGGCTAAGATGAGAATAGGATGCATTAGAGACTAAGGAAGGTCAGGATGAGCAGATGTGGACCCGAGAGCCAAGTTTACCGATATCTTATGAGAATAAATTTTGAGAAGAGGGGTAACTACCCTACTCTATAATGCAGGTAATACAAGGCTATTTTTGTACCAGCATAGTGGGCAGAGGGGTCTCCACATTTCTAAAATAAAAATGTTATAGAAAATTAATTAACAGGGTAAAAAAAATGAAAGATAAAGATACTAGAAACTTACTGTCTGTTTTGCAAGTAGTGGAGGGTCCGTGTCAAAGAGCTCTCGTTCAAACGGTGTCCCATAGAGGTTAAACCTAGTTTGTAATACTGCATGTAGTGGGTCCACTTTCTTGCTCAGAGCTTCTGAGATCATGGTTAACAGTTGAGTAACCTGCCAAGGGTGGAATCATTGCAAGTGAGCTAATTGGACAATATATTTGATATACAATTAAGCCTTTGCCAATTGTTCTCATTTGAACTTCTTCAGAACAATCGGCTTTTCCTTTGTATACTTAGCACTGTTATTTTAATATAGTTTACACAAATGTTTCAATTTACAAAATTATTTTGTTCTTTGATTTCCACAAGTAATAAAGTTTTGCCCCATTTGCTGCCCTCTTTGTGGAGCAACAGGAGCTCTGTTCCATCGCCGCCTAGCTACTTGATTCGTGCACCATTAATCCCTCCATACATACTAACTTTTGCTTCTTGATATATTCCTCTGCCACCTGGAGGTTTAGCAATAATGGATATTTCCACTTAATTTCATTATACCTTTATTAACATACTATACTGAGCTCCACTTATACTTCTCAGTCCCAAGATACATTAAAAATAGACATTTACTGAATTAGCATCACCGAACATGCAATTATTAATCCTCAAAATATACTCTCCAATCTTTCCCGATGTGCTATAAAGACCAATATAAAAACATTAAAAAATAAACAAAATCTACACCAGGATAACCATCCCTTCAATTTGCCACTCACTCCAAATTACTGATAAAACATTCCAGATGCCATTACAAGAGCAACACCCAAGTTATCTACATTGAAGATACAAGACAATTGAAAATGTATACATCTGAATGAAATCATCAGTCTTATAATATTTATTGGAGTATCGGTATCGTCACAGGCGTCTCTTCAAATTCGGTAATCGTCATTGTATAAAATTGTGACATTATGCATGATACATTATGCCAACATAAAACTGGAAACAGCAGCTTACCTTGCGAGAAGTTCCCCAAGGGTTGCACCATTTGACATGGTTAAGAAGGGTAAAAAACCAATGAAGAGCACCGGCACTCTGGCAGGTAAGGACATGATCCAGCCACTCCAACAGAGCCTCCAACACGGCCCAACCAAACACTGTGCCGCCCTCAACAACACGGGAACCCCTGAAACAAAATTATTTGTTTTTAAACATTTCAAACTTTCAAGTTAACAAAAAATTGCCAGTTTCCAATTAATCATTCTGCTAAGTGTTCCCTAAATATGAGAATTTGAGAAAGCAAATAATTACCCACCATACACACACACTAGTCATTAGTTAACTTACTCCAGAGCAGTGACTATTATTTTGGATGTTTTGTGGGCAATACTTCGGTCCCCAAGCAGGAGACATGAACGCACCAGTCCAGAGAGGTGGAGCTGAAGCATTGTGATAATTCCCACGCTGATGGTGTTGTCATCAACTGAAAACAAAAATCTCACTTACTGCCAACACACTATTTGAAATCTTACATGCTGCAAATAATATTTCTTTTATCTTCAAATGAAAGAACAAGTCAAGTAAAAATATAAAGCAGCATATTCATGTAAATACAATCTTACCAGCAGCTGTATGTATTGAAGTAACCCAGAGTAACATGTCTAAAGCTCTGTGACGAACGTGATCAGACGAAGTGTCGCCAATAATTGCTTCAAGAAGACTCTTGTGGAAGGTTTCACTTTCAACCAATGACATTCTCTGTTGCCTATAATGAAAAAAGCTTAATTGTAATATTTTCTTAAATAGAGCATTGCGTGAAATGAAACTCGTCTTTCTGGTACTTCCCCCAGGGCCAATATCTCACTAGGCATCTAAGAGAGATTCGGAACACCAGGAGCAAGGACCCTGCCAAAAAGGACGAAAGTATCACACACTCAACCCTCCAGAGAAATGTTTGGTACAAACTAATATCAAACCTTAAAACTATCTCTGACAACAAGAATACCACATCATTTCTTGCTCCTACCTACCAAATAGAATTCAAAGAAGAATAACCCTTCACAAAATGCATGCAGGATTAGTAATTTCGCCATGAGCATATACCCTAGCAAAAACTCATGATTAGCATCAGCTTTGTCAGCCATGAGATGCACTGACAAGCCATACTGAACACAAACCGGTATTATTTTATTTATTTTTTTTATACGTAGGTGAGAATAGGAGGAGACAACTTCTAACTCCTGTTAACATTCTGTGAGCTTTCCCTTTCCATTGTTCATGGTAAGCCTTACCATGCTACTTTTCCCTAGACTCAAACTCGGAGCAAATCGCTGATGAGGCACAGGGTGAGCGTCACTATTACGCCACCCAGGACTAACCTTAATGCAGATACGTCATCACTTCACCTAGAAAGTTCAGAGAATCACATTCCACAAAGCACAGGATTGGTAATTTCACCATGAGCCTTAAAGAAGGGTAATCTAACTACCAGACCAACTACCGTCCTCGAGTGACTGATTTACTGACATGCACGATAACATCATTCGACTACACATTTCAGTAAAAATCTCGGTAAGTATAGTATTGCATTTACAAACTGGATTGTAGTGCCTTGTAATACATCAATGTATTTCTTTCAATTTATATCTTTTTTACTTCCTCAGTTTACCTTTCCTACTGCTCCTCCCATACATCTTTCTCTGTATCTTACTGAAATATTCACCAAAACTAGAGTGGGGTAAACTTTATAAAATGCAAACTCACCTCTCATGAGAAATGGTGGTCTTCAAACAACATCTGACTGTGATGGAGAGCTCCTGAATAATATCACATCCTCGAACCAAGTCCACCCGTTTATTGGAGGAAGCCGCCAAACGGTCCAGGAACGTGGATGATTGGGGAGGCATGTATTGAGTCACCAGATCAAGGTCACTGTTCTTTTGAAGGTCCTAAAAATAAAAAATAAAAATAAAAAATAAAAATTAGAATATACTTGACATACCTGACAAAATGTATATAATTTGTCCAATATATTTGTAACTTTTTACACTTTCATAATGGATAACCAGATAAATGTATTGAATAAATTATCAGAACTTAATGAATTGAAGGAGTAATGAATTGCAACAAATAGGACCAATAAAGTTCATAATAACAAAGCAACACAAATTGGAAGATGTTTTAAGCCGTAGATCATTAGCACTTCAGTGTGGGGCACCTTATATAGCAAGGAATCTAAGTCCAAATGTTATATTTAGAGTATGTATTTCATGTCAAGACTCTAACCTCGTGAGCTAATGCCATAAAAAAACTAATATTATGCATACATGCTGCTGCTGCTGTTGTGACTGCTGTTGTGACTGTTGCTGCTGTGACTGTTGTTGGGGCAGCTTCAATGGCAAAGCCTTTATATGTACAAGATAAGTTCTGCTGCGACATGCTAGTAGACTTGGTGAGGTGAGAGTGATGTTTGCTCCCTGGCCTGATAAGTCAATGCAGCGGTTGACTGTCACTGGGCCACACAGTATTTCTGCATTGTGTGTACACTGGAACTCCTTCGTCAACACTGGGTTTTCAGGACAGTCATCTGCAATGAAACATTATTATCATCATTATATCTACTTTCTAACCAACTACTATGAGACAACCCAGAATGTAAGGGGTTGCCCAGACCCAAAATGGTAAGGGAATATAAGGCTGTGTAGCTAATAACAATCTCCACAAAGGTTCTGGATTTGTCCCCTGAACACAAAAGTTTACGTATAATACAAAATTGAAAGAGGCTCCCTGAAGAAGGCTTTGGAGAACCTCACTGTGTCAAAGCGTCCACATCAATATATCTCTAACACATCCTCCATGAAAAAAAGGAACGAATATGATGTAATATCTTACAGTACGTATGACAACATACAAAAGAACAACACTTATTATTCCAAAGTGACCATCAGGACCATAAACTCTAGATACGAACAACCAGTTCAACAACTCTCACTCAGTATTTATATAAGAACAGGTTCGTTCAGCAAACGATTTCTGTCCAATAGCAGGAGGCCTGACCAGTCTGTAGAGTACCATATATCTCTGGAAACCATTCTATCTTTAGGTTATCTTGAGATGATTTCGGGGCTTTAGTGTCCCCGCGGCCCGGTCCTCGACCAGGCCTCCATGCCCAGGAAGCAGCCTGTGACAGCTGACTAACACCCAGGTACCTATTTTACTGCTAGGTAATAGGGGCATAGGGTGAAAGAAACTCTGCCCATTGTTTCTCGTCGGCGCCCAGGATCGAACCCGGGACCACAGGATCACAAGTCCAGTGTGCTGTCCGCTCGGCCGACCGGCTCCCCGGTCGTCCGAGGGGAGATTCTAGAGCTCAGTGTGTAAGAAGTACCTTAACCAAAAATTTCAGTTAATTAACCCAAATATTTTTTTATTGTCAATAAGCAGAGTTTAAACTCAATCGTTGCCTTAACAGGGAGAACAATGTAGCTCAAATAGGGACTAGCTAGAACTTCTGCTGGAAGTGAAAACAGTAGCCTAGATGCTCAATTCAATAAGAACTGAAGTCATTTTTAAAAGCAGCTTGGTAAATTAACTTACACTCAATTACAAAAATCAATTCTAGAGGGAAGAAATGAAATGATGACTAGCCAGCTATCCCACCAAGAAATTATATAAAGGCATACAGCTTATAAATGTTAAAACTGTGACCCTTAATTTTGTTTATGTACACACACTGGATGACAATGAAGATCCAAAGCAAACACCCAGATCCCCAAGTGAAGCAACAACCTACAAACTAACATTACCAGCATCCAAATTACCTAATTTGCCAATTTGAAACTATGATTCAAGATGCCACTTCATGAATATATTTTAGGTACTTTCAAGACAACTTAGTGGACCAATGAGTAACTACCTGCATGTAATTCCTTATAATAAAAAACTATAATTCCAAGACTTAAGTATTATTGTCAATCAATAATGATTCATTACACTGCACGCAAAAATCACAATTGCGTGATGCATCAAGTGAACAAATCCACAAGGGCCGTGACAAGGATTCGAACCTGCGTCCGAGAGCAGCATCCCAGACGCTGCCTTAATCGACTGAGCTACGACATGGTCAAAAGGAGTTGAAACCGAAGTTCTACTGAACTTACTGGATCCTGCAGCCTCTCCGAGGCACAAACCAGGGTTTTACACAACTCCCCACATGCACTAGAGCTATGTCAATAGGCCATTCTCCGTCTTCGCCCTTACTTCATTACACAAGGCAGCTTAACATTAAGGTTAAGATTAAGGCAGCGTCTGGGATGCTCTTGGACGCAGGTTCGAATCCTTGTCACGGCCCTTGTGGATTTGTTCATTCATTACACTGCCTTACTTTAACAAAAATTCTTTCAATAGTTAAAAGAAAGTATTTCAATAGGCTCATCTATGCCACAAGTTGGTTTGACAGTGGTGTGGAGAAGCTGGAGTACCTGCTTCTCATGTGACAATGTAATGATGGATCAGTGGCCATATCTTGTCCACACAGACTCTTGTGGCCATATGATGTCCTCCCACAAGAGCAGGAGGGTACCATGAGACATCACACACATAAGGGGAAAACCTCTTAAAAAAATATATTAAAATGAAAGAGAATATGAATTTTACAGAACAAGATTACAGCCAAGTCTTACCTAAGACATCATGTGGGATGCTTGATGTGGATGGAGTGTGAGCATGTGAAGGAGAAGCACTACCACCAGTGCTGGAAGATGCACTACTTCCTTGATGCCCAGTCTGACGCCGAGGCGTAGCTAAATTTTGACGCAACAAGGTTACCTGCAAGTATAAACAAACTTCTTCAGATAACCGAAGCAATAATATCCTCACTATGATCAAATCGCAAACAGCAATAATACGGTGACTAACAAGGGTACATGGCCTGTTCACAGAGAATATTTTGGGACTTATTAAACTACTAAGAAAAAACTTGCTGGAAGCCTGTTAATGAAAGATGTCTGTAGCTACCTAACATTTATGCAGGGTATTCAAAGTCCAGGGCCCCACTTCTCACTGCTACTTGATTACCACATTTGCACAAATACAAGACACACATTACCCACCTCCTTTTCCACCTCCTATCCCACCCGGAAAACAAAACACCAGGAGTTACAGCTGACAATATAACACAATGTTCCTTCAAACATAACTACCTACAGCCAACATATTGGTAGTTTGCCTCTGTTCAAAATGGTCACATCACCCAAAGTCACCACCACAACATTTCAAAATACTGTACACTTCTTGTTTTGCAACATTATGAAACTCATTTATTTTCTATTCATTACAGTACTTTGAATACAAAAAATTACTCCAAACATTCGGAAAAAAATTCTTGTCAACATGAGTCGGGAACAAATACTGAATAGAAATACATACTCTATTCAGTGCAGATTGTGCATTCCTCAAAACAGGAACATTGACTGGATCAACTCGGCTCTGCACAAGATTATAATATAGCTCCCAAGGACATGTATTCCCGACATGGTAATTTATTACCCAGACCCGTCAAATGTTCAGTAGGACACTTGAACAGTACATAAGATATACCTGATTTTATAAATCTAAACAGAACTCATTCCTTGCATAAAACACACTATGAGGCATACACAATTTATGAATTATTTTGTGGGTGATTACTTAAGTGTAGTTACAGAATGAGAGCTATGCTCATGGTGTCCCGTCTTCCCTACAATCTTTGCTGTGCGATGGTTTGAAATTGATAATGGTTTTGACATCAACCACCACCTCATTTAACCCTTCAACTGCACATCACAAAGAGGGTTGGTTCATCAATGGTGCACACCACAACCAGGGTTGTTTTAAGGAATAGCTTAAGATTTAAAACTGCTTTGGGTACACTGGGCTCACATCCTGTTCTTCAGGACAGTAAACAGATGCTAAAAATTAACCCATCTGCATCTCTCCTGGCTGCGAGAGCCTCAGTACAGGGAGCGCGACCAAGGCTGGCACATTCGGCAGAAGCTCACAGCACCATTGTGCAGCTAGGAACCACAGCACCACGTAATAATGATGAATGCAATAACAGCAATAATTTTGCTTGGTGCCATAGATGATGCTAACTATGATGAAGACTATGTACAACAATCAGGTATCAGTGAACACACTATTAGATATGATGCTCACAGTATGGGGCAGACAGCCACAGCACTCCCCCCTATTGTTTCATGCATGTACACATCATGAAATGACCCCATGCTCCTTTGCAATACATATAACCTTGTGGAAATGAATTCATATTCAGGATTTAGTGAGAGGAATGTGACGATAACAGAGCTCTGTGGCCAGTCTTAGGGGTATGTGTAGTACCCAAGTGCGACATCTCGCTCCCAATGTACACAGGTATGTACAAACAGTAATTACCAACCTGTAACACTGGTAAAGGGTTAGGAGGGCCTGGGATGAAGTTGAGCTTGAGATCAACATGACCAACTTGCACTGCGCCGACCCCACTTGCCCCAGCTGGCAGCAACAACTCAAACAAGTGCTCATCAAATGTTGAACTGAAAAAGTAAGCATTGTAATGACAATCTTCATTTTATGAAGCCTAATTTATCCATTTACATAATTCCAACACTGAAAGTGCTACAAAATTATTTTCAGTTGAATTACCATTGGCTAAACAGTGGACCATGTTGAAAGTATCAACCATTATTGTAATGATTTGAATAAGTTATGGATATAGTTTCTTATTCTGAATTTGAAACCTACAACAATTTTAAAACCACTGATAACTGTATCTTTTAAATCTAAATTTAATTCTTGAGTATACAGATTATATCTATAGGCAGTTCATGTTTTTTTCTTTTATGACTTTCCCCTTCGATAAATAATTTACTGTAAAGTTAAGTAAAGTAACCCAACTATAAATGTACTCAAAGCAAACATCTATGAATGAAGTTACAATTGATTGATGATTGGTGGTAATTTTCTTGAAACACATTTATAATAAGCTACCATCCAGTAGCTTATTACAGAGCAACTTGCCATAGTTGATCCAACTTCAAGTAGTCCTTTTATACACTATTAATAATTAATAACTTATTTCACTTAATCTTCTGACTTTTCCTCACCATCTGCTAAGACTGTTGTTCTCCACCATTCATAATATTTCCCTCTTACTAATTTACATAGAGATGGAAGGTATCAATGTACAGTAAAGTGTTGAGCATTAAAATACATACTGTAACACACACACACCATATTTCACACACCAAATGTAGTGCCACAAACCTTTCCCCCTACACATTCACCCACTCTTCACCAACTCTTGCCAACTGGCTTCCTTCCCTTCCATTTGCCAAGTGTTGTTCAAATGTTCAGTAGTACTATGTACAACAATATGTGTTGTTCACACACTTGGCCCCCCTTGCTCTCTCACACTAGCCATATCTGGTCTCTATTATACCTTTCCTTTCCTACCTCTAAATTTATTCAATATTCACAGTTTTCACATGATTATCATCATCGTTCCATTCAAAGTAACCAAACCATCTTGCTATGCTCTCCTCGACCTTCCCACAACAAATCTTCTCCTGATACTTTCACTCTTTACTCAATTTAGTCATAACTACTCGTACCTAGCATGCTTCTCAGACTGCTCATGCTGTTCTAACTCATGCTCATATTTACTCCCTCGCCACTACACCATCTCATATCCATACACAAGTCATAGGCACTAAATTCTCTTAACAAAGGCTTTCACTGTGCAGCCATTTTTCTTTCCTGAAATGCTAAGTTTTCTACGTTAAACAATAACCAGAACCCAACAAGAAAACAATTTACATTTCTTTTAAGACTCCTAAATCAATTCCAATGACTTTGTCTTTACCTATCTGACTCAAGCCGCCAGGTGCGGGTAGTGTCCATGTCGTCAGCATGCTGTTGGAGGTGCTGGGGGTTACGACGCTGCTTTTGTGCTTGGATGATTTCTGACCAGCAAGGTGGAACAGTTGCCACAAATCTGTGATATGAAATAAATATTTTTAAGAAAGCTAGGAGTATAAAAATAAAATTTCCCCTTGAAAGCTTCCACTACAAGCTCCTGGTCCCTGACCAGGAGCCTGGAACCAGGCCATGGGGACGGTGAGCCCTGAAATCAGCGCAAAGTAAGGTAACTAATGTTTCAGTGATATTTTGCATGTTTTCTTGTAAGGTGAAGAAGAGTTGTGAGCCTCTCAAGTTTACACTTCAAAAATTGTGCTTAAAGCACCTCAACTTTTCATCTATTTCACACACTACCTGTGTGTGTATACACACACACTACCTGTGTGTGTATACGCACACACTACCTGTGTGTGTATAAGCACACTACCTGTGTGTGTATACGCACACACTACCTGTGTGTACACTACCTGTGTGTGTGTGTATACCACACTACCTGTGTGTGTATACCACACTACCTGTGTGTGTATACCACACTACCTGTGTGTGTGTGTGTGTGTGTGTGTGTGTGTGTGTGTGTGTGTGTGTGTGTGTGTGTGTGTGTGTGTGTGTGTGTGTGTGTGTGTGTGTGTGTGTGTGTGTGTGTGTGTGTGTGTGTGTGTGTGTGTGTGTGTGTGTGTGTGTGTGTGTGTGTGTGTGTGTGTGTGTGTGTGTGTGTGTGTGTGTGTGTGTGTGTGTGTGTGTGTGTGTGTGTGTGTGTGTGTGTGTGTGTGTGTGTGTGTGTGTGTGTGTGTGTGTGTGTGTGTGTGTGTGTGTGTGTGTGTGTGTGTGTGTGTGTGTGTGTGTGTGTGTGTGTGTGTGTGTGTGTGTGTGTGTGTGTGTGTGTGTGTGTGTGTGTGTGTGTGTGTGTGTGTGTGTGTGTGTGTGTGTGTGTGTGTGTGTGTGTGTGTGTGTGTGTGTGTGTGTGTGTGTGTGTGTGTGTGTGTGTGTGTGTGTGTGTGTGTGTGTGTGTGTGTGTGTGTGTGTGTACTCACCTATATGTACTCACCTATATGTGCTTGCAGGATCGAGCATTGACTCTTGGATCCCGCCTTTCGAGCATCGGTTGTTTACAGCAATGACTCCTGTCCCATTTCCCTATCATACCTGGTTTTAAAATTATGAATAGTATTTGCTTCCACAACCTGTTCCTGAAGTGCATTCCATTTCCCCACTACTCTCACGCTAAAAGAAAACTTCCTTACATCTCTGTGACTCATCTGAGTTTCAAGCTTCCATCCATGTCCTCTCGTTCTGTTACTATTCCGTGTGAACATTTCGTCTATGTCCACTCTGTCAATTCCTCTGAGTATCTTATACGTTCCTATCATGTCCCCCCTCTCCCTTCTTCTTTCTAGTGTCGTAAGGCACAGTTCCCTCAGGCGCTCTTCATACCCCATCCCTCGTAGCTCTGGGACGAGTCTCGTTGCAAACCTCTGAACCTTTTCCAGTTTCATTATATGCTTCTTCAGATGGGGACTCCATGATGAGGCGGCATACTCTAAGACTGGCCTTACGTAGGCAGTGTAAAGCGCCCTAAATGCCTCCTTACTTAGGTTTCTGAATGATGTTCTAACTTTTGCCAGTGTAGAGTACGCTGCTGTCGTTATCCTATTAATATGTGCCTCAGGAGATAGATTAGGTGTTACGTCCACCCCCAGGTCTCTTTCACGCGTCGTTACAGGTAGGCTGTTCCCCTTCATTGTGTACTGTCCCTTTGGTCTCCTATCTCCTAGTCCCATTTCCATAACTTTACATTTGCTCGTGTTGAATTCTAGTAGCCATTTCTCTGACCATCTCTGCAATCTGTTCAGGTCCTCTTGGAGGATCCTGCAATCCTCATCTGTCACAACTCTTCTCATCAACTTTGCATCATCCGCAAACATCGACATGTAGGACTCTACGCCTGTAAACATGTCGTTAACATACACAAGAAATAGAATTGGTCCCAGCACCGATCCTTGTGGTACTCCACTTGTTACTGTTCGCCAGTCCGACTTCTCGCCCCTTACCGTAACTCTTTGGCTCCTTCCTGTTAGGTAGTTCCTTATCCATTCTAGGACCTTTCCCCCCACCCCCGCCTGCCTCTCGAGCTTGAACAGCAGTCTCATGTGCGGTACTGTATCAAAGGCTTTTTGGCAGTCCAGAAATATGCAGTCTGCCCAACCATCTCTGTCCTGTCTTATCCTCGTTATTTTATCATAGAATTCCAGAAGGTTTGTTAGGCACGATTTCCCTGTCCAGAACCCATGTTGATGTTTGTTCACAAACCTAATGTTCTCCAGGTGTGCAACCAGTCGTAGCCTAATTATTCTTTCCAGTATTTTACAGGGGATGCTTGTCAGTGATACAGGTCTGTAGTTAAGTGCCTCCTCCCTATCTCCTTTCTTGAAGATCGGCACGACATTTGCCTTCTTCCAGCAACTGGGCAATTCTCCTGACATAAGTGACTCATTAAAGATCATTGCCAGAGGCACGCTGAGGGCCTGTGCTGCTTCTTTTAGTATCCACGGTGATACTTTGTCTGGTCCAACTGCTTTAGTTGCATCTAGAGTTGTCAACTGTTTCATTACCTCCTCTGCTGTCACCTCTATATCTGATAGTCTTTCATCTAGGGTAACCCCTTCCAACAATGGGAGCTGCTCAGGCTCGGTAGTGAACACTCCATGGAAACTGGCATTCAGTGCCTCGCAGATTTCCTTGTCACTTTCAGTATATGCCCCCTCTGTCTTCCTTAGTCTTGTCACTTGGTCGTTCACCGACATTTTTCTTCTTATATGACTGTGTAGTAACTTAGGTTGTTTTTTCGCTTTGATTGCAATATCGTTCTCATAGTCCCTTTCCGATGTTCGTCTTATGTTAATGTAATCGTTCCTAGCTCTGTTGTATCTGCTTCTGTTGTCCTCTGTTCTTTGTCTTCTGTACTTCCTCCACTCCCGCCTGCTGGCCATTTTTGCTTCCTGACACTGTCTATTAAACCATGGGTTATTATATTCCTTCTTATTTTTTCCCTTTACCGTTGGTATAAATCTCTCTTCGGCCTCCTGGCATTTCTGTATGACTAGGTCCATCATATCTTGGACTGTTTTTCCTCTAATTTCTTCCTCCCACTGCACTTCACCCAGATAGTCCCTTATCCTCATATAGTCCCCTTTCCTGTAGTCAGCTCTCCTTTCCCAGATCTCTTGTCCCATGGTCATAATTTTGAATTCCATCATGTAGTCAAAGACTAGGACACAATGGTCACTGGCCCCTAGAGGTATTTCATGCTCTAAATTCTCGATATCTTCTACGTTCTGGGTGAAAATCAGGTCTAATAGGCTCGGTGCATCTCCTCCTCTTTCCCTTGTGTCTTCCTTCACATGTTGTGTCAGGAAATTCCTGTCTATAACATCTACTAATTTTGCTCCCCACGTTTCATCCCCTCCATGGGGATTCCTTGATTCCCAATTTATCTCTCCATGATTTAGGTCCCCCATGATCAGCAGCTTCGCTCTCATTCTGTGGGCTAGTGTTGCTGCCTTCTGCAGTTCATCAATACATGCTTTGTTGTTGTCATCATACTCCTGCCTGGGTCTTCTACTGTTTGGTGGGGGATTGTAGATTACCATGATCACAATCTTCCTCCCATCTACTGTCAGAGTTCCATGTATGAAGCTTGTGCACTCATTGGTAACTCGATTTCCCAGGTCTTCAAACTTCCATTTCCGCTTTATTAGGAGTGCTACTCCCCCTCCCTGTCTCTGTGTCCTCTCTTTTCGTATCACCTGGTACCCTTCAGGAAAGATAGCATCTGAGATCATGTCATTAATTTTAGTTTCCACAATTGCAACTATGTCAGGATCTGCTTCACTCACTCTTTCTTTTATCTCTTCTGCTTTATTAGATACCCCATCAGCATTGGTGTACCAAACCTTGAGATTCTTCATGGAAACTCTTGTACCAGAGTTCTCCCTTTCTCTGGGGGTCTGGGGGGATCTGGGGGATGTCTGGGGGTGACTGGGGGCAGAGGGGATCTGGGGGATCTGGGGGGTGTCTGGGGGATGACTGGGGGCGGGGAGGGTCCGGGGGATGTCCGGGGGGATCCAGGGGGTGTCTGGGGGGGTCCGGGGGGTGTATGGGGGGTGAAAGAGTTCAGGAGGGGTGCTTGGGGGGCTACTGGGGGCTGGGCTTCTAGGAAGGTAGGTAGGAGGGTCTGGGGTAGGGCCTGGGTAGGTAGTTCTGGAGTAGGAAGGGCATACAGGGTCTGAAGATTAGGGAGGGCATAGAGGGGTTGGGAGATGGCGTAAGGTTGGGAGACAGATAGAGGTTGAGAGGTTGGGAGGGGGAAGGATAGAGGGGGTGGGGGGGACCTCCCACCACCCTCGCAAGGGTGGTGGGTCACATGGAAGGAGAGGGGATGAGGAGGGGTGAGGGCAGGGTAGGCTTTGGGTGTTGAGGGGATGAGGTCTGGGTGGGTTCTTGGGGTTGAGGGGATGAGGTCTGGATGGGATTTGGGGGTTGAGGAGATGAGAGCTGGGTGGGTTTTGGGGGTTGAGGGGATGAGGGCTGGACGGGTTTCGGGGGTTGAGGTGATGAGGGGGTCCTTGGAATGTGGGATGAATTTGACTCCAGTGGGGTCAGAGGGGTCAAGGGATGTGCTGAGGAGATAAGCAGGGGCGGCTGATTTGGGGAAGGGGTGACCTGAGAAGCACTTGTGAGCTGGTTAGCATGGGGTGGATTAGCACTGGGGTGTGTAGCTGCGCTCAAATGGGAAGAGTCGTTTTGTTGTTTGCTTGCTCTGTGGGCTATCTGTGTGTGTGTGTGTGTGTGTGTGTGTGTGTGTGTGTGTGTGTGTGTGTGTGTGTGTGTGTGTGTGTGTGTGTGTGTGTGTGTGTGTGTGTGTGTGTGTGTGTGTGTGTGTGTGTGTGTGTGTGTGTGTGTGTGTGTGTGTGTGTGTGTGTGTGTGTGTGTGTGTGTGTGTGTGTGTGTGTGTGTGTGTGTGTGTGTGTGTGTGTGTGTGTGTGTGTGTGTGTGTGTGTGTGTGTGTGTGTGTGTGTGTGTGTGTGTGTGTGTGTGTGTGTGTGTGTGTGTGTGTGTGTGTGTGTGTGTGTGTGTGTGTGTGTGTGTGTGTGTGTGTGTGTGTGTGTGTGTGTGTGTGTGTGTGTGTGTGTGTGTGTGTGTGTGTGTGTGTGTGTGTGTGTGTGTGTGTGTGTGTGTGTGTGTGTGTGTGTGTGTGTGTGTGTGTGTGTGTGTGTGTGTGTGTGTGTGTGTGTGTGTGTGTGTGTGTGTGTGTGTGTGTGTGTATACACACACACACACACACACACGGAGTCTAAAATTCTAGCTGGCCAGTGGTTAGCTACTTTATGGAATCTATCTTTATTATGACTTCATAGTATGGTGCATAGTGCTTCTGTCTCCCACTCATGGGTCAGTGGTTCAAGTCTCCTAGTGCCCATGTGAATGAAATGTTTATATCCACGGTAGTGTGGTTGAATATTTATGTTCAATATACATATATAGTAAATATATATATATATATATATATTTTATTATTATAATATATGCATAATGTAAAAATAATTTAACAATGCAACTCACTTTGGGCATCCTGTCTGAAACTGAGTCAGCTCTACACACTTGTCAAGAACCTCCTGCGACAGTTCCTGATTTGCCAGCAGTTCACCAGCTGAAACAGTATAATATTATAAGAACATAACCTAAAATAAAAAATTATGATTTTTCAATACATGTAATTGTCCACAGTTATTTTTGTAACATGCCTAGAATGAAACTATACACACTCAGATGGTTTCACAAAACATTTTGCAAGCATTACATGCCCCTTTACAAAATTTGAGAGGTCTTACGCGTAAGCTCTGGCTCCCGCGTCAGTGCTGGAGCTGCAGTAGAAGGCACGGATGCAGCTGAAGTTGTGCTTGAGGCTGTAGTATCGGGTTCCTTGCCCATTTCTGTCTCTTTACGCAGCTGGATCAAGTTGACTCTACCGTCGTCACAACTCACACACAGTCGTTCCAAGCCTGTAAACAATTGAATAGTCACTAATTCTCACACAAAAACATTGCTGAATGTAAATTGACTTTCTTTTCTACTGCTGCAGACAAAAAAAAACCCTCGTGTTACCAGTTGGCTTAAAATAAACTGTACTGATGGAAAACTCATTATATCACAGTGTGCATTTCATGGTAAGAATTGGGTCCTAATATGTTATAAATGAAGAGTATTAGGATGTTTCAAAGATTTTCATCATCATCAATCAACATCCACATCATAATTATCCCATCTACCATTTCCATGGACTAGGGAGCAAACTAGGGAGCAACTCATTATCATCACCCATTCGCTCATGTTCAAGCTGTAGGGAGAAGGATCAGCGTGTGAAAATAATACCAGCATTAGCATTACACACACACACACAGGAAATAATATTAGCATCTCAAACAAAACCAGGCAAACATAGACATTCTTTAAAAGCCTAAACAGAATCACTCACATCATCATATAGGTATACATAGCACATCCTGGGGAATAGTGGTTTGCACACTTGCTTTTTAAAAGAGAGACCCAAGTTTGTATCCTAGATAGTGTGAGACAAATGTTGTTTGTCTATAAAATTTACAATATAACATCAGATTTAATAGGTTGCACTGTATTAAAGTAAAATAAAAACCCTCATTGACTTACTGTTACAGTAGACCACATTGTTAAAGTGGCGGCTTGAGGGTGGTGCAACACCATGAAAGAATTCCAAGGTTGACAGAGACAAAAGCCTTAGAGAACCATCCATGGTGATGCATGCTGCGACCCCATTTATTCCACAATCGTTATCGCTAAACTGTAAAGAAATTGTCAGAATTAGCATTTATCAAAGTTCAAAGTACTAGCCCAAATATTTTCCCTGTGACAAAAATAATGGCCTTATTTGATAACTGCAGTACTAGATTATGTATTGTTCAATAGCTCCAATACAAAAACACATTTTGACCATTCAAATCCAAATTCACAAATAGCCACTGTTCGTTCACAAACAGGCTGTCAGCTGGACACGCATGCACTGTCAGACAGATGCCTACATGATGTCAGCCAAATGCACACTATTCGATGTGTGCATCATGTCACCCAGACACGCGTGTACGCCGCCAGCCAAACACACGCTCACGTTGTCAACCATGACCTTCCAGTACTTAGACCTTATCACTGGCAAGGTGGGCATAATATTGGAGTATCACTTCAGCAAATTAGGTTCAAGCCTTATATAGAGTAAGTATAAAGACTAAACCACACACCAGAAGATGAGTAGACGACGACGTTTCGGTCCTTCCTCGACCATTATCAAGATCATCGACTTGATAATAGTCCAGGATGGACCGAAATGTCGTCTCCTCATCTTCTGACATATGGTTTAGTCTTTATATCTTCAGCCACATTATTGTGACTCATCATCTGAATAACGTAAGTATATAGATGGAGAGATTAGAAGGGAAGCAAGATATCCCTGAGATATGACTTCATTCCAATAACAATATATCATTAGATTAAAATGTAGGAAAAATATGAGAACACAATTATAATGAATTTGGCATATTTGTCTGATGTATTTGACACATCATACCCATTTTTATGATGTGGGATAGGAGGAGAGTGGGGAGGGGGGTACAGGAGTCATTTATCCAAATCAGATAGGGTTGAAATATATAATCAAATCGAAACCATTACCCTCCAAGTTGCAAGACAAACTACAAATCACTTATATCCTCTCAATTGTTTGCACTAAGCTTCATTCACAATTGTTTCTCAGGGTTCGATCCCCAGCAGAGGCAGAAGAAAATGGGCAGATTCTTTCATCCTTGCAAAGCTCAACCCCCGCAAACACAACTAGGTGAATACACACACACACATCTGCCCTCCTTGGCTCTCCTCTACTCCTACCCTTAGATTCACAAGGTGCTTGAAAGTAAACATACAGCACAAGTAACAGCAGCAACAAAACTATTGTCTGGAAGATATTATTGCAGCAATAAATGTAAAAGGTAGAGAATGATCAACATTGTACAAACCTCTGGTGGTAGCAGCAACAGCTTTTTGGGCACAAATTCGTAAGATGTGAGAAGCTTAGTGTTGACGGGCTCTTCCTGCAGCACTACCACTTCACTGCCCTGACACACGCGGTACACAATAATAGCCCCGAACACTTCCCTCACTCCCCCCACTGCGCCATCACTGGTGTCCGTGGGTACGCTCCCCGAACAGCTGCTGCTCGCCGAGCCGTCGCTCCTGCTCAGAGTGACAACAACGTACTCTCCACAAGTTGTAGGTACTATTTGGTTAACTGTCAATCGTAGCTTTATACTGTTCAACTTATGCGGAAGAGGAATGCACTGGATGCACTTGGGTTCTTTTTTTAAACCATTCTTTGATTGAGGCTCAGGTGTAACCTGATTATCTTTGGCTTTTGACTTTGATGCTGAGGTTGATCCCACCTGGGCAGTTCCCTTATTCTTTACAAACATATTAGGTGGAGAAAAAAACATTTCAATATCATTAGGCAACAGTAATGGTGGATCTGACCACAGGTGTTTAGTCTTAGGATGAGTAATTATATTAGTCTGCCCAAATGTTCCAACCTTCACAGTAGATTTCTTATAAGGTCCTTGGGTTACCGATTTTGTAGCCACTTTGTTACTGGTTGTTGGTTGTGGAGCATTAACATTAAGGTCGTACACTAACAAATATGGAACAAAGTTCTGCTGACCAACAGATGCAGAGGAAGACACAACTGCAGGATCACTCAACGAGGCAGACTCCAACTCCAGAGCAACACAGTCTATGTCATTTTCCTCTTCTGTTGTGGATCCTCTCCTAGAAGAGTCTAATTTCATAATGTCCAAACTCTCTGCTTCTCTTTGGCTAGCTTGATTCACATTATTAAGCACCTGAACCAGTCCAACGTCACAAGTTTCCTGACGATCTCCGCTGGATGGGCCAAAAAGTTCGTAACGCCTCAGTCCCACCCCAACTACTAGACAAGAACGAACAGAAGATAACACATTCACAGTAGCACCCTTTAGTCTTTGGGACACTTCAATTGGATCTGCTAAAACACAGAGAGAGGAAACTCTCACATCGTGTGACGGTCGAGGGGGTGCAAACAGTTCATCTGAAAAAGAAAAATTAACTTTTAGAAGGAAAATATTCAATATAACAACATTAACAAAAATATAATCAATTATTGATTTTGGGAGGAATAAGATGATGTTAACAAAAATGTTTGCACCTTAAATATTTAAACAAAAACAAGAATTTGTGAATGTATTAGTATGAAATATATTAACAAGTGGTATTCATAATGAATTCGAGTTAACGATTGAACTAGCTATGTAGATTTTATTAAATGCTATTTGGAGGTCCCACCCAGGTCTCTTCCCTCTCCTCCTTTCCCTTTTCTTCTTTATCCTCCCTCTCTCCTCAACCTCACCACCTATCTTCCCTCTATCTCTCTCTCTCTCTCTTGTATTTTCCCCTCTTCCAACTCTGTCCCACTATCCACCTGTCTCCTCTCTCTTTAACCTTCCGTCTCTTCAAACATCCTCCCCTGCCTCCACCCCTTCTTTGTCTTAGAAACTATAATTAGAAATTCACATCCATTGCGAAGAAATTTAGGGACCCAGTCAACCACCTTTCACTGATTACTTGGGAGAGTCATTACTTATTACGCTCGACCCCCCTTTTAACACACTGGCAGTCTGGCCTCTCCGCATGTTCCTGGCCATACATGTTTCAGGCTCCTCAGGCTGCTTAGTGATGCAAATTATTTTTTACAATAATTTTACATTTTCAAAGTAAGTTGATGGGTAATAACTATAAATTTGGTGTTAATTTTTAAATTAAGTGTTCAGAGAAGAGATGCAAATACAAGAGTGTATTCATAATACATTATGCTCCCGAACATAAACATAGCTGGCTTGGCAGGTCCCGCTCAGCGATGCTTAAAATGTTTACAATCGTTGAATATTTTCTGTTATTTGTTTGGTTATTACTATAAATTTGGTGTCAAAATGTTCACAAATGAATTCCCTAGAGACCACAAGCAAACACCAAAGTGTACTTATAACAGATCATGCATGACAGCCATGAATATATGAATGTTTATGAATATCAATTGTATGATATCTTAAGTGTCATTGGAACACAAAACATCGATTAGGCCGAGCAGAATGGACCCCGACCAGCCATGTCCATCCTAACAGCATACCCACGCTTGGGGTTATCTAATACCATACATACACTGTGAATAACTAATAGCATACACATGCTAGGACAACATATTAGCATACCCACACGTTTTACCTAATAACATACCCATTGCTGGGAATATCTAACAATGGACCCATGATGGGGATACAGTGCTTGATAACAAATGCAACCCCGGGGATGCTTGATAACATTCACGCCACACTCACCGTCTGCATTTATGCCAAGACCTGCATTCTGCTCTGATGCCACACCCGCTGTGGTACAACTGCAGTCATACATCAGTGTTTGCACTATCACCTTCAGACATCAAATGAGCTGCATCACCACCTATCCAGGATTTTAAATGCACTAACTTGCCCCACTCAATGTTTTACATTGATACAACCACAGTTAGCAATTTGGCATCTAATCATTCAAAATGCATCAAAGTTATCATCTATTGGACATTACCTGATACTTGGGCAGCTCTGCCTTTGCCATGACATGTCTCCCAAAACAAAATTGCACATTTATTTAGCTAATCACACATCCCTTACATTTAAACTAATACAATTATATTATCTTTATATTCACCCTGGTGCATCCTACTCTTCTTTTCAATTCCAGTCACTAAGTTACCTTTACTTTCAGGTGTTTCACCACACATCCACAAGACTTTTAATTATCCTACATAATTCAAAACTAAAACAAGGAAATAAAATGTATGTCATATACAATGGCTATTTTTAAGAAAGGTACAACTTGGAATGATGTAACGTGCTAAGTAAGATGATTATGGACGGTCAAGACACATTAGCGTCTTTTACCACAAAACACTGACACATGGTCAACACGTGTAAATTATTCTTTATCCATACATAAGCAAATACTGTAATGAACTTACCAGCTGCTATATCATCGAGGGGTAACTCTACGACCTGAGATGTTGGGGGAGGAGGAGGAGGGGGAGGTGGAGATGGGGATGACGCAGGGGGAACAGGCGGCGTTGGTGGTCCTGGTGACTGGATGCTTGGAGCGTCAGTTTCAGTACGGAGGCCAGCATGCATATCACACTCAGAATCCGCTCTAGCAAGACTGGCATCATTTTCACTATTTGCTGAACCATTCTGTTCTTCCTCTCCCCATGTCCACGCTTCACAGGGGGCAGGTGGCTGCAGAGGTACATCCGTATACCCTATCGTGTCCGAAAAATGCTTATCTAATATTGTAGAGTCAGAGGGATCTATTGAAAAATTTACCTCCTTCTGAAAAATGAGAGAGCATCTTTTAATACCACAATTCTTTTCAGACATTCTGTATCTTGATAGCTAGCATACTGATAATTTATAATTATTTTTACAAGGCATTTACAATTACATACCCAAAAATGTTGACCAAACCACACACACTAGAAAGTGAAGAGGTGATGACGTTTCGGTCCGTCCAGGACCATTATCAAGTCGATTATGATGAGAGGAAGGCGTTAAAGGCAATAAATAGGCAAGAGAGGTGAGGAGAAGGAAATCTTAGAGGAAGAAGAAGCAAGGCAATAGGTACAGAAGGTAAGGTGCAATAAAGGGGTAATAATTGGAAAGAAAGGAATCGTAAGAGAAAACAAGAGAACGAAAAGAAAAAGAAGAAAGATAAAAGGAAGGGTAGGCTTATATTAGGTCACATTTGTTCAAACGTTTAGAACATTTGAGTATATACTGATAAAGGGAAGAGTCAACAGCAACAAAGCTAGGTTGGCTTTGTTGCTTCCTCAGGTTCATGTTGGGTATGTTGTGTATCAGAGCCGATTCAAAAAGATGTTAAGATGTTTCTTGCCTCTATACAACTGCGTCTGTATAGAGGCAAGAAAGATTATTTTAGAGGAAGGCCAATCAATAGGATGATTAGAATTCCTAACATGACAGAAGAGTACATTGTTTGTGTCTGCAGACTTAACACTTCTTGTGTGTTCCTTAAGTCTGTCATTATCATACCCAAAAATGATAAAACACTACACTTTAATATGTAATATCAACATTAAATTTAACTATTATTATTATTAGTGAATAAAACAAGATGGCCATATAGTCATACAAAGACAATACAAAACAAAGTTATTGAAATTAGCCTGAATGTAAACAGAGCTATTATGTTGATTCAGTCAAGAGAACTAGGCAGAATGGTCAACAACTTAAATGTGGTTAAGAGAAAATTGTTGAAAGCAAATGATACGAGAAAGCAGCTAGTAGCAGAGCAGTGTCTGTAATATTAGTCTGGACAAATAACATTGTAAGCCATGAAGCAGCTCATAGCCTATGAAGTGGAAGAAATGCTAATCTGAATGATTCACAAGAGTTGAGTGGTGCTGGTTCTCCATGTTATCCTAAAGTGAGGAAGATAGCATTAATGGATGGGTGATGAATATGCTCAACGCCTCTAATGCTCATCAATGTACATGATGAAATTAAGGTTAAATTAAAACTAATGGAAAATGCACCGAAAGCCTTAGTCAGTGGAGAATTTGCTACAGGCTTGCACAAATGGATACTGATATCAACTAACATGGTTCAGTGGCCCAGCACTAGCCTCATTACATTTAAATTTGGAGCTTAAAAGTGAAATAGGTAAATTATTGTCAAAGAAGCTGAAGGTAGACGAGCAATACAGACGGTGCCGGTAGACGAGTACTACAGAGGGTACTCAGACGAGTGTTACGGATGGCACTCATAGATCGTGTTACAGAGGATACTAATATAGGAAAGACAACCCTGCAAGGTGGACACACTTTGTGGAGCACACACACATAAAGCATCATTAGCAAAGTCTGCTTAATGCACAATATTAAACGGTACAAGCAAATTCAGCATTCAAGAAACGAGAATATTTTTTTCTCGACTGCCCGTACGCAATTCAACATTTTTTTTCTGGGCCGACCTCTTGGTATTATAAATTACTAGTTTGGGTTGAATGGTGCCACAGACATTCAAGTAACTACCAGGTCTCTTATTGTTCAGGCCAACCAAACACCAAGATCTGGTATGCTCATATTGTGTGAGGAGAGCACGTGAATCTAAAATCAACCCAAAACTGAGTAAAACCACTCAAAGTAGAGACAAAGCAAAACCTATGTATACTCCCTTGAGTGGATAACCAAGTACTCAAGTAGACTTTGCAGGCTACGATACCATGTTCACAAAAACCTGACACCACACCCCCCTTGCTAAGCACTACCTGGCCAGAAATGCTGGAATCCACATCAAAACAAATGGACCACAAGCATCATACTAAACTATACAGACGTTTCTACAGACCTCACCTAGTGATCATGTCCCCCAAGATACCACCTCATAAACGTGTATGAAGACAATCATAGGGAGGAATCGCCTGGGTCAGAGAAGATTACTATTCAGACATGACCTTTACTAAACAGGATGCCAGAGAAGATAACCCTGAAACCACAGCTGTAGACGACTGAAAACCATAACACAAAATTATTTGGAAATACACTCAAAAAGAGCACAAGTCATGAACACAACACCACCATAAACACAATACAATAACTGTAACAAGGAGGCACCAGCCAGACGACAGGGCACCAGATAAAAGTCTGATGGGCTGGGCGAAGCCAGACACCTGGTGAACTAGCGCTGGCATCTTGTCATGCACTTTAGGCACTAGTGCATGGGTAACACTGGGTTTCTCCTCTACTTGCTATGTGATTTTACTCAATTTTGGCCAGATCTCAGATCCCCCTACCCCCCATGCTTCCCTCACCTCTACGAGCACACCAGATTCTGGTCCTGTGCTTAGTAGGCCACCGAGATGCCTGGTAGTGTTGTGATTGACACTTGTGTTACCAGAATCAATTTCTCAAGGAGCTACTAAAGCCTTCCAGAAAAGCCTGTTTCATTGCATCAAAAATTTTGTTTCATGTGAAAGGTCATAATACAATTTTATTTACCTAACATCTGGCAGAGACAAATAATCTTCTAAGGTTATTCATGTCTTCTATGTAACAAACCCAAAAGGTATCTTATCACAATCCAATTTTACAATACACAATTTTCTTCTATTCTTTATAATTGTGTTCATCGTATTATGCTTTCTAGAACAAATCTTACCTTTAGTTGCTTAGCTGTATTCCACACAACAATATTGCCATGTTTCGTTGCAGAAGCAATAAACTGATGACTATTAGTGTGACTTATAAATGCCACTTCCTCGGTGCGTTCACTGTGCGTCAGTGCTGGGCTGGTGGCATATGTAACAGAGAGCGGCACATTGTTGGTATATTCCCCTTTAACAAATGGGCAGTTCGGAGAGTGGCGCTCATGTTCCGACCTACAAGGAATAAAGAACAAACATTACCTCAAGTTGGTATGAATAAACCCTTTAAATAGTATAAAAAAGGCAAACCTCTACCATGAAGTGGATATACAATATATATCTATAATAGTTGCTGAATAGTTTTCCTGGCTTGGTACCTATTTTTGACAGTTACTTATATATAATAGTAAAGGAACACATTTTATATAGAAAAACAATTTATTGCCCAATTTTATTTTTTAAAAAGGGGGGATACAGTACTTCAATATCCCTATGGAACAAAGTTATTAAATCACAGTACTTCGATATCCCTATGGAACAAAGTTATTAAATCATTCATATTCTGACATAAACCTTGGTGCCATTTGCTACATTTATTATCATGTTCCTCTGCAGCCCGTCCTCAGACCAAGTCCATTCCATCCAGGGGTCGACCCCAAAGATGCATTCATAAATTTTAACATGATGTTCATTCAAAATGGGAATTTTCTCATATATATACTGTATTAATATTGTTATATACTAGCATATTGTGCATATTTAGGCAGTGGTCAGGTTAGGTGTTTAGGTTCTGTTGGCGATTATCTGTAGTACGTGGGTGAAGCATTCACAGCTTTGTGGTTTGAACAAAAGTCGACAAGAGAAGCATTTGTTCCGGAAGTGTTCGGACATCATCAGTTGTGAGTCGTGTGTAAACCGCTTTTCATTCATAAACAAGGAGTTTGGCGGGTGCATGGAATGGACATCGGCCTTTGTTTATGAGCATGGGCTGTCCTCTGTTAGTTCAGTGTACAATCCAATCCAAAATATTCTAAAAAAATTCCACTAACCATTATTTTTATATGGTGATGCACATCATTTAAAAAAAAATTCTGGGGGTACATATATGTAAATAATTATCCAAAGAAAGCATTAAGCTAGGATGGTTATGTAGCAGTGCTGTATATAGTCCACAGCCAATAAAGGCTATAATAACTTAAACCAAGCCATCATAGAAATGGTATGCACATTATTTTAATAGCAAACAGCAGCACTATAAACAATAATTTGAATTAGTTGAAAAATGCCACTGACCAAGGCTCGTCCGTTGGTTCCCAGTAGACAAGGCAGACACTACATATGAAGCACATTGCACGGTCATCGTCTGCTGCTATTGGTTGGTGAAAGAAGCCTGCTTGAGCCATCTGCTCTGGTAAGGCCCACCTGAAAAGAAAAATTTCAAACAATGAGCATCGTGTCCTTGGGTATTAACTTTGATTTTGGTATCAAATTGTGTGCAATCTAAAGGCGCTTATTTTAAAACCACTACCAGATTGATCTGATAAAATTATCAATTGGCAAGAACACTTGGCATCTAGGAAGAAAAAAATATTAATATTTTCTTCCTTACTTCTTTGGATAAGCACCTCCAAAGGATACCTGATCAACCAGGCTGTGACTCGTACGTCAGGCTGCGAGCAGCCGCGTCCAACAGCCTGGTTGATCAGTCCGGCAACCAGGAGGCCTGGTCGACGACCGGGCCGCGGGGACGCTAAGCCCCGGAAGCACCTCAAGGTAACCTCAAGGTAAAGTACAAACCGAATACTTTGTGTAAAATTTCCAACCGAGACAATTCTAGCCAGTATCCTTAACACTTGCATAGCTTCAAATCACTTTGTGATTACCTCCCCTAGGAAAATCCTCTTATGTGATTTTTGTCCCTGTTTAATAACTAATTTTTAGTCACGTGCATTTCGATGTAGTACAGTACTTTTATATAGCTTAGCTGCAAAGTTCAGAGGTTAATGCTTTGAATGACTTCCCCCTCACATTATTACAATGTATCAGTAACATGTTATCAACCTTCAATTTATATATATCATCTGAAACTTGAAGTTCATATACAATTAGCAGCAAAATTAACAGTAAAATACTTTTAGGCTACTCCCACTTCAATATGATAACCTCCATGTAGCATCTTCAGCTACACGGAAGGTATAATTAGCTGGGTCCCAAGTCACGTAGGGATTATGAAAACAAAATTGTGAACAAACTAGCTGGAGAATGTAGATGTCAACATCCTAGCAAGCATCAACCAACTGCAAGAAACAAGTCTAGAAACAATAGTTCCTGTGGGATCACACTGTCCTCTGTAACAAACACGTCCCTATCAGCTGTCTGGTACATTCTCCAAGTTGTAGACTATATAATTAATATTATATAGTCTAAAAAATATCTTCAACGAATTCTATTTTTCTAGTTTTGCTCTATGCACTAGTGTAAGGACTAATTTCTTTTTAGAGGATGTCATTTCCACAGACCGACGACCAAACCTTACATAATCCTGCCTTACTGTATGATCTATGTAAAGGACAATAGGATCTTACTTGCCAAAAAAAGCAGAATGTGATGGCAAAAAAACAAGCATTGAATGATAATGAAATACAGTACCATTTTCTGGGGAAAATCCCGGAGGCTTCCCGGAGCTATACAGGCATACCTCAGTTTAAGAGTTTAATTGGTTCCTGGAGACGCCTCGTATTCCGAAAACTCGCATTCCGAAGCTAATTTCCCCATAAGAAATAAAGGGAAATGAATTAATCCGTTCCTGACTACCCCAAAAATCCCACATCAAACTAAATTTTTATACCTAATTCATCTAAATAAACCTACAAAACTATGTTCAAGTTATTACTTACCTTGCTGTTGAATGCTGTAGGCGTATGGAAGATGGTGAGGAGGTGGGAGGAAGAGAGGAGTTACTGTTTGGAAGGGGAGTCCCCTTCCATTATCACATCAGGCAGTGAGGACCTCACTGGTATGCACACTCTGGCACATTTTGCCTGCATACCACTAGGACTTGCTTGTTTTACTAAGAATTTGTCTAATGACACTTGTTTTTCCCTACATTTTAACACTTGTCTGTAGTAAGACATCACATTATCATTTAAAAGGTCAATGCAACGGCCTGCTACAGCTTTATCTGGGTGAGTTTTTTCAACAAAACTTTGCAGTTCTTCCCATACTTCACACATTTTCTTAATCAAGAAGGGACATCCTCTACTGCCTCTACTCACAGCTATTTTCTTAGGTTGAACCTTATCAATGGCTTTCTTGAGACCCATGGCAAGATATATAATGACAACTTTTATGCTCAAATGGCCAAAAAACAATAAAAAACTGTAAATCCTTGTGAAGAATTCAGGTGGGATAGTCACTGGACACGAGACACTGGTAAACTGAGGCGCGATCGCCATGCCACCACGCGCCAGTCGGCCTGTACACGTATCAACAAACTCGCGTCCCGAGGTAACCCTCGCCTTCCGAGACATATTTTTGGAGTAAATCCTGCTCGTCTTCCGAAAAACTCGCATACAGGGACACTCGCATTCCGAGGTACCACTGTACCAGGCTGATATGCATATATTAGACCGTGGCATCAGTCAATTCGATGCAAGTTCTAAACCACGAACCAGAACCTGGGCCCCCTCAAAGAGGCACGACGAGCAGTGTCCTATAGAAACCCCCATGTGGTTGGAAACATTCTATGTCTGCCATCTACTGGGTTAGGCACCCAGAGAGGTAGGCATCCCTTGGAAAACCCTTTGGGGCTAATTGGTCCAATGGATCCATCCTCCGAGTCCCATCTTGCTTTGCGGGAGTTTGAAGGTTGCTCTGTCCCCTTGTCTCAGGGTGACACCGTTTTTTATTCCGCCATACTGCCTGTTGGGTCAATGACACCTTTGACTCGGAGTCCTGTGAGTAGTGTTCCTTTCTTATACTCCAGTTCACCCAATCCACTCAATCTTGATATTCGGGTGCAGGCAGCTTCTGTGTTGCATGCTAGGTTATGGTTGCTGCAACGCACTAGGTTGGTTGCCTTTCTGGATGCCCCGAGGCTGCCCCGCTTTGGTTTTTGGGACCCAAACTTGGAGGGATTAGTCGCCTCGACTTTGGTTTCGTCCACGCGCCCTTGTCCTTCCCTTCTGTTGTTCGTCCTGGTCCCCACTCCCTGTTGCCGGCTTCCAAACATCTGAGGGTTTCAGAGTCGGGGCAAGGCTTAGATGGTGATGAGAGACTAGCGGTTTCGGGGGCTGCCCCCTCCGGTTCGGCAGCGGAGACATTCAGCCGGTTCCTCCTACGCACGATATAAGGCTGAGGGGCTCTCCACAGAAATAATCACTTAACACGCATACTGTATCTACTTAAAGAGGAACAATAAAGGAAAGTAAAACAGAAGAAAGTGCTCTGCTACCATAAACAATCAGCATACGAATATGCTGGCAGAGTAAGCATCTCAGAGCTGGCCTCCCATACTGAATACAAACAATAGAACACCAAACACATTTATCATAGCCACTTACTTGTAATTCATGTGAGGCCATTTAATGAAGGTGGCCAATCTGGCAGCCTCACTACACATCGCCTCTCTGTCAGGTGGCCCAGCGCCAGGAGGACCTTGGCCGGTGTCTGGGGTGGGAGGGGGTAAAAGATGGGCCAGCCGCTGAATCAGCGCTGATGCAATAGATAAGGCGGGTATGTATCGTGTGAGGCGCTTGAGCTCGCTCACTACGCCCAGGCACACACTGCGCAGGACACCCAGAGGCAACTCCAAGCGCAATGTACTCCACTGTGAAGGAAAAATAATTATCACTATACATCTTAACACTCAGATCATCTACAGCAGTTTTACTCCACTTTCACTACACTAGAACCTAAATTCTGCTTTCATTCTATAATTTTCAATTAAAAACTTCTAGCAGAAGTTTTTTAATTTAAGCATTACCGTAATTAATATTTTGAGACAATAACGGCAATATTTTCAACTGAAAATATTATATTGCATTAGTGCTTCACATGTCCAATCTTGGCTAAATTTTGATATTCACCCAACATTCTATATATATAGGAAATGTATATGTTTATCTCTCAGAATGTTTGGTAATATGTTTATTGTTTGTGATGTGTGTCTATGTATGTATTAACACGATGTACTGAACGGGGTGAGAATAGCTTGAGCTACCTCATCCCTTTGTGTGTATTTTACCTCAAACTTATTTCAATTTCAATTTCTATGTATATTTTTAACCCTCTGGTTGTGAAGGTCAAAATGTGACACTCGACGATAAAAATCGGCTTCGGTCTAGAGCATTAATTATTTGTCAACGTTCATAGAAATACATCTCTGAGCAGTACTCCCTTGAAAATATGAATCATATTGTTCCATATCAGATCCAGATTTATAACAATGACCATTTTTTTCTTGAAAACTAGCAATTTTTTCTTGACAACTAGCCATTTTTTCCTTGACAACTAGCCATTTTTTTTAAGAAAATTATACCTTTCAGCACATTCAGACATACAAATAATATATAATTGTGTGTGCATGTAACAAATTATTATGCAAGAACATTACATAACACATTAATTTATCCACTTTTTTGTAGCAGAACTTTGGTCTTAATAACCCGGTAAAAGCAAACGCCATCTGTGAAACTTGTGCAGTCAACCTGAACTGTGTACCTTGCAACTCCCGTCTGAAGAATTTGTTCAAACAAATTCCCAAGAGAAACTACTATCAAGTCTTTCGGTATTAATTGCAATGATACAATTGTCTATCATCACTTTATCTAACACCCTCATTACAGTGTATATATAAATTATTGCTGTTATATCACGACCCAATGTCGACTCCTCGTACTCTAACCTTTGAGTGTGGCAGCCAAATTATCAGTTTAATGAATGTATTACACTTCCTCTACTTCCATTGAAGTAGTAGCCTCAGTTATGTACTGCATGTTTATCGTTTAACTAAGTCAGTTGTTACTGTGCCGACTTAGATTTGTAAACGTGTAATGTGCAAATTTCTATAACTTCAAGGTATGATTAGTTTATATTGGTTCACCTTCAAAATTGTCTTATCCCAATATTGATATAAATTGTGCTAATATCTATTTCACTACTTTAATGATAAACTACACTTTGTTTTCCCCAATGTATATAAATTTTCAAATTGTTAGATGTTACTGTACTTCATGCCAAAAATGTAAGTCTGATTTAGACAGCTGTATACTGTACCTGTTTAGCCCAGCCATTATTATAATACAGTAATTTGAATAAATGGCTAGAGATAAAGTTTCTGATTCAAGTTTTGAAATAGGACTGCAGCATATATCATTGAGCTGTGCAGAACAGAACCAAGAACCAAACTTTTTTTTTTTTTATACAGGAGGCATGAAACTTCTTTACCCCAGTAACAGTTTCCTATAGTGAAAGACTAGTTACCAGACAAAAATCGGCCTACCTTGGCTAATTTTGGATTTATGCGCGACTGTGCTTGATGAGCAGCGATTCCTTGGGCCAAGACCTCCTGCACCTCTGCAGCATGATCAATGTTACTCAGCTCCCCAAATGCCAGTGTCTGCTGTAGTTGGATACCCTGCAAGGACACAAATGTCAAAGTAATGTGCAATGGACTTGCAAGCGAACATCTATTTATGCATATGCCACAAAGAATAACAATATTGTACATCGACTTAACGTATCCAGTTCACACTTATCTTCTGATACCATACCATCATGTATAATTTACCTCTGATAGCAGCATTTCCACAATGACCGTTTCTTCTGGTGCGGCCACAGGTGCCTGGAGAACAGTACCGAGGAGGAGAACGCCATGATGATCGCGGCGCATCCCCACCGTACGCCCTCCACACACCACCACACTGTTACTCTCTCCATGGTATACGCACACCAGGTTATTCTTGCCATCCCCTGAAATAAATCATGAAGCTCAAAAC